ATGACGTTGATTGTCTTGGCCGCGCACCGCTGATTGTGATGAAATGCGTGTAATATTGGCCAATGTGCACTTACGCGGGGCAGCAGTCGTCAGGCTTACGTGTGGTAAGCATCGCTGTATCGTGCTTATGGTAAAGACCTGTGCAGATAAGAGAGGTGATAGGAGCTGCCACATGGAACTAAGCGGTATTCACTACTGTAGTGGTCATACAACAATATTGTTTACAGTAATAATACTGGGCGTATACTTGTACCTCAACTGGCAACTGCGTCGTGGAAGCACCTCGAGGCAGGTGCGACAGGGAGCCAAACTAGGGGGCACGGTAATATTGAACGTGCAAATAGTTTCAACATTTGATGTTCACCTGCGTATTCGCACAAAACCACTCTCAACATCTTCGGACGCCTTTTTCTGCCCATCCTGCAGCGGATGGCTGCCCCGCCACGCCGCAGACCCGGACTGCCTGCCGGCAGACGCAACGAGGGCGCTCTTTGGTGCCCTTGGGGCTTGGATGGTAGGCTGATTATGAAGGCCCTCTTCGCCTTACATGTACTGCGCTGTAGTATTATGTCGTAATACTGCAACACCTAGAGGGATATGATCGACAAGTGCCCACCAAACTGGGTAATTCGACTATTAGCGTATTTTGCTACCAAGCTCGGAACTCTTTGACCGTCTCCACACTTTGACAAGGGTTCTCGTGCTCAGCGAACAACACAGGCACTCGGTACGAAGGGGGTTGGACGGGTCCCGTCGACTCTGTTAACTGACATAAAAAGGTACGAGGTGTTAATCATTATAACGCATGTTCACTCGCCATTTCCATTCATCGGGCCAGAGCTTTTATTTCCTGATATAGTCAGGAACATCTGTCAACCGGCGTCCAATCTCCATAATGGGCACAGGGGTTGCAAATCTCACAAAGACTCCCAGAAGCAGAGCGCCTGATGATTTAAAAGGACAAAAGACTTCTCGGATGTTTCAGGCCTCCCGTTCTTGCAAAGCCATCACTCATTCGCATTGGACATGTTAGCCAAATGCAGCAAGTACAAAGGCGATCACAAGCGCTTTGATACGAGCAACTAGTCAAGTCATTGGAACAAGCGTCCCCGCCGGTGAATATGGGATTGTTACCCGCCAGTCACTATACTCGGTCACCACTGCTAAGCAAAGAGGATAATCGGAGCTTCCCATACGTTCCTTAAGGACTGGAGGGCCTCCCTGGGTCAAATACCGATTACCCTGTCCGGCTGCTTCCGCGGCTGCTCACATCTTGTGATGATCTCACGGATTACATGATGTCCAGAGTCCCATATGTAGTATTACTGAGTGCTACTGCTATCAATACACGCATCCTCGCCCACACGCAGGCGCGAGCCCACGCTTGCATACAGACACATACACAGGGCCCGTGATTTTACGGCCACCCAGTGTCCAGCTTCTTCCCAATAGCTTAACAAGTGCTGCCAAAACTGAGCCCCAGACGTTACTAAGTTGAATGATCCGCGCGTAGTTCACATCCCCTAACAACTGACCCTGGCCACAAATTCCATGCGCCATAATATCCGCTTTTGTGAGCAGCTAGCCAGTCTACAAGTTTGCCCATCTCGCACCTACATGGGTTTCTCCAGCGCCGTCTCTGCTAAAGAAACGGCGATGTCGTTAGTGGCGGCCGTGAGCGTGAGAAATGGTATTTGCCACCCGCCAGTTGGTTCTATTTAGTATACACTATGACTACTGCCCGTACCGCTACTAGTAGACCTTTTAGTATTTGCCAGTGCAGAGTACTTTACACAAGTGTCTAGCCTCTTCAAGCCACACCCAAAGGCTTCCAGCATCATAGATACAAATCCTCCCAGCTTAATTCCGGTACCCTGAATGATGTTGATGAGGTTAGACAGAAAATCCACGCTGGCAATCCCACGCACGTATGTATTATTTTCAACCTGCTCCCAAGTTCATTCTTACTCTTTCATCACACGCCCCCCGGGCCATTAGCCCTATGAGTTTGGATACCGTGATCCTGGAAGCGGGACACCCAAGGTTCATCGCCGGCAGGCTCTCAATTCCGATAGCTTTGCAGCTCACGAAAGGTAAAAATGGAGATGTATGGGGGCTGAGCACCCGGTACGATCTTACTTGCCATATAATATGTATGTAGAGCTGTATTCCCTATGGCCTAGACAGCATGTGGAACAATATAAGCTAGAAAGGGACAGCTTCTACTACTAGATCTTTCGTATGCAGGCTCGACTTGTTTCTCTCTACATCTTGCAAAGCATTATTATAATGTGACAGCTTGGTAGACTCATCGGGATCCATTTGGCGAGATGGGCGGCATGGAGTGTCAAGGTCTCCCTCCAACTTCAATATATATATAAAGAAATTGTCACTTTTTTAAGTAAGTAATCTTTCTAGTGGCTTTCAATAGAAGATAACTCATAGTGGCAACGTTTCCATGTCCAGTATCAAACTTGGAGTGACAGATACCTGCTGCTTGGCTTTCGAGACAGGAAACGCCACCTTGTATGCAACGATGTTGCAATGCTGTTATATACACTTGAATATGGCATGCGTATAGTTTCCTACAGTGATGGTGAAACATAGTGCTGTTCATGGGGCCTTCCGCATCACCTCAAGAGTAACGTGCCAAGTCTTAGCAGTAGCAGTAGTCATGACGGTAGTGGTGATGATGATAATACTGCATGTAGGCCTCTCAAGGTAAGCCTAGGTCAGACAACAGACTGTGACTACTAGTTCTACTACAATTCCAGAGCACATGTAAAATTGCAAGCTTGCACGCCACGGCGAATTACTATTATGTGTAATACTCTGTACATCATCAATGGCATGTCCTCACATCATGAACGCCCCAAGTCAGTTCCTCCAGGATCTAGCGTCAGATCGGGTGAGTAGGAACAGGCTCGGACATTTTTGAACAGCTTAATAAGACTTTAAACACAATCCCTTGTGTGTGCGATGATATAAATCAAACTACCTGTCCCTGGTATACTTGTTTTCTTTCTGGACCCCTCTCCCTTGACTAAACTAGAGGGTTGGGTACCTGAAAGGAAGGATCGAGGTGCGTTCAAATACACACACATCAGGCATATGGCTCCGCAGAGTTCTCTTTTATTAGTTTGTGTTTTACAGTACGACTTTCTTCTACGTATTTTATTGTTACTTACTACGCCGTACAAAGAGTTCCCCTGGCATAAAGGTCTGGCAACATTCGTAGCGGTCCGTGCAGGTGCTGGATATAAACAGAAGGTGGTGGAGTACATTGGAATAGTACTAATACCAAGAGGTTACCATCAGGAGTTTTCAGCATGGGGCGGAGTAAGAAAATACCCTCTCTCCACACGTAAATACTCGTATGTGTACCGCGAATCGGAGGTGTCAACGAGACTAACCAGGTTGAAGGGGCAGTATAGACGTTGGCCAAGACAAGGACGCAGCTTGCTGCCTGGTGCAAGAGGATGTCCAACTACTCGCACTACCTATTTCCCTTCCCTACAGCCATGAGCTCCGCACTTCAGAATCTACGGACTACACAATCCACGAGAACGGCGCGTAGAAAATCTTCTTTCTTACACCGCACCGTACATGTGGACTCGCATGGAGTTACGGTGATGAAAGTCAGAACTCTCTGGTAGTCCTGAGAGGAAATCCGGCTCTTGCCAGTCAGCAGCGCCAACCGTCTGTCTTATTATGGTCCTCCCGTGTATCAGGCTCCTTCTTGCGTTTACCAAGTGTTGTGTCGTTGCAATGGCCTTTCTTAGTTTCCCCGCTAAGGAGTAGTGTGGCCTAATGCCAAGTACATGTATACAAGCGAAGCGTCCTTCCGTGTAAGCTTGGATAACGATCTGATCAGAGGCTGCTTCCGGAAACAATAGAGGATGAGCAGGTTTTCACTAGTCTGAGATCCAAGCTTCTGACAAGTCCTTGGGGTGTTTCCTATTTGCCGTCTTTACTGGTATTGTCGGGAGAATGCAGGTTCCGGTTTTCATATTAGTCGGTCAGGTCTTTATGCCATTGTAGATTCTCCCTTTCCCCGTATTCAGCAGTATACCGATTCCTGAATTCAGTACGTCAAATAAAAACTTCTGTAAACGTGAAACACCGATATGTTGTTTCTTTGGACATGCACTCGTCGTAATGGAGTTAAAGAGTTGCAACTGTCTTATATGCAACATACCTGCATCTATCCATCCTGTATCAAGCGTCCAAGCCTAGTCACCCTCTGCCACGGTGTCAAAAGCCTACAGATAACATATTATAACACCATATAATGGAAGTTTAAGTCAAGTGTACCATCTCGAAAAACTTTGCTTATTTCCAAGTTGGTAAAAAAGCACACTAGTTCTGAGATGGTCAAAATCTTATGACCGAGACTTTGGCATCCAAATCGCATGACTAATCAACCAGCAACTGCTGTCACACACTCATCTATAAATAGCCTTGTAGATAGATTTCCTTCCTTTCCTTCCAATTAATTAATTAGACACACAACGATAATATATATAGGTAAAGACCATTGTATTAGCGTCTACGGGTCATCGTGTGTTGTCGCCCCCTAGAAGCACAAAACTCGGGATACCGGGTAGCTGAAACCTGCGCCACATAAGCCACCCCAGCCACATTATTGATCTTCACGCAGATCGGAGGGATGGGAAAGGCTCTGTCTGCCCCTCAATCGCCAAATGCCGCTGATAACAACCCAAGCAAGCCAACTTTCTTTACCTTGACTCATCTCCCGAACCCCGATCACCAACGTTTCGCTGTTCTGTTCTTTTCTTTTTTCCACTATCTAGTGCACGCGATCAGGCTAGATATTATCGCCACCCTACGCGACCAATCTGACACACGACACGCAGCATCGCTGCCTTGGGCGCCATCACGAGACATATTATATTCATGCATATATAAGCGACTGCCATAATCGTTGTCGTCGCGCGCATGCGGCAAGAAAACACACACACTTCTCCGTTGTTGACAAAATGGCCGACTTCATGACCAAGCTCTGGGAGTCCGTCTTCACCCCCGGACCTACCCCCACCATTCTCGTGGCCGCCAACGTCAGCTTTGCCGCCCTCCAGGTCACCCTCTTCGCCCTCCTTCTTGCCACGTATAGTGTGCATTGTGCAGTGCTATCTATCCTATGCGCGGGGCTGTGGTGGTCTATCAACTGGTTCGCTGCCGAGCTGGCAGCAGTGCAAAGGCAGCAGAAGGAAGAAGAGGAGAAGAAGGCAGCCGAAAGCCCGACGGAAGACGCCGACGATGCCAAGGATAGTAGCGCAGACGATACTGAGGTCGATGAATCCTCTGCTGCCGGTACCACGTCGTTTGCCCCCCTGTTGGACAGGGAACAGCTTAAGAAGCGTGCTGCCACCAAGCTTGCTGCGCCCGAGAGAACCCCCTCGAGTGCCAGTACAGAGGATGAATGGGAAAAGGTATCGGAGAATGGAAAGGAAAAAGAGAAATGATCGGGAACCAACAACAAGGACACAAAATGGACCACAGTAAAGCGTGTTGTAGAGAGAACATGAATGTTGTGAATATCAGAGGAAAAGGATAACGAGGCTTGAATGATACCCCTCCCGAATGCTCCTTTTACATCATGTGCTTTTGGATTTTAGATCACTGCGTGGCAAGCATCTTCCCCATCATGTTTATAAGCGACGAAAGAATACAAGAACTGCAAAAATATCATTGTGACTAACCAATACCTCTGTTCAATGCAGGTATCATTCTCCTTCCTTTTATTATCTCTTTTGTTCTCTGCCCATCCCAAAAAAACACCTTCTCTCAATAACATAACAACATGGCGATGGCACCTTATATCGACAAGAAGAAAAAAATAATGTAAAAGAAGGTGATAAAGAAGACCTCATTGTGTGATCACAAAGACTTCAGCCTTCGCGTGGCAAAGGCCGCGTAAAATGTGCTTATGGCACCGATGAATAGGCAGATAGAAATAGCATTGGGCCCGCCGGTGTCGGCTTGCTCGTCCGGGTGAGCCTTGTGGGCCAGTTCGGGGCTCTCACCCGGCTCCAGGATGGCAAAGACAACGGTGGAGATGAAGCTAGCAATCAGTTGAGGGAGCGTGGTGAAGATGTTGAGGATACCGAAGTAGACACCGGAGAGCTCGGCATCAGACGAGTCAGGCGACTTCTTCTCAAAGTTATTCTCGGGGCAGAGAGAAGTCTCTACAGACGGACGATTATTGTCCTCGGGATAGGGTGAGGTAGTCTCCGCGGAGGGGCGGCGGTTATTGAGCTCCAGGTCTTCGTCCGACGCATCTGATAGACGACGGTACTGCGTCGATTCACCCTCGGCCCCGCTTCCGGCAACCTTGTTAACTTCGATACCAAGGAGGGCCACAGGGACCCACATGGCAAGGGTCCATGGCCTGTGGCGATGGTGTGAGTCTTATATTTCTTTACAGCATTTGATGAATTAGGAGGAGACTTACAGTCCACATAGACACACTAGAGCCGTGGCAACATTGACACTTGCTGCAAAGGGGGCAACGGCCATGGCTCCTGAGAACATGAAGTGGCCCGCGATCCATGTGTTTAGCAGAGTGGGCTTGTATACGCCGAGCTTGTTGTTGAGCCTCTTAACGAAGCCAGGGGCCGAGCGCTCCGTATCCTCCTTTTCGGATACCGACTTATTTTCCTCGGGTGACTTAACGAGAGGGGGAAGAACGACAGAGCCGATTAAGGTGACTGATGAGTACAGGACGAGGGCGGTGCTGCCAACGCGGCCCATATCTCCCAGGACGTCCTTGGAGTCCTTGGCGTCGTCGGGAACGTTATAGCGGAAGTAGGTCTCGCCAACCCAGGTAGTGCTGTAGAACAGAAAGGGGAACCAACCGATCCACGACCAGAACTGAGCCCAGCAGATGGCACGGATGCGTGGAGGGAGGGTGCGGAAAGTGGACCAGATCTCGCGGAAGACACCGAGACCGCTCGTCTTGGACTTGGGCTCATCAAGGTCCGGGAGCTGAATCTTTTCGGTAACGGTGAAGCAGGTGATGGCGTTGGTAACGAGAACGAAGAAGATGGCAAGGATGCAAAGTTGCTGGAACTGCGTGCTTCCCAGAGCCTTGCCAAAGATGGCCAGGAGGTCGATGGCCCCCGCGGCGTAGCCCAGTAGATGGCCAACGGCAGACATTCGGCTGACTGTATGAAGAAAGATGTGTTAGAATATCCACTGAGGGAAGATGAACAAGGCAAATGTCAGAAAAGGAAGAAACATGTGAAATCGTACTCCAAGCGGCGCCAGACTGCTGCTTCTCCATGGGCAGCGTGTCTACAACCAAGCTGCGAGAGCACGCCATTGCTAGACGAAAGAAAGAGTCAGCGTAAATGAACGATACAGATTCAGGCCCAAAAGGGTCAGTGATGCATTATCCCGTAAGCATACCAGCGTTGATGGCGAAGTCGAGGGCGTAGATAGAGAAAACAGCCAGGACAATGCTGGGTTGTTTAACGGCGTCTTCGTCGTCGCCGACAAACAGCTTGATGATGTCACGGGTGAAACCAAGGGTAACCAGACAGACAGCGACAATGGTGGTCCCAACGACCATAAGAGGCTTGCGACGGCCCCATCGCGAAGTGCTCTGGTCCGAGACGACACCGACAATGGGTTGAACGACAAGACCGGACAGAGGACCGGCGATCCACACCAGGGCAGTGTTGCTCTTGGTAAGACCAAGGTTGAGAAGGTACGGAGTACAGTCTGGAAGCAGAAAGAAAGGTTCCCATCAGCAAAAGGACACCAATGATAAAAAGAACAGGGTTGGCGTACAGGTCATTTCGATACTCCAGGTAAAGCTGCAGAGCCGAAGCAAGATGATGAAGATAACACACAAATCAGCAGGCCGTCACTTTGGTATCAATAGATGTTTCGTTTTCAAGAGGATATAGGGTTGGATATTTTCTTTTATCACAAAGCCCTCCCCTCTCTCCTTCTCCCGTTCGATGGAGAAAGACGGAAGGGTCAGGGTACTGAAGCACGCACGTAATTCCAACGGCAACAAAGGTCAGAAGCACCATGCGGAGCAACTCGGAGCCGCCCATGACAGATGGCTCACCAGTGAATTTGGCCATATTTAGGGTGGAAGGAATGGAAGAGAAAATGCCGTAGAGTCCCTCGGGTAATTTATCGATGCAGCCGTTCGAGCCTTGGGGCCAAGGTTTGTTCAAAAGAAGAATGTATTCGTCACAGATTACCGCATCGCACCTGTCGTTGAAGGTGTTTCTATTTATAAACAAAGCAAATAGAGAATAATAGTCGTCGAGGACAAACGAGTTAAATCGAACGGAAAAGAAAAAGCAAAAGGGAAGCAGTAAAATCAACTGGCCACAACGAGATGGGACGTGTGAGGCGGCCTATGCCCTTGTTGGTCGTTGCCGTTGGCAGCTGCGGGGCTCGACGTAGCTGTTGAAAGGGCAATAAGGGAAAGTCACGACGACGAGAGTCAGGAAGAAAACAGATACAAAGTGTAAGAGAAAAGAGTAAAAAAAAAAAAAAAAAAGTGTGATTCCTCAGGGGGTTTAAGAGAGAAAGGGAGAAGATGGAGTGCTTGTAAAAATATGAGATACCGATAATACTCAGAACCTCGCAGTACGTATGACGATGTGGCTCGGAGATGACAGTGTGGGTCTGTATGTCTGTTTTCAGTGGCCGGTCTAAGCCTCTTCCCCCGTACTCGTACAGATTACAGCAGACGTTAGGTTATCTGGGGGACTGCAGCAGAGGATGGTCCATTAAAGATCAGTGATCCACTAGGGAGAAGGAACCGGCAGGGGGATCTGCTTAAGAGAGCATGGAGCATTGGAGGTGGAGAGGTGAGACTCAACGCTAGTCTTAAATGGGTATCCCGAGCTCAGGGGAAGGAGCAGGTCGGGCCTGACGAGCAGACGCAAAACACCGAAGCTACGCGTTGTAATAATGAAAGGCACCAGGGATCTCAACGTGCTATTTTGTTGCACTCCATTATCTCCCCTGCCCGTGCCATTTTTTGCCTGTCAAGGGAGGAGAGGGAGGAGAAGGGGCAATTAACTACTAATAACAAGCATGTTCATATTCAGGTGTGTCTGGTCCGAATTGCTGTTCTACTTGTAGTATTTTAACCCGTAAAATCATAAACGATCACAGGCATCATGTTTAATCAAAACGGGCGAATGAGCCTCTTAAGTACGGAGTCGGCGGTATGGCGTATTCGCACCACCGCGTCACGGGCTCGTATTACCTGGTGCGAAGTAAGATGCTTGTATAAACATACACTCTTGCGTATACTCTGTATGTCACACAGGACAAGGACCAACAGCCAACCAGTTAACCGTTCAATAAAGATAGCAATGTTCCTTCTCACTAACGTACTCGTATACGCCCCAGCAACTCCCACACTCGTCAGTCAAACAGGGCGGGTTTCTCAAAGACGATTATACAATCAATGTATTGAATCATGTATCAACTCCTGCTTGGCTATTGGTATCTTATCGCCATCTCCATGTGACGCCCCCTTTCCATTCCTTGTTCCCTCTGATGTTACTATGAGAGGGAGTTGAAAAAAGCAATACAAAAGACAGAAGAAATACAAATGTCCCCGACGCTCGGATATCAACCGTTGTCTTTTCCATACACACATACACATGTACAATCCTCTCCCTCTCTTTCTTCTCTCCCCCACCTTCCCCATATGACCTCTGTCGCTTGCTTGTACAGAGATGCAGGTAATACTTTGCGCACTCCACTCCCCGCGTGCAGCATTCGAGACGAGATTGCTGCGGGACCGCTTTCCCCTGAAGAAAAAAAGAAGCTTTGCCCCCAAACGGGCCTTTGACACTCGCATCGTATGAGTAATACATCTTACTCCGTAATACCGAGTACCAAGTACAAGTACGAGTCCATTTCACATGGCATGGCCCTCCCTCTCTCTGTTGTCCTCCCCCAGTCGTTTAAAAACGTCAGTGAGGCATCGAAAATCCCATGCACGTATCTCCTTCAAATCGCTCTGCTACTTTGCTCTCTCTTGAAACTTCGCGGCGGTACTCCGCAATGGACCGCATTATGAAAAGTCAGCCAACTTGGCAAAATGCTTGGACCAAATCCATCCGACCTGCTCTGTTGGATCGTCTTGGTTCTTGGCCAACCATAACTCGCCCTTTTCGGCAATGACGTCGAAGATCTATTACCTTATCATTAGCATCACCGTTCACAATAACGGGTGAAAGTCAAGTCGAGACTGAGGAGCTCACCTCGCCGGCCTGGTAAGTCAGGTAAGGATACCCAGCCTCATGCTTGGTCGTGGCGATGTTGAACTCAAATAGCGACGCTGCCAGCCAAAGCACATTGTACCCGTCGCCTCCAGGTCCACCTCCGCGCTCGCGCGATGATGCCCTCGACGACAATCGGCTGCCACCGCCATCGTCGGGTCCATCAGGGAGCGGCAGCGCCGAGTGGAATAGGCCCGAGAAGCGCCGGCTCTCCTGCTGCGGATACATCGAGTTGTATGTCATGTTGGAGTCGCGCCGCTGGTGATCCGCCGAGTCCGTGCTCTGCCTAGGCACGATGCCTCCAGAGTCAAAGCTGCGCCCGGTGCTCGGGCGCGTCGGCGCCGTGGCGCCCGTGGCTGCCAGTGATCGGTAGCTCCCTGCTAACTCTGGCGTCATGTTCAGGGCTGTAGCTGCCGCGGTAGCACTGCTGCTGCTGGCCTGGGGCATTATGCCCGTGTAGTAATCCCGGTAGTAGTAGTGGTGGGGGCTCGGTAGACCCTTACCCGTGGGTGACATGGAGAGGGACCCGCTGTCGCGAAAATCGGGCGTCGGGAGGTAAGGCACCGATTCTCCATTCGTCGACATGCCTCTGCTGCGCATGGTATCAACATCGGACGGTCGGGGCGAGCGCGTCTTCTTCGACAGCGAATCATCGGCGCTGGCCGCCGTCGAAAGCGATGGGCGACCCGACGACACCTGCGGTCCGAGGATACCAATGGTCGCCAGCTGCTCGTCGATGTACGGAAAGTCTTGCTGAAACGTCGAGACAATATCATCGAGGTCTGGTATGTTGGGATGGCCTTCCAGGACCGATCTCATCTTGTCGCTCCACATGGCGTACCAGGCTGCCTGAATATTGACAAAGTTTCCTAGGCAAATATTGCCCACCTTCTCTGTCAATGCTGAGAGCTTGGGAAGTTCCTTCTTGAGAGCGTCATTGAGAGCTTCGTACTGCTCTACCAACTCTTGTAGCTTAGAGTCGCCGCTGCTCTTCCCGCTCCGCTTCAACTGCTCCATGCGCTCGTAGTCGAGTCGCCGCTTCTGTCGCTTTTTCATGGCCAGGGACGGATTCCCATAGGCCTTGATGACCTGCTCAAAGGGTTCAATCACTTGTTTCCTGACCTGGGCCAGCTGTTTAAGAAAGAGGAAGATTATTAGTTCATCCACCCTTCGGTGCAGTGCGGGCAAATGGAAGTCGACTTACGTGGTCCTCTAGAGCGACCTTCTCTATGTCCTGGATTGATATGTTGAACTGGACCCACTTGCTTTCGATCTCGGGGTAGTGCCCAGGCTGCAGTCGCATGACCAGTTCGACTGATGACATATACTGGAGGAATTCCCGTACATACGAAGACACCTGGCGCGTGTAAAACTCGACATCACGCAGCACAACTTGTAACCGGAGATAGTCATCGCCAAACCTCTCGTTGAGCTTTGTATAGTCTGGATCCTCAGGCAGCCGGCCGCCCGCCACCTGCAGTTTGTCGACGCGTTTTCCAAAAGCGCGAGCGAATCCGTTCCTGACATCAGATTCTTTGCGTTTGCGCCCAACGATCTGACCGACCAGCTCAAAGTTCTTCTTGGTCTTGTTTATGTCAATGATAGCCTCCTCGAGGGTCTCTTTAGCCGACATCAGCGCTTCTCGGTCAGGGTGGTCCTGTGGTGTATGCTGTAGGATCGTGATAATGAGGTTGGGGTACTTAGTGATACGCTGCATGGGCTTAATGAGCAACGAGTCCAAGTCCCAGGCTGCGGTGAATTCCTTGGCCACCTCGTTGCACTCGTTCAACCACACTTTGACAGTGGGGTCCTGCTGGATCTGAATGAGCCTCTTGGCAGCCAGGTCGCTGCTGCGCAAAAACCCTTCGTGGGCCAGCTTCATCTGGTCAATGTTGTTACCAAAGACTGGCCCCAGAGCAACATCACGGTCCTTGGCATCGCTGATCTCTGTCTGATCTGTGCCTTCGGCTGCCATACCGGGTCTGGGTGGGGCTGACTTGCTGCTCTTAGGCACATAGACGCTAGCCACCGCTTCCTTGATCTGGACAAGAAACGTAGTGTGAAAGGCGATGATGTCATCTGTGTTGCGGAATATCTGCTTGACCGTATTCGCGTCCAGTTTCGGGCAGGCCTCTGCCGTGCCTTTGTAGATTTCCTCCACAATGTTCATGTCTCTTACGAACACAGCTTCCGTGTCAATCAGTTCCTTCAACACATTTCGTCGCTGGACGAGGCGGTGGCGTTCCTTGTCTGGAAGGGGTTCCTCGCCATCAGGATTTTCCGGCAAGATGTTACTTCCTCTCTGCGAAGCACTGCCAGAGTACCGGTCCAATGCATTGATCGAGCCGGTTGACATGGTCTGAGGGGTACCGACCTGCTGCATATACTCTCCAACCTCTTGCGTTGGATCCACAAAGTCGCTACTGTATTGATGCCGGTCATCGTAAAAGGCACCAGAATTCCTTTCATCCAGACTAGAGCTGGGAGCGGAGAGGGGAACTGGCGGGGGGTCGTGGTTCGGTGACGGCATATGGGGTAAATTTTGTACCGGGGCCGGGGACAGGGCTTGAGCAGCGAGATCTTCATTTGGATGTTCTGGGTTTGGGGGTATTTCATGTTCTAAATAGCTTGCTGAAGGATCGGAGTGGTACGAGTCCCGTTCGGTCTGTGGTGTGGTCTCCGCTTCCCGCCGTGCCAGATCGCTGTCCCTCGAGAGAACTCTTGAGCCAAAGATAGTGACATAGCCATAGGTTGGTGACCCCGGCCCCTCAAATGCTGGCGACTTTGCAAGATCGGCGAGGTTGGGAGTTACTACACTGATGTCTGTCCATTGCGAGCGTTGACTCAATCGAGGTGGCCTCGAGTGAGGTGCCAATAGGTTTCTGGAAGTGTCAACCGGCAGTAGCTGGTAATCAGGGGGCTCCAGATCAGATGGGGCGGGATCAGCGTGGTCTCCCGTTTCTGACTCGGTGACACATGAAGACGCTCGATGTTCTAACAACCGATCGCCAAACAGTGACTCGGACATGTAGTCCTCTGTCCTCCCTTGGTCGTCTGTATCCTCTGCAGAGGCATCCGTGGTTGCATCCCCATGCTGCCCGGCACTCCCAGCAATGACATCGTGTGTGCTGTCCAAGTCAGAGCAGCACTCGGAGTCGTCGTGCATGTCCAACCTCGGAAAGGGTATGCTCTCCGTCTGGTCATCATCGCATTCCCCATCATCCTCATCGTCGTCGAGCACTGAAACGCATGTCGATGTGTCGTCCTGTAGCGTCCTCTCGTGTGTAAAATTGTAGTCTGTCTCGTAGTGGGGATTGATTGTTCCCTGGATGGCGTGGTAGCCCCCATCACCATCAAGTACGTCGGGCACCTCGTCAAATGGCGAGTGATACTCGGCTCGTGCACGTGACGGCATGCTGACCAACAACTCTGAACCGGGTGACTTCGCCATCGTAACAGACGCCTCCTTGGGTGAAGCAGGGGGGATGAATGACTGTCTCTGTGTGTCAAGGTCAAATTCTGTCGTCTCTGTCGCCGCTGATACTGCTGATGGCGGAGGTTCGTCGGCATTCATGAGCGGCGTTGACGTAGGGAAACTACCGGGGAGACCAAGGTCAGGGGACTCGACGATTGAGGTTATTATCGCTGGAGCCAAGGGGGCTGGTGGTGTTGGAGAAGCCTGAGAAGCCCGGGTCTCTGTCTCTTCCTCGCTTTGGGGTGCGACGAGCTGCGCAGCGGGTTCAGTGGCCAGATCTATTAGTAGGTTGCCAATTTCAGGGCTTGCGACTTTTTCCACGGGTACTGGACCTCGTGCTGGCTCTTCTCGAGCATGTTCAGTATCTGCTTCTTCCTCAATTGTCGCAGAAGGGGGTTGAGGAGCATGGCCCAAGCCTACGCCCTCCGAAGGCTGTGCCTCCGCCTCTTCCAATGTTGCAGCATCTAATTCTTGGCGTCGACGTTCCGCCGCTCGTTTCCGTGCTTCCAAGGCTTGGCTCTCCCGGAGAGATCTGCTATACGCAAGCCTTATGTGCTCTCGTCGCTGCTCGAAGTCGATGGGCCCGACTGATATCTTTCTGCGTCTTGTTGGTTCGGGTGTCGTCGAAAGATTCCTGGGTTGTTGTGCCCGAGTCGGAGGGGGCTTCATCTTGTCAACAGCCTTCATTCGCGAGCTCGCTGTCGACGCTGTGGAGACGGCTTGTCGTGGACGCGAGCTTCTTAACGGCGGCGATAGCTTTGGAGGAGGAGCTGCAATGTACGCCTCGAGCCTGCTGTTTGGTAGTTCAGGAGCTGCTTTGCGAGGGATTCTGCCTTGCACTGGCGTCTTGTTCCGAGATGTTGGCGTCGTGACTCTCGGTGATCTCCCGCTGGGTAGTGGCCTTCTTGTGCTCGAAGGCGAGCCTGAACCTGTGGGTTCTGGGCTGGATGATTTGGTCGGGCTGTTGAGCCTTTTCACCGACAAAGGAAGCCTCGAGGATGTCGAGGTCTGGTTGTTGTTGTTGTTGTCGTCGTTGATGTAAGGAGACAGATCTTGTGGGTTGCGGGTGGCGCCTTTTCGAGAGATGGCAGGGTTAAGTTCCGGCTGTTTCTGCGCCGAGACATCACTGAGCGACTGACCATGACCCCGAGAGTCTGAGGAAGCATTTACATCAACGTAATCGAAGGTCGTGTCTACATCGCGGTACCAATCTCCGGGCGACGAGGGTTTAGCATCTGTGAGTGATACACTTCGTTGGTGGTGACTGGCGGGTGCCGTGGTGGATTCGGATGCACCTCGTGGCCGGAGACTGTCGATGCCAAATCCTAAGGCAGACGTGTCGTACTGCTCAGGAAGGATCTCGCCGAAAAGAAGGCCTTGAGAAGAATGAGCCGAAGGTGAGGAACTGAATGATGGTGATGGAGGTGGTGGCTGAGCGGATGGAGGAATATTAGGGTTTGCACCGTTTCTGTTTCGGGGCCTGCCAATGCGACTAGCGAACGATTGCGCGTTACTCGATACTTGGTCCTCAGCCACGAATCTCGATCTCTGTGGCCGCGCCGTCTTGGAGGTGGAGCCAACGCCAGGAACCACGGGCTGGTCTGCTTCGCCATTTCGGATGGCCGAATATGAATGCATCATGTCCTTGCTTGCGTCAGACATGTCAGACCCATTTCTCCTCCTTCGTGGTGCGCCGTTGGGACTAGGAATAGATGAGGTTTCGCCGTTCTGATCGAAACGCTGCTTGAGGTCCTTGACGCTAGGCTTTCCTCCATACGGGGTACGCCCGGATGAGGCTGCAGCAGGCACACCCAGTCCAGTGCGAGTAGTATTTGAGGGGGTTCGGCCATTGTTGTTGGATAGCGGTACGCTTCGATTACGTATGGCGACTGGACGACGGGGGAGACTACGGTCGCGCTCGCGCTCGCGGTCGACCGAGTGGGAAGACGAGGTAGCCATGGGTAGACACTCGGGAGCGGGGTTGCTGTTATACTCAAGGTTCGGGTTGTGGTAATAGCTCTTGTAGAAATCGTCGGGGTTCACGGCGTTGAAGTCATGGCTGTGGGCGCGTGCTGGAGCGGCGCCGTGGTGGTGATCGACCGAGGCGGCGTCTACACGCCAAGGTGGGGGATGGTCGTTTTGGGTGGTGAAATGATGGTGAAAAGAAGCTACGGACGCAGACGCAGACGGTAGGGATTCGTATTCGGGGCGGTGACGGTACGAGTGGTTATACTCGTGAAGTAGACGATGTGTGAGTCGAGGGTCGTCATGGGCGTTCTGGAGAGGGTGAGAAGGATGCTGGTGGTGATGTTGATGTTCAATAGCAGCAAAAGCATGACCCTGTCGGTCAGCGGCAGAGCCCAAGTCGTCGTTATCCATGATGATAGCGCCAGGGCTAGCTGGGCGCCGTGGAAATGGGGGCCTCAGGAGCATCTGGTCGGTCAGGGCTGTCGGGTGAAACGACTGGCCAGGCGAAAGTGTGGTGGGTGCAAGTAGCATCCATCGATGCGTTGTGCGAGAGTGACTGGTTGAAAGGGACTTGGCTGGCAGGAAAGCGGGCTGGTAGGATGGGACGTTATGGACAGGAGCATCGCATGCGTTTGGACCGGGGGCCTGGGGGGAGGCCGGGAGGGGGGTAACCGTTGATTGGAAAGGTGGGCGGCCAGAGGTAGACAACCAGCATAGAATGCGACTCTGGCTGTACGTGGCTCACCAGGCTTCGGTAGCTAGTGCACCAGGCACAAGGGGCAGCAAGGGCAATTGCGAGTTGAACGGCAAGCTGCCAGAATTGGGTGGCACTTGGGTCTAGCGCACCCGGAGAGCGTACAAAATTGATATGTGGTCATACACTGTTGCGGGAACTAACATCAAAGCGAGGTATTCCGAATAGACAGCATTGGTCGAAGCGCTACATCCTATAATAAGATTTTTTTTTTTTTTAAAAGAAGGGGGAAATCAAAGCAACGATAGACGAGTAATATCGACCGTAGTAGTAAGTCCTGGGGGGGGGAAGCAGGAAAAAGTACAAAGCAATCACTGCAGGACCTCACTGCAGCCCATCCATCCATTCACCCATACATCATACATGTAGACTGTACCTGTAGTGGTAATGGTGCCAGGCCATCTGCGTACCTACTCATACTCATAGCTGTACTCGTACTACTAGACAGAGATTTTTCCAGCGGTGCACCGGTGGTATTGCGCGTGTTCGTGCCCGTATGAGTAACAGTGTTGGCTATTGTCAATTGCTGTACGCGTCTCCAATGTCTACGACGTAATGCTCGCAGTAAATATAGTAGCAATGTACTCCGTATCCATCTTCAATATTTTTGTTCGTATTCTGCTCGCATAGACATGGGGGTGCCTCTAGGCCTATCGGAGTAAAGTGTGCCAATACTACGAGACGAGTACGAGTAGATTACTGAGCAGGGTCTGTTGTCTCCCAATCGCCATATGAGTACTATCGCCGGGCCATGGATTATGCCGGCCCCGGCGAGATGAGAGATTCACCCAACGGTCGAGCCTTACGATAATATAATAATACATGTATATTCGTGTCGTATCATTACTTGTAGACTGTATTAATAATGCAACTTGTGGCTAGTTCGCACTAAATAAGAACCGTATCCGTACGAGTACGACCAGTATGAGTATTTATACTAACGTTAATTTTCCCATAGACTATTGCTCCTTTTTAATGTGCTCGTTCATTGCCCGTGCATTGCTCACACCACAAAATGCTGACGAAGCAAGGACGGGCCATGTTGTATCTCATATAATACTACTAATAATAGTTGTGGTAATATTCAAGGCACCAGTATAACCGACCGCTCTTGTACATCTATCTCCCCTGGCCGCCCCCAACTGACTTTTCAAACATTCAAAACATGCCGGCACTCTGCGACGACTGTGATTGTCATTGTCCCCGCTAAGCGTGGCATTAAACATATTTGACCAGTTCGTCATATTGACTACGTTTCCACGGCGTGCGCGGTACTGGTAGTATATGTACGGAGTAGTTGTCAATAGTATAGGCTATAGCTTGTAGGCCACCCTCTGGAGCTTGTAATAGAGTTCATGGAGTTTAGTTCTCGTCGGTCTGCCTTGTCGACGTAGCCTACGGGCTAATAAGTAATCTGGACTCGTACGGAGCTAGAACTTCAAGCCCATCAAACCTGAAGCAAGGTGCGCCAAGACATCCCTTACATGCCCACTAATTTTACCAGTCCAGGCCCAGTGCAACAGCAACATGGTCTCATGTAAGGGACGGACTACGAACGGGAAGCCGCTGCTCCGTGCGACGACCAAAAGAAACGACAAGTTGAAAGAAGAAGAATGAGAGTCCGAGTGATCGCAGGCTCACGGAATACTTTGTCTTCCTAATCGGAGGCTATAGAGGTGATATTAAAACGTATTGTAGGGGAAGTAATATTCCGTAATACTACTGATAGGGTCATCATGGTTTCATCTCGAAGTACCTGTGTTATTCCTTCACGTCACAGCATCTGCAGATAGACACGTTTGTGTGTCAGTTTGCTGTCTGTGGTTTTCCGATCGCATAACCTTCTTATGTGTTGATTCTTCTTCCTTTTTTACAAGAGGAAGGGAGAAGAGAATCCCTTCTAATCATCTGGTCCTGGCTTTTTTTTAATACCGGTGAGTCAATGGCGGCTCTTTAATGGCCGACATTATTACCCTGTTTACTCGTGCTATTATTTGCTTACGAAACATCCTCAAAGGCATCCCCCACCATCGCCTTAGCCTGTGGCAATAACATTGAACTTTGAGAGTTCTCGGGGTCCTGAAAAGAAAAAAAGAAAGAAATCGGCTCATCCAATATATCAAGTTCGTAGGAAGAGAGGAAGCTGTAATAATGCCATTCGTCCCACATACTTTGTTTGAGGCGGATCGCAATACATGCATGCATATTAGTACGGAGTGATGATTGTCTTCAACTTCCTACCCCTACGATACGGCTGTGCGACATTTCTCTGCGGAGCACTCAAGATCCTTCACGTACGCGGTAACACTCGTGAATGCAAATTCCGTCAATATGACCTTTATTGGTATGGACCATGGCTGCCACTACACGTGCGTTTTTGTTGCAAAGTGTGTACCTGTTAACTGTACAAGAACCAACAAGACACCAGGGGGTGTAAGGTTTCCGGAGAGAAAAATTGCCACGTCGTCGTTCTGTTTTGCTGTCTACTACAGTACGTTGAGGGTATTCTCGTAAGGACTTGGAATTGGCTGACTGGCTCAGTCAGTCCTTACTTATTATTGCTCCTTTGCCAAGACTAGCAATGGACTAGATCCGTGATGATGTTACGTCGCACGCAGACACACGCGTGTCTCCGACTAGCTAGCAGCCTTGCTGTGACTTCTCCTCTTCCTTCTCTCTCCTCTCCGCCTCTCTGAAGTGTTTCCCGTATTCATGAGATATGGGACTCCACTCTCATCAGTGAGCCATTATTCTATTTCTTGAGCCATTCTTCTCTCAGCACCCCGCCTCTCCCTCTGTTTTACTCGTATTCGATACTCACAGCGTCCCGCTCGCTGTTTCTGTATTCCCTGCCCCTCCCCCACTCAAACCCTGACAGCAGTAGCGGCTACCCCTCCCCCAGCTCCTTCCCTCTCTCGCTACGCCAGCGTCAAACCATACAAAGAAGAAAAACAAACAAAACAACAGGTGCAGAAAAATAAGAAAAGAAAAAGGCCGCTATGGACGACAAGATACTTGCCGCTTCGGCTAAACACCCTATTGTTGCCGACCTTGTCTACAAGTATGGTACTGCCGGCTTCCGCATGAAGGCTGATCTTCTCGATGGTGTCTCGTTTCGCGTAGGTCTTCTCGCCGCTCTGCGCAGCCGCCGCCTCAATGGTCAGGCTATTGGTGTCATGATCACCGCCAGCCACAACCCTGCCCCCGACAATGGCGTTAAGATCGTCGACCCCATGGGCGAGATGCTTGAGCAAGACTGGGAGGCCCATGCCACGCGCCTTGTCAACTGCACCTCGGATCAGGACCTGCTCGACACCTACAAGACCCTCGCCACCCAGCTCAAAGTCGACCTCTCGGCCCCCGCCCGCATCATTTGTGGCCGCGATACTAGACCTTCTGGCCACGGCCTTGCCGCTGCCCTCGCTGACGCTTGCGAGGCCACCGACTCCGAGTACACTGACTTCAAGAGGGTCACCACCCCGCAACTCCATTACCTGACGCGCTGCATCAACACCGAGGGCACCCCCAAATCCTACGGCAAGGTCAGCAAGGCAGGCTATAATGAGAAGCTGTCCGGGGCCTTTGTTCGTGCTCTCCGCGGCCGCAAGATAAAGGGCCAGCTGACCGTCGACTGTGCCAACGGCGTCGGTGGCCCTGAGCTGTCGGAGTTCCTCAAGTTTGTTCCTAAGGATGTCACCGGCTTTGACGTCCGCGTCGTCAACGATGATGTCCTGAGGCCCGAAGTCCTCAACCTCGACGTAAGGAGAATTTTCTGTACCACGATCACTACACACCGCCCTTATATTTCTTCCCCGCTTGTTTCTTGGCCGCCTCTTGGCGTAACCACTCTTGCTTATTGCTGCTGATAATTGTCGTTATTACTGTAACAGTGTGGTGCCGATTTTGTCAAGACCAAACAGCGTGCCCCGCCGAGCCCCCAGCCTGTTCCCGGGGTCCGTGGCTGCTCCTTGGACGGCGATGCCGACCGTCTGATCTACTACTGGCTGGACCCCGACACGGGCTTCTTTATGCTCGACGGCGACCGAATCTCTTCCCTCAACGCCTCCTTTATCGGCGACCTTGTCCGCTCTGCTGGACTCGAGGACGAACTCCGCATCGGTGTTGTCCAGACGGCCTACGCCAACGGTGCCAGCACCACCTACATTCAGAAACACCTGCAGTTGCCCGTTGTCTGCACCCCAACCGGCGTCAAGCATCTGCACCATGCCGCTTGCCAGTTTGATATCGGTGTTTACTTCGAGGCTAATGGCCATGGTACTGTCGTCTTCTCTCAGGATGCCACACGCCTCTTCCGTGAGAAGGAGCCCCAGTCTCCCGCTCAGAAGGACGCTCTCGAGACCCTCAGTGCCGTCTCCGACCTCATCAACCAAACCGTTGGCGACGCCATCTCCGACATGCTCATGATCGAGGTCATTCTTGCTCACAAGGGATGGTCCCTTAAGGACTGGGCCATGACCTACACCGACCTGCCCAACCGCCTTGTCCGCGTCGAGGTCGGTAACAAGGACCTCTTCCAGACCACCGACGCCGAGCGCCGTCTCAGCCACCCTCCCGGCCTGCAGAATGAGATCGACGAGTGTGTCAAGAAGTACAGCAACGCACGTTCGTTCGCCCGCGCTTCCGGAACCGAGAATGCCTGCCGCGTGTACGCCGAAGCTGCAACGCGATCCGAAGCCGATGAGCTGGCCAACAAAGTTGCTCAGCTCATTAAACAGTTCGGAGCCTAGGGAGCTCAATGAATATGCCAAAAGAGCAAAACACCTTTTTCTTTCCACTGACGAAGAAAAAAATACATGAAACCCAAAAAAAGATATGTGAAAATGACTAGCTAAAAAGCAAATGCAAAGCGAGGAAGAAAAAAGTTTCTATGAACGATAGCTACACATTCAAGTCATCCTAATGGCTTGAGAGACAGATGTTTACTTATAAGGCAAGGGGCGAAAAAGGCGTGCTGCCAAAAGGAAAGAAGTGAAACGAGATGCATGAAAGAAAAGCCTGTGTTATTGATTTTTCGAAAATCAACTTTTTTGTTACCTTCAATTCACTACCAGAGATGGCACTTGCTTATAAGAACCATCGAGACCTCTTTTTCATCTCTGTGCACGCCACACCTAACGCCACAAAATTTCGCCACCACTCCCGTCACGTGCTAGACGCGTCTTGCTGCATCAATCATGATCACCAACCTCAACTCTCCCTCCATATATGCCAGGTGTGGCAGAAGAAACAAGACCGAGATGGGGAATGGATCAACTACGTAAGCGAAAATTCAATATTGAGGGTGTAGTGGCCGTGGAAGCCTCCAAGAAGCTGAAGGCGACGGACATACCATCCCAATCACCCACTAGGCGCGACCTCTTGGAACAGATCTACCCATATGTTCAGACGCTCCGGCAGCATCTCCTCACGAAACTCCCCTCCTCATCAAGGTTGCGTAGGAAGAAGATTGTTACCTTGGGCCAGGCCGGCACGCCCCACAACGACACTGAGGCCCTCCTGTCTCGCTTTCTAGACACGACCCTCGTGTGTGCCTCGAGCCCCGATATCGTCAACCCTGTTGCTCCAGTGCGCGAGACGAGATGGAAACAGTGGCTGCACTTTTCCCAGAAATTTGACGAGTCGTATGTTACGATTTCTGGAGATATCGAAGATGCATTTTCCTCACAATCTGATGTTCGTTGTTGCCGTCCTCTTCTCTACCCCGTCCTTTCCTTCCTGGTAGTAGCTGACCTGGGTGCAAAAGATCATCGACTTTGTCATCTGGCTTCTCTTCTCGAGGGAAACAAAGCCTGCCTCATGGCCTAAGCACTTGCTCTGCGATGGGTTTCGAAAATTCCCCTTGGATAGTGATGCCGATGGACTTACGACCATCCCCGGCGTCTTTAGGTGGTTCCCTAATTCGCATGAAAAGACATTGAGAGAGGCGCCTTGGCCGCATGTTCTTGCTTTACTGGGGAGTTCGGGGGAGAAGGTCATGATTGACTTGCTTATTGACTGCTCCATATTTGTGGCTGTCCAAGTTGGGTCTGGCAATTATTATCAGCTCAGCGGTATGTCAACGCGCCGTCTGTTGAACAGTGATTGGGATGCAGTTGTTCTGACGAGTTGCAGGAATTCCGTTGTCGGAACTCGACCTATCCCATAGTGGGCCTCACGTTGATCAGAAAGCAGAAGACTTCAGCAGGGCACCGTCGGATATCACCCTGATGAGAAGCAAGATCTTCTACGCGAGACCGAATCTGACGGACAGGGGAATAGTCCAAGCTAGATTCAAGCACATACGTATGGCCCAAATAGCCCTTCTTTTTTTGTTCAAACTTCCAGTTCAACTAACGTTTATCTCATAGATGTTCTGAACCGGTTTCCTTGGGGTTCGGTGCCTGAGCCAGCTCTAGAAAAGGTAATTACTGGTGGTGAAACGTTGAAGGTACAGCAACTCAATACCATCACTGTCATGATGTACATTTTTCCACGCCAGTTCAAGCTGCACAACGTCTTTACCTCCAAGGTAGACCGAACCAAGACGGCCCAGAAATACCAAGACTATACTGTACGCGATGCAGAGATCGAGCCCCACGTCCAGGACCACTCACGAGACGGCCGCCTTCCAAAGATTCCCAAGCGGCTGAGGGGGACTGCTGAAGACCTTGTAAGACGTTTACAGATCCGACATAGCCGCTGTTCATACATTGAACTTCTTGATCACTACTGTCCGTCCAATGTCGGGCACGTTGGCAATCGCCAAACTCCTCGGAGGGTTGCTAGCTCAACATGCAAGGGCTCTCCAGGTGCCGCACAGCACAAACCTCGCTCTCTCCCGAAGGGCAAAAAACATCGAAAAACACAGTCACAGAAACCTTCGCATGTGGTCTCGCCTTTTGACACAATCGTGGAGCTAGCCAGCCCCATGGCGCATGTATCAGCCTTTTGTCGTGCGGTTCTCTCCAAGATCATTCCAGATGGTTTCTGGGGGGAAGGTGACATCATGCAGCACAACAAGAGGCTTGTATTGCGCATGGTGGACCATTTTATTCGGTTGAGACGGTTCGAAACCATTTCATTACATGAGCTTATTCAGGGATTAAAGGTATGCATGCTCAAGATTGCTCTTGATCTCTCTGTCGGATAGCGGCTGCTAACCAAGAATAGATAGCACAGATACCTTGGTTACAGCAACCACATTTGCAGAAAAAAAAGACCAGCTGGACAGATATTCAGAAGCGAGCGGATCTATTTAACGAGCTTCTGTTCTTTGTCTTTGACTCTCTTCTCATACCCCTTCTTAGGAGCAACTTTTACGTGACCGAATCAAGCACGAACCGCAGCCGAGTATTCTACTTTCGACATGATGTGTGGAAACTTGTGGCTGAGCCAGCGATGGCCACCTTGAAGAAGACTATGTTTGAGGAAGTCAGGTTTGCAGATGCAAAGAGCGTCCTTGATTCGAGGACCCTGGGCTACAACCAGATCCGGCTCTTGCCGAAAGGGAGGAACTTGCGCCCCATTATGAATCTTCGAAGAAGAGTCATGGCGAAGCGCGGCCCGAAAACACTGGGGCCCAGTATCAATACCATACTGAAGCCTGTTCATACGTTTCTGAAGCTGGAAGGAGTGAGTTCAACCCCTTCTTCGTGTGTTACAGAACTACCGCAAGGTGAAATTCTGACGTGTCTAGGCGCGCAACCCTGAAAAACTCGGGTCCACCTTGTTTTCTGTCAACGACATATACACGAAGCTGAAGAGCTTCAAGGCCAGCTTAGGCCCCAATCACCAACCACTATACTTTGCAAAAGTAGATGTGCATGCTGCCTTTGACACCATTCCCCAGGACGCCGTGGTACGACTTATGGGCTCTGTGCCAAGTCAAGAACAATATGAGATAGCGAAACATGCAGAGGTGACACCTGGTGAGCGTTCCGTCGCAGAGGCGGCCAGGACGGTGACCAAGCCCTTGTGTCGATGGTACGCCACAGCCCTGGGAGACGGCGAGTCGGCAAACTTCCCAGACCGGCTGGAGACCAATCTCGGTACCGGCAAAAAGAACACGGTATTCATTGGCACAGCGGCGCGCAGGACGTACGATGCCGCCAATCTGCTCGGCCTCCTCGCCGAGCACGTTACGAGGAACCTGGTCAAGATTGGGAAGAAGTACTACCGCCAAAAGGTTGGCATCCCCCAGGGGTCCATTTTATCGTCCTTTCTATGCAACTACTTCTATGCAGATCTCGAAGTCCGCTACCTGGGCTTCCTCAACGATGGCTCCTCCGACAGTCTCCTGCTCAGGCTCGTTGACGACTTCCTCCTCATTACGCTTGACAAGAGCAAGGCCGTACGGTTCGTCGAGACCATGCACCGCGGCATACCGGAATACGGCGTCGATGTGAACGCCAATAAGACCATGGTCAACTTCGACATGGAGCTGCGGGATGGGCCGGTGAAAAAGGTCACCGAACGGGGGTGGTTTCCCTATTGTGCTACGCTGATTGATTGTTCCACCTTGGATATAACCCGGGACCAGGCCAGAAGAAAGATGACTGGTATGTGTGAACCCCCCCCAAAAAATAGTGACTTATAATGTGTCATCTAATGCAGAGTGAAGACGTCGCCGATACCCTTACCGTCGAATTTGGAAGATGTCCGGGACAGAACTTCGAAAGAAAAGTCCTGAGTAAGTGTTGCACTCTGTATCTCTTTTATCCTGCGATGATAATTCTCCGGCAAATTCTGACCGTAACTGGTGCAGACACGTTCAAGATCCAGTCGTACCATATGTTCTATGATACGGAGCATAATTTGACCAGCACAGTCCTCATGACGCTTTACGGTGCCTTTTGCGAGACAGCTACCAAAATGTGGGCATATGTTCGCTCTCTACCTAAACCAAAGCGGCCAAGAAGCAGCTTGATCATCCGTAAGTTCTGGAGATACCGAGGGGTCTGACCCAATCGCTAATTGATGTCCTAGGAGCCATTGTGAAAGTTATCGACGTTGCATTCTTGCTTCTGGCTAGTAAGGCGAGGAAGATGAAATATGAGGTTTACGTCTTTGACTTGCGCAAATCGCAGGTAGCAACGTGAGTACGTCCCCTCTTCAGTCTATCACGGGACCCAGTTTACTAATTGGCGCGATATAGATCTGCCTACGAAGCCTTCTCTGAGATACTTGGTCGGAAGCAGGCGGGCTACGACGCTGTTATATGCTGGTTACGCAGCAAAATGGACAAGTCTGGAGGGCAAACGAAGGGGGGGTAGTCTCGATGATGAAAACTATCACTATAAAAGGGGGCAGGAATAACTGCAGTCTACAGCCATGATACACGTGCTTATAGTAGTGCTCCGTCGCATGCTACTGTATATGTCCGGAGCCCAAAAAACAGCGCAAGGGACAAAATTCCATGTGGGCACCTGCCCGTAATCCATTTACAGTGCAATGCCGCTTTGCCACCAGTTCTTCGCAGTATACCACCTAGGCATGTAATGGCCATCCCAGCGCCACCAGTTGTCGTGCGGGAAGCCATACCCAACCATGCGGAAGAAGGAAAACGGCACGGGTTCCAGTAGCCAGAGGCCGGCATCACTCAAGTCCATGGTAAACAAACTTCCTGTCGCATGTAACCATAGCATTTGAAAGACAAAATTGATTGCATAGCAGGCATCGTGACTTGGCCTGATAGCTGATGGGAGATATTTTGGGAGAGCAAACGATCCTCCAACCTGGATAATGATGCCGAGTGCTTGGAGCATGAAGAAGATAGGCGTCCTCCAGATGCTGCCGGGACCCATGGATGACGCGCTGCCTGAAGCATGAAGTAGTCCTGATTGCATAAACGAGACCAACAAAAGGGTCAGGCCTGCCACAGGAGTGCCTTTCTTAATGTATCCGCGGCGCAAGAGCCACTTTGCCGGAGCAGCAAACGGCACGCGGAACGACTGGTGCCATGTAGAGCCCCAAAGCCCAGCGAGACCACGAACGAATGTCGGCGTGATCGATCCGAAGGTGGGCGGCTGTTGCCAAAGCTCACCACGACTAGGGAAAAAGTAGCTGAAGACGTAGTACTGGAACAGGTCGTTTATGTTGAGGAAAAGAGAGATGGCGGCAGCCACAGCTACGACGCAAGAGACCTGCCGGTAGACGTACAGGGCCTCAAGCATCAGGTACTGTTCGAAGGGTTGTAGCTCATCATCGCGCTTTAAGTAGTGTGGTAGATTGTCGAGGTTCATGAGGCTGGCATACTCGGATCCTACAATGAAATAGGGATCGCTGGTCATTGTAACAGCCAGGAAGTCGAGAATGATGTACATAGTTGCGATGGTACCTATGCGACCCCAGAGGAACTCGGACTCTGTAGCGCAAAGCCGATAACCAGACTCAGTAGACACAGGAATGGAAGCGATATCGACTGGGGTACCATATGGAATGCCGTTGCTCGAAGGGACCTTTGGCCTCGGAAGTATGGAAGGGGCCCAATTCCAGCCTGCTAGGTTGAAATTTGTCATCAGAGAATCCTATACTGGATAGAACAAGACAGAGTTTCCCTACCAACGAAACGGAGGTCGGTCATCAAATCAAAGGCCCAGTTCAGCCGTTCCAAGAAAGTCCCATCTATAGGAAAAGGCTGCCAAACGTACTCATACTCAACTTGGGTAGCCACCTGAGCAGTTTCGGCCTTTCGTGAAGTCGCGGTGTCGTGCTTACGATGTCGCAGCTGGTCTTGGGCCGAAGAAACGTTGAAAGCATGCCGATCCCCGTCGTTTCTATCAGCCTTGGCCACCTTCGGCCTCCTCATGATCCTGGCTGCATCCTTCTGGGCGTCGTTCCACACCAGGATATTCATTGTCGAAAGAGTACCCCACCCGGCCATGAGCCCAGAGGCATAAGCGAAGGCCATATTGCTGCTTGAAACATCTTGAGCGACGTGGATGTTGAAAACGATGACGAACGCAACAACTAGCCACTGCATGCCCCTCATCCATTGAGAGTGCAGATGCGGGATCGCGAGCCAGAGTGTCGGGACTATGAAGGCGCCCAGGATACCATACGGCAGCGTGAATGGCAGGGATCTTCCATCAGCAACAGCCTGGGTGAACTCGGCACGGTATTTGGCGCGGACAAAGTCTGCAAGATGTTCCAGCGGGACATTTTTAAAGTCCGACATGGCTCCGTCTTCTCCCTTCTGAGCTCTGGAGACAGCGAGTATCCACGTGTTGGTCAATGAGCAATCTACCAGGATGCTGCAATGTCCCCCGCTTCGTTTTTGTGATATCGTCAACGTCGAAGGCGGAAGCTGCTTGAATTCATCAGCTGCGCTAGCACATTGATACAGCGTACGAAGAAGACTAGCGGAGTACTGCCAGTATGACGTATATAGCCAGGTATAGGTAGCGTCGAAGGCAGTTATACATGACTCTTTGGAACGATATTCGAGTTCGTGTGCTACTAATTGCATAATATTCTCTGCTCTCTGTTTTTTTCCCCATCCCGCAGGAAAGAGCAGTGCAGGGCTCTTGCTACTTACAGGTCAGGGTTACGATGATCCACACACAGTGAGCCACGTTTGCAAGTAAGAAGAGGCATGATATTGATAGTCTGTAACTTTCAACATTTGAAGACCACTGATGTAATGACAAGGTTGCTCGATAGCCAATGGGCAATAATAATGAAAAGAAAAAGAATAGAAGAAAAAATAGCTCAGTAGGTTTATTTATTTGTTGGGTCATCAGGCAAATTACTCATACGAATGAGCAGTGCAGTGCCAAGAGTAGCTTTGGAGCTCTGGAGATTTCCCCGCAGCGCCGACTTTTCTCGTACGAACAATACCGGCTTGTTGCTGACGGTTGTTGCTGCCATGAACTATGGATAATACCCGTCGCCCAACTCCTTATATTACTTTGCGTGAAACGGGCTATTGCTCCTCATCTCCATATTGTTTAATACATGTTAAAGAGCAGGCTGCAGCCGTACAGTACAGTAAACTCATTTTACTGTCGACACACTGCCCAAAAATACCGTACGTACAAACTAGAAGTTTCACGACCTAAAGGGCCATATAATATCTGCTCCTGTCCAATTCTTGCATCCTGGTAGCTTTGTGAAACTGAGACGAATCACATCACCACTCTTCGCCTGAAAGTTGCTCTAACCCGAGAATAGATCCACAGCTGAATACCCGATTCTGAGCGTATTTTTTCTCTGATGGTGAGATGGGCACTAGTGAAGGGGTGCAGTCAACAAAACCTGACAACCGGCGGATGCGTAAGGCCTGCGACGAGTGCAGTAAGCAATTCTTGATTCCGCCCTCCCTCAATTTCATCCCAGAGACTTACTAACAACCACATCATCAGGGTCACGCAAGGTTTCATGTTCAAAGGGGATAGATGGCTGCTTGAGATGTCTCCAGCATGGTATTCAGTGTCATTATTCGCTCCAAAAGTCCATGGGTCGGCCCCGAAAGCGGCGTCTTGTTGACGAACCTTCTGACAAACAGACCTCAATGGCGGTCGACAAGGCCGATGCCTTTCCCTCCCCCATTATCCCCAGCACGCAGCCAGGGAGTCCGGACAAGATAGACTTCTATTCCATATTCGAGCCGACCCTTAGTTTTTCCAATGATCAGCTTTCGCCTGGGGAAAACGATTTTCTGGACCTATTACAAACAGAAAGTCCCCACAGTGAGCCAAAAGTGCTTCACGCAGGCCATGACTCAGCCAAATCAGCACAGTTATCATTCCCCTCTGATGGTCTTGGTTTGATGAGTGGTGTCGTTTTTGGCGACGAACTTAGCTCATCGTCAGCCTCGATCATCGAAGACGTCGGCAAGTTAATCCAGCGAAATTGGCAATCCCAGAAGTTCAAAGACCATTTTCAGCTTGCCGAACTTCCCGAGGCCACTCCTGGTGAGAGTTCCGAGTCTGCGGCGTCTCAGGTCCCCTCTTATTGGAAAGAACTTTCGCTGTCCTCATGGGATGCGTCGCCTGGTCCTACTTCGATAATCGACCGCATCCCTTGTGAATGCCTGTCCTCTCTCTACCTGGCCCTCGACTCCCTCTCTCGTTTACCTAAAGATGCAGATGGTGCTTTGCGCATCGCCCGACGTGCCTCCGAAGTGGCTCATGATGTTGCCCGGTGCACAAAGTGCTCTGATATAGCAGTGGAGGATCTCCTCAAGACACCCGTTATGCAGTGCTTTCAGAACAGAATGTGTCTTGCTACTCTCGTTCCATCCACGTGCAACGCTTATGCTGCTATTCTCGATATGATTGACAAGCAAGCTGCTGCTGCCCGGGAAAATGGAAATACTGTACGGCTTTCATTCAATGAGGTTGGCAGCATATTTCCAACCTCCGGTGCCGACAAGGACTGGACAAAGCTATTGCATTGCAACAATCACGGGATAGGCCCAGACCTGTGGCGTAGCATTATGCGTGCCATTATACGTGTCGATGTCTGCGGCGTCGATATCCCTCCGACCGATATGCTAGGAGACATCCATTACAGGTACGGGCTGCGTTATGTCGTCAAGCTCATGGAAGAAGGCAGTGGCGAACGTCATAAATACATGGATAAGCTCGCTGCCGAAGGCAGACTGCATGAGGTGCGCTGTATGGGATGGGATCAGCCATACCGGCCCCTGCCACCTAAGGAAAGAAACTGTTTGAGAATGTTAGACGCAGCACACGCAGCATTGGACAACCTAAACATTGTATGAGAGGGCTTGGTACCCCGATGTTGGAGAAAAGTGAATGTATTTATGTATAAATGCAAGTACCTAGCCGTGCTTCCTCCTTTACTTACTTTTCCATTGACGTTTTCTCCCACCAGGTTTTTCCTATTTTTTCGTAGGCGGCAATTCCTATGTGTAAGGCGACATCATATAAAAGACTTGTTCATATGCGACTGAATCCTGGCGGTTTCCCACTTTCGAACGCAGCGACCACAGGCCACCAAGGCTTTCCGCCCGCTCTCCTGAAAGTTCTGAACTTCATAATAATTAATAAATCATACCTGCTTTGTTGATTACGGATATGTAACAGCTTGAATCAAGTGTGAGACTTGGAACTCTATCAACTGTCAATAGATCGTCGTGACCCTGAAAAACACCGACAGCTCTGTATGGCCAATCAATTCCTCTCACCTTCCCCTAACAGCGACAGGAAATTTTGACATTCCCTTTCACTCGCCACACTTCGATCAACGTTCTCTTCTCTTCTCATCACCATTCCCGCCCCCATTTCCCGATGATTTAACTTGCCTGTGCGCAGCTTCGATTTCGCCGTCGGTCGACCGTACGTCAGACACCAAGAAGCTGCATGTATGTCATCCAGAGGGGAACACCTCAAGCATGAGGGCTCCAAAATACAGGTCGTGACAGCCGGTGCTATCGCTGGGCTCGTGTCGCGGTGAGTGGTACTACAACGGCTTCTATGCGCTCCCATTATTCTCTTGTTTTACTGAGAAAAATACTGTCCGCTTTAGCTTCGTCATCGCGCCGCTTGATGTCATCAAGATTCGCCTCCAACTACAGGCACACTCCCTGTCCGACCCCCTCGAACCCAAGCGACGAGCACCTCCCTACCACGGCGCCATCGAAATGTTGCGACACACTGTGCGTCACGAGGGCATCACGGGACTATGGAAGGGCAATGTCCCAGCTGAGCTCATGTATGTGTGCTACGCAGCTGCGCAGTTTGGCACGTACAGGTCCGTGACACTTTTCCTCGAGTCGTCAGGCCTGTCGGTCAAACTCCCCGACGCGGCCGAGAGCTTCGTAGCCGGCGCGTCGGCCGGCGCCATGGCAACTACTTTGACATACCCGCTCGACCTGCTACGCACGCGTTTCGCCGCCCAGGGCCGCAAGCGCGTCTACACCTCTCTCCACGGTGCCGTGGGTTCCATCTGGCGCGATGAGGGCTTCCGTGGCTTTTTCCGCGGCCTAGCCCCCGGCCTCAGCCAGATCGTCCCCTACATGGGTATTTTCTTCGTCACCTACGAGCAGCTGCGCATCGGTCTCGTCGACTTAGACCTGCCGTGGGGTAGTGGTGATGCCACGGCCGGCGTCGTCGGTAGCGTCCTCGCCAAGACGGCCGTTTTCCCACTCGATCTCGTGCGCAAACGCATCCAGGTACAGGGTCCCACCAGGAGCCGCTACATCTACGGTGATATTCCTGAGTATACAGGCGCGCTGAAAGCCCTAAAGTCCATTGTTCGCAGGGAGGGTGTTCGTGGACTCTTTAGAGGTCTGCCCATTGGGTTGCTCAAGTCTGCGCCCACGGGTGCCCTCACCATCTGGGCATACGAACGGACACTAAACACGATTCTGGAGCTAGAGAAGAAGAAAGAAGAGTTCAAAAACATCTAAGGTCTTATCTATCCTTGAGGGTACTCTAGCACGAGAAGAAAAGTCCAGCAGAAGACAAAACTAGGGGCAACCCGCCAATTTTAATACTGTAACGATATTACCTAGGCATGTATCATCTCTCTCATATCGTCTGCTCCTACCTTCCTAGGCCTCGGTTCACCTCGTCCGCCTTTTCGATACAATCCTCAATCACTGCCCAGAACTTGGCGGTGTCGCAGCCCCGGGGAATTCGGACACCGGGCTGTCCCGGAGGAAGCTCCTTGGCGATTGTGCGGCCAGTCTCAGCCTTGCCTGCTCTGGCCTCATCGAAGGTGCCCTCGGTCACGATGGTCACCTCAAAGCGCTCGTCGTGCTTGGGGTGGGTGCTCTTTGCTTCGTTCCAGTCATAGAAGGGTATCTCGTCCTCGGTTCCGGTGAGAACCAGAGCAACAGCCAGAGGATCATGCAGAGGAGGCCCTTCAGTAATGCCGAATTGGGTACTTAAAGTTGCAACGTCAGTTGAAGAATATAACAAGCATTAACAAGGACGTGCACTAACGAATATGTCTGGGAAAAGTAGTACAAGAGTTCTACAAGCATGTGGCGCAATTTCGTGTTGGCCTTGCCGTCTCCCTCGTCTCCCTTAGCCTCCTTTCCGTGAAGGAGGACATCGCGGACCTTTTCCGTGGCCAGGACCTGGTGGCTTAGGTCGAGGGGCACAATGGATGTCTTGGTTGCGATGACGGGGTTGCTGAAAATCTCAGACGCAGCCTCCGGGTCCACGAAGATGTTAAACTCAGCGTAGGGCGTCCAGTTGCCGATGCGCTCCACACCATTAACGCGGCCCAATGGAGCGTCTGAAAACCCGCCACCGATGGCACCGCCCATCAGGCTCAGCCCGGCAATGTGCGACGCGAGATCTGGGTGCTTGCGCATCAGGGCACCGACGTTGCTAAGTGCACCCGTCGCAACGATCCACGCCGTTCCTTCCGGCTGGGCCTTGAGCGCCTCAGCCATGGCCTGGACGGCGGGAACCGACGAGGGCGTACACTCCGGCTCGGGCAACAGGTCGGTTCCGTCGAGACCAGTAATGCCGTGGATGTCAGTCGGAGCATGTAGAGCCGGACGCTCCAGCGCTTTGTCTAGCCCGACGTAGAGGGGAACCTCCTTGGCCTTGCCGATGGCTGTGAGAATAGAGGCCGCATTGTGGGTCGTGTTTCTGTATGCATATGAGCTTCCTGCCGTCCATCGCCTTCTTCCGGTTTGTTAAGGTATAGTTTGACTGCTTACTCGAGCGAAGCATTTCCAAAGATGCACGAGATACCAAGTAGCTTGATGCGCGGGTGGTAAGCTGCCAGGAGAATAGCAAATGCGTCCTAGGATGTCTTTTGATCAGCATGGAAGCACCCCGCGGTTATCACGGCCGTTCAGCGGGGCTCTCGACACCTACGTCGTGACCTGGGTCACAATCTAGCCAGACGGGAATCTGTTGCGCCATGGTTCCTGGTGATTTCCAGAGGATCAGTGGAGATTGATGATGGGAACCCTATAGAAGAATAATCGCTTGCTGCGTTCCTGGCTTTGGGTTTGTTTGGTTGAAACTACGGGTATGCGACACGATGGATGGCTCGAGTCCACTTTTGCTATGGGTGGGGTTTCCAGAGCTCCCCGCTTCTAACCGTGGCCAGAAGAGGGCTGATTCCCTCTGCACACGTTGACGCCGGATAATGGGCACTTCGATAGCGTAAATGTAGTATGTGGATATGTATTGACATGAAGTCGACACCAATCACCAATGTGCGATACGATTTCCGTAGTGTGGCATGCAACGCAGCTCACCTCACTTCTTCCGCTGTTCCATAACTCGAAGCACATCGTTGGCATCATTGGCATTGCCCTTCCGCTTCTTTGGCCCTCTTTTCCTCTTGGCCTTTCCTCCTTTTGACCCCTCCTGCCCTCCATTGCCCCAGACTGAAAGCTTCGTATTCTGATCATCAAAGTCCTCCTCGTCCTCAAACCTGCTTGTACCGAAGCCCATATCGAGATCTTCCTCGTCCCTCCTAGAGCCCTCGAGCATCCGCTTCCGTCGCTCTTCCCTGGCCTTCTTCTCCTGAGAGATTTTCCCATCGCCGTCGTCATCGTCACCGTCTTGTTTGGATATCGGGTTGAGGGCAGCTGCTCTCTTGATAGCGGCCATGATTGCAGGATCGGACATAGAAGGTGTTTTGATAGCTTCTTCCGAAACCAAACCCGTGTTCGAGTTATGGAAGTAGTTGCGATTTGTAGACGTGGGTTTCGGTGGTGGAGGCATCACATCCTCTTTGGAGATGGCCTCGGGTATCTCGCCCTCTTCCGCGACCTCTGAAGGTTCAGGCTTGTCCCTTTTCTTGTCCTCATCGTCCTTGTCAGAATCAGAATCCTCCGAATCGGAAACTTTTACGCCCGCAAGAGGATCATAGTCGTCACCGACGTCATCGAATATGTCAATGTTCATATCATCTCCGGTTTCCTCCTGTTTCCGATACTGCTCCGGGACCTCCATTCCCAAGGGTTTCGCGTCCTTACTCGGCATCAAGAGATTGCTCTTTTCCTCGTCGGCCTGTCCATTCTGTATCTTGCGGACTTTGCGTTTCTCGTGACCATCCTCATCCACAACAATAAGCACCTCTCGGCCCCTGCTGTCCATCTCAATCCGAGATCCTGCTTGTTGCTTGGCACCAATCTTCCGAAAATGGTTGCCCAGTGCTGGTTCCTGTTTCGCCTTGGCCGCCGCCCTGGATGCCTTGAGCTCTGCCAATATCTGGTCGCGGGTCCGTTTCTTTCCTGGCGCCAGGGGAACAGTGGACAGCTGGCCTTTCTTTTTCTCCTTGCTCTTTTTCTTTTCGACAGCTTCAATCTCCTGTTGTTCAATATTGTCGAATTCGTCGTCAAGCTTTGCCTCGGGATCTTCTTGCTCCACATGGTCTTCGTTTTCTGCATTGTCCTTTGTATTTGATTCGTATATGTTTTCACCCTGCCGTATTCTTTGCAAGAGCTTGAAGTCGAGGCCCTTGACGAGATGGGTGCTCTTCAACTCGCCGCCAGCGATATCGAGCCTGAGTTTCCCAAAAGTCTCCTTGTCAATCTCCTCTTTTTTGTATAACTCCTCTAGAGCCTTCAGACGCTCTTCTCGATTATCTATTCCTTTGTTTTCTCGCTCCATGGTGCGATCAACATAGCCGGATGCTAATTTGACGCCCTTGGGGGCAGACGTCTTGAATCTTTTTTGAGGATGGGTTGCTCCGTTTCGCTCGGCAAGTTGTCGCACAAAATTTGACTGTGCTCCAGAGACGGATCTCCTACACTATGTGTTAGTTGGGCTCCTTGCGTTGTCAAGTGCGTGCTTCTGACCAAACTCACGGCGTCATGGGTATATTTGCGCGTTGCCGGGAACCAAGTGAGCCTTCTCCGCCGGATGACGATGCAGATGGGGGTGAGGGTCCATCTTTTGAAGTCTTCGGCTTGGCCGATGAGGCTAGCATCAGCTTCCTGAATTGTTCATTATTCATGGTGCAGTCTGCTACAGATCGAAGCACTGGAACAACTGCAGCAATGTATGTCGTAGACCAAGCTAACTCTCTTGACTGCGTCAACATTCATTATGTGGCTAGTGAGTATGTGGCTTGGTATGTGGTGGCGTCACGCCTCGTGCCCGTGCGAATGACACGCTCCACTTTATGCGGTCTTGTCCGATCGCCACCGATAGTTTCCATGAGAGTTTCTCTAACTCAACATATGATATATTATATCACTATAATGCCTAGTATGGTAGGCTCTCAAAGTGTGGCGCTCGGAAAAACTCCAATAGCGATATTTTCACCCAGTGTCATCGCAACAATTCCCGGTGGTCCTCAACCCTCAGCTCGCATCGAAGCCGGCATTATTCACGGTCTTCACGCTCACGGCGTTCTACACTCATCGCGATGGGGAGAATACTAGATAAAAACTCAACCCAGTCCCGGAAGCGGATCGAAAGTCATGTGTTTGAGGATGAGGCGGGCGAGGAGTACGAGGAAAGCAGGTTCAACGGCTTCGGAGACTACTTCAGACGGAAGAAGATCAAGCTCCAGAATCTGGATGCGGATATGCGCTCGTCCTCTGACAAACCACAACTATTCAAGGGGATAGTCGCACACGTCACGGGATACACTCAACCTCCTTTACATATGTATGTTACCTCATCCTTTTCTGTTCACAAAAATAGCCAGCTGACAAGCAGAGAAGCCTGCATCGCGAGATTGTAGAACATGGAGGCGGGTTCCTCCAGTACCTCGACTCTAAGACAATGGCGACGCACATCATTACCTCAAGTCTGCCCCCAAAGAAGACTGTTGACTTCAGCGGGTATCGTATTGTAAAACCCTCCTGGATCGTGGACTCCATCATTGCCGGCGCCCTTCTTCCCTGGTCTGATTATCGGGTGTTGGACGAGGGCCCAAGGCAGAAGATCCTCAAGCTTGATAGCAACAAAGGTCTTTCACAACAACAAACTTCTAAAGCCAAGAGAGGATACTGTGAACAGACAGAGAAAAGCTTCTATACCGCCCAGCTACAGACCGCTTCCAGCTCTGGTCAGCTGTGGAGACAAGCGGTCGAGGAGAACGCTACACCAGGACCATCCAGAAAGCCCTCTGATATATACAATATCAACGAACTGGGGGTTCCCGGAAATGGGTATATGATTGGACATGTGATGGAGAATAACACTTCCAATATACTAGTCACAGACGCTACCTCTCACAACACAACTGCTCACGACGGAGAGAGCAATCACCTACCAAGACGCTTAGAACCACCAAGGAACGTCACATCGGAAGAGCATAATGCTTGGCTCTTATCTGATCCGAAAATGCGCAAATCGTCAACTGCCAATCCCGATTTCTTGAAACAGTTCTACTCAGAGAGCCGCTTACACCACTTGTCCACCTGGAAGATGGAGCTAAAGTCTAGGATGCAACGAATGGCAATTGAAAAGGGATCATCCAGCAAACCACCTCTCAGAAAGCCAGGATCCAGGAAATATATCATGCACGTTGACTTTGACAGCTTCTTCTGTGCTGTATCGCTGAAGAAGCATCCGGAACTTGTGGACAGTCCGGTCGCCGTGGCTCACGGAACTGGCAATGGTTCAGAAATTGCGAGTTGCAACTATCCAGCACGCAGGTTTGGCGTCAAAAATGGCATGTGGATGAAGAGAGCACTTGAAATCTGCGGCGAATTGAAGGTACTGCCTTATGATTTTCCGGCATATGAGGAGGCCAGCCACCATTTCTACGAATCCATACTGGATGTTGGCGGTATAGTACAAAGTGTCAGCGTCGATGAGGCTCTGATTGATGTGACATCCATCGTCCTCGATGCTGCCGCGTCCCAAGGCATTGGTATCGATGAGGGGAGCATCTGGCGAGAGCAAGAAAAGGTTGACAAGATGGCCCGCCGCCTGCGGGAGAGTGTCAAAACAAAGACAGGCTGTCACGTCTCTGTAGGGATAGGCGCAAACATCCTACAAGCCAAGGTAGCATTACGAAAGGCCAAGCCTGCCGGTCAGTACCAGCTGAAGCCGGAAGCGGTGCTAGACGTCATTGGGCAACTTAAAGTCGAAGAGCTACCTGGGGTCGCCTACAGTATTGGCAGCAAACTAGAGGAAGCTGGCGTCAAACTGGTCAAGGATCTTCGTGACGTGACACAAGAAAAACTTCTGGCAATTTTAGGTCCAAAGACGGGGGAGAAGCTAAGAGACTATGCGCGAGGCATCGATAAAGCTGAGGTTGGTGAGATGCCTCCTCGCAAGTCAGTTTCAGCAGAAGTCAGCTGGGGCGTCCGTTTCGTCCATCAGCAAGAGGCTGAGGAGTTTGTTTACAATCTCTGCGAGGAGTTAGAGCGGCGACTGCTCAATGAGCAGGTGAGAGGCAAACTTCTCACCATGCGAATAATGAGACGTGCATTAGATGCTCCTCTCGATCCGGTGAAGCATCTAGGCCATGGAAAATGCGACTTGTTTAGCAAGAGCACTCCGTTCGGCGTCGCCACAAACAACTACAAGGTCATTGGCAAGAAAGCCGTCTCGATACTACGATCTTTCAAATTTAACCCCGGCGATCTCCGTGGACTTGGTGTCCAGATGACAAAACTTGAACCCATCAAGTCGCATTCTTCTGCTCCAGATGGCAGCCAGCCTAAACTCATGTTCAGTGTTTCAGGAGGGCAATCTGCTGCGACTAAGATGTCCAAACATGAGCCCATTGATGAAATCAAAAGCGATCGGGGGAACGCGTGTACAACTAGAGGAGACCACGAGCTTGATTCAATTACCGACGACCCTCGTACCTCGCGCAAGAACAAGGTCCATCCGGCAATGGCCCTGGCCAGGGCTGGGGAGGATGATTCCAAGGCAACAACACATCTGAACGTCTCTGGGACACAGTTTATAATTCCTAGCAATGCAGACCCAGCGATAATTGCAGAGCTGCCCAACAACATCAGAAGCAAGCTCATGGCCCAAAAACCAGCTGACTCTTCCATTATTTCAGAAGACAGCTTGCGGCGTGAAAGCCTTCTTCCCGACGTTCTCCCCTCTCAACTCGACGCAGAGGTTTTCAACGCACTTCCAGATGATGTGAAAGCTGAAGTATTGGAAACGTACGGTCGCAAGCCCGCACCCCCAGCAGCTCAGCGTTCCCCTGGAAAGGGGCAACAATCAGGATCGGTCAAGAAGTCACAAAGCCCCGCAAAGAAGGGGCGCATCAAGGACATGTTTGGCAAAGCCCAACGTCAGAGTGATGTGCAAGCAGGGCTTCTGCCAACAAACTTCAGAAACAACAGCAGGCCTGGAAGCGAAGCACCGCTACACGACGTAGTGGGAGATCTGGATTCCGAATTCCTGTCTGAGCTCCCCGAAGATGTGCGCAGAGAAGTCATTGAGGATCACCAACGACAGCAGCTCGCCCAAATATCGGGGTTGGATGCACCGATGCGGAGACCCAAGCCTGAGGTTACTGTTGCTCCCGTCCAGCGTCGGATACATTTCCCGGCGGCGCCACCCAGGATCTCATTCGACAGCTCTAAGGTGACTTCGCTACCGGAGATCAAAGACATGCTGGATGCTTGGCATACCGAAACAAGCATCGAAGGGCCACATCATGGCGACGCCAAAATTCTGGAGAAGTACATATGGCGAGTCATCCGGGAAGAACGCGACATGGAGAAGGCCATCAAAATAATAAAGTGGCTCGATGTACTTGTGGAGCAGGATGGAGTAGCAGGGGACGGCCAGAATTTCTGGCGTGTCACAGTAAAAAATGTCAAGGTGACAGCCCAGGAAGCAGTTAAGCTACGTGGCTTGCCCCCTTTGGATATATGATTTTTTGGTGAGAAACGATGGCACGATACTTTTGAAACACTCTTTCTTGTTGTATTAGAAACTTTGTATGTATTACTCGGGGCCGTTTGATCCGTTTTTATTTATACGTGCGGTCATTTAATTTGTCGTAATCATCCGAGGTGTTCCGTCTTCTAAACTGAAGTTGTAAAAACGACAAAGGTGAATTATCGACCTGGCGCGGCAATGTCGATGCCAACGTGAATAACAAGGTATCATTATCAACACCACAAAGCGTCAGGCCCTTGATCTCATTTGGTTCCAACCCAGTTTCATCCGTTTATACCGAAAGCATAGTTTCATGTACGCCTTTGGGTGCAGGAGAAATTACAAAACCAAGGCGGGATTGCACATTCGCGCCCATAGCACGACTTGGGTCTGGCCCATGAGCTTGACTTTTGGAAAAATAGGGAGTAGAATAGTCAAGAATCCCTTGTAGGTGGCCGCTAGACAAGACTTGAGGCAAAAAGATGACACAGGCATAAAATATACCCACCCCTATTGCGACTGGCCAATCCCATAGGTGAGCATAGTGATGCTGCAGTTTGCTGTCGTCTATCATCAGCCGAGGACAAGAGCCACGGAAATGGCAAGGACGAAAGATGTCCGCACTGCCATGAACAGGTCCATGGAGCTTACGGCAGCCCCCTCGCCAAAGATTGAGCAGTCAGTGGCGGCCAGAGGGGAGCATGCTTCAGAGCTCAGGCTCGAGCAGACAGATGTAGCTGAGGCGCCCAGGTCGGTAGCTGAGGCGCCCACAGTCACGCCACCACCGCCAGGGACATCAACGGTCACACCATACCCGCTGCCGCCGTCACCTCCAAGGTTGGACGTGCACAGGTCGTAATTCTCTGAACAAGCTACTACGGCTGACCTACAATCGGCACTATTGTCGAATGTAGTCATGGCGTAGGGGAACGAGAAGTATGAATTCGGCACATAGGACACTGCCTGGGTCACAGAGGGCTGTCCTGTTGGCGCTGCCCCAGTACAGACAGCACTAAATATATTGCATATTAGCATAAGATCCTAGCTTATTACACGATGGCGGCGACGATGACTTACCCTGAGGGGCAGCAGGCCGGACTGTTGTTGTGATCGAGAGCACAGGTCTGACCATCCGAACAGCAGACATCACTGAAGGCAGCACCCAACGACGCCGGGCACTGGAACATGCTGGCTGGACAGTCGGCCCTCGGCATCAACGGATGTGTCGTCGGCTCCGGCATAAATGCAACAGTTGCTTGCCCGGCCAGGGTCAAAGCTATGGTTATTGAACGATACATGTCGAAATGGCCGATGGTGCAGAGTAATAATGTGTGTGTTGCCAATCGTGAGAATAATAACGAAAATGGAGATGTTTGATGTTCAACGACAATGCACTTTGCGGTGAGAGCCTTGGACGCTTCAGTATTTTTATTTTTTTTTGGTGAGAAGGCTGCCCCGTGTGTGGGGACCTTGAGTGATCCTAAAGTCCCTATGTCAATCGACTCGTCCTTGTCAGGCCCTCTTTACAAGTAATAATACGAACCCACGAACGCTCACTCGTATTGAGGCTTGCAGGGGTAATGTTGGCCGTGCATAAGCGGTTGTGCCGGTGGTAGGTGAAATGGCACCTGCTGGACACCATATGAACGTTGGACCAAAAAAGAAAGGGAGAGAACACCTCCAGATAACGTCAACATCAATAAAAGTACATGAGAACCTAATTGCCCAACCTACCGCATGTCTTTTCGATAATTACGGTCGTCTTTCCATCAATATTCACATTCCATATTTCGAGGTAATATCGAATATCCCATAACCCATGATGTCATTAGTGGTTGGCAGAGCAACATGATATCCCCCCACCTTTAGATCTCGTATTACCCGGCAGCAGATCCAAACATCGGGCGACCTCTTTAAGTATTGCTTAATCCTGCTTTGTATCACTGTTTTACAGTCTTATGCAAGAAACTAACATTATTCGTATTCTGTTCCTGCGATTTGCGTTCCATATGTGGGTGACTCTATCTACAATCTGTTCTGTTCATCTTGACTTTAACCCTTGTGATCTAGATGGGAAGAAAGCATTGGTACGTTTTCAAAATTCCCCGATCATTGTTGGCGAGTACCCCAGCAGCTCCTTATCATGTTGATCCTCGAACATGAGACAATATCATCTTCAATCGTCCTAGAGCTCCTTCTCCAGGATTTCCATTGCCGTCACGGCTGGCAATGGAATCAACTATTTCACGCTTTGCTTGCTCGACAAGTGGTCCTAGATCACCCCAGACTTCTTCGTTATATGATGAAAGGACATCCCGCCACTGGTCAAACCAGGCTTCTCGTGTATGATCCGAGTCAGTTGTTCCCATATGGAGACGGGCCTCTCCTTCATTTTCAGCAGGAGCCAACACGAATCGAGGTGTGAAATTCAATAGGTTGTCCCAGTCAAGCCCTTGACTCTCACCCTCAAAGAGAGCTTGTCTCAGCCTCTCGGAAGTTTCGGGCGCGAGGCTCTCGTCCCGGTCCTTTTGCGTAGGTTCCATCTCAAACTCATGGATCTGGGATAGGAGATCTACCACGGCGGCTCCATCTGTAGTTTGGCATTCCGTGATGGAATTTCCTGGAAGAACTGGCGTCTGGGCTTGGCGGTCCTGGGGCAACTGTAGCCTTTGCCCATGTATAAATTCGTCAAATCCTGACTGAGACGTTGTGGCTTCTTGGTAGCCTCTGAAGATCTCTCTCTGTCGCGTCAAGCTCCCACTTGAAAATCTCGCATGCGAAGTGTCGTGGAGAACATCTAAAGGTGTTCCGGAGCCACCTGCAGTAGCTGATGTTGCCTTTTCTGATGATGCCAGGCCAGACAAGTTTGGAGCTCCGCTGCCCATGGAACGAGATAGCATTTGCCCAGAAGATCGGAGCCTATCAACTATTGATGACTCCTTCCCCTTCCCCTTCGAACTTTGGGCGTCTTCTTTGGGCGTCTCAGAAGCATGGCCGCTGTCTTTCCCGCAAGGATCAGGATGAGAGTTTTTGGGATTCATGCTCACTTCCGACAGGTACTGAGTTCTATCTCCGATCCTAGCTGTCAGAGAGTGTCGTGGTAGTGGCTACCACTGGTGGTAATTGAAGGCTGCCAGCGAAGGACTGGCAGGATGAATTCGGCCTCGGACGAAAAAGCGAAAGGAGAAGAACGTTACACATATGAAAAGCAAGTAGTTGACTACCAATGAAGGTGAGAGTGAGAGATGCTACTCAATTTTATGTCCCGTCCGAGTGGTTGGTACATAGAAGGCACTCGGCTCGGTTCCGGACAGGCGGGGCAGCCGGCAATGGCGGGGCTTCAGGTTAGAACCTTGCATGTGCTTTGCCTTCTCGCCATCTTAGGCAGCCCACCATAGGTGTTTGCCCACCCTGAGTCAATGGCGTCACTGAAACACTCACAATACACTGTTATTCAAAGGATTCAAGCCTGATGTGGCGGGGTGAGTGTATATGTATGTATAGTAGCAGTAGTAGTAGCTTGATTTTGCGCATATTTACCGCATGCTTTGAAGGACTCGAGAAAAACAAGGGACAGAAAAAATCTTGTTATTTTGCATATTATGACAGCGCATAACAAAACGAGGCAAAGGCTTATGGCAGCCACTGTTCTTTATCCTCGCCTCTCTTGTACTCTTGTACGACGATCGACTCTTCGTTAAACCCTTATCGACGGCGGTTATCGCGGGGTTCATTCATTCGCCACGAGGTCACGAGAGCTGCGTCGCAATATCTAGGCAACGTTTTGTATACGTGGGTGATTTTACTGACTGCTTATCCTCCACAGGTACATCCTCCCCCCGGATTTTTATAGAAATATTGGGATAAGATTCACAATGTGCGGACAAAGGCGATCTGGTAAGGTGCAAGGATAGCTAGAGTAGGGAGGAGGGGCTGAGCCCGAGCGGTCGCACGAGAGAACTTGCAAGTAAAGCCCATCTTTCAACAAAACCACCAGAGACTAAGCTCTTTGTCCGTTTTACAATGTAAAATGACTACCGGCAGATGAGCAGGATATACCATATCTACCGTTACCAATATACTCAACAACAATAGAAAAGACAACACTAGGATGTCCATGTCGGTATATATGGATCATGTTTTAGGTGCATATTTTGTACATGTATACAGTATCGCATGCCCAGACAGAAGTGTTATTCAACTAAACAGTATCTGAGGCGCGAACAAGAGCAGCAGTCACGCTAGTCCCAACCCAGTGGGGTCTCGAGAGCCTTTGGTCACGACCATTCCGCTCATGCTGTCCCTCCTCTCCCCTCAGCCAAACGACATCATCCTCAAATTCGCTGCAGCCTCCTTCATTCAGCCGCGACTCAACTAATCGAAGCGCACTGTCCATATCGCACGTACACCATCTGTCAATCAAGCCGGCCCCAAAGTATTTTCGCCCTCCCTAAGTCTGGTGCTGGTCGCGGTGGTAGCTTTCGACCCCGTTGACCGTCCCAGACCCCTCGACGCCCACCCACCTTTTCAATTGCCCAACCTCACCGGACCGCTTGAACCACTACCGCACCGATATCTCGGCAGCTTCCAACAAACATGGTCGACAGCGAAGCTAGCACACCGACATGGAAATTTACACAGTGCGTTGCTCGAGCTCACCGCCTTCTTAAATCGCCACTGACAATAGAAATGCAGATGCTTTGGCGACAAGGGTGATGTTGAAGACATCACAGAAGGTAGCGAGCCCCCCTATCCCAACGGCTCTCTCAGATCATTTCTTTTGACGCTTTTTCACTGCAGCCGACATTATTTCCACCGTCGAGTTCGACCACACCGGGGATTATCTCGCTACCGGTGACAAGGGCGGACGCGTTGTCCTCTTCGAGCGCAATGAGACGGTACATACACACTCCCACCCCCACCTCAACGCGATATGCCGTAGTTTCATGCCCCTCCTAACCTCCTTTACAGAAGAAGTCATGCGAATACAAGTTTCACACCGAGTTTCAATCCCATGAGCCCGAGTTCGATTACCTAAAGTCGCTCGAGATTGAGGAGAAAATCAACAAGATCAAGTGGTGCCGCCGGCAAAACTCTTCCCACTACCTTCTGTCTACCAACGATAAGACGATCAAGCTCTGGAAAGTCTTTGAGAAGTCTCTCAAGGTTGTCGCCGAGAACAACCTCTCTCAAGACCTCACTCCAGCCAGCGTCGGAGGCGGCGGTGGGGCACCCCGTCCCCCGCCGTCCGCCCAATTCAAGAATGCCTCCGATCTCAAGCTTCCTCGCCTGACGCACCACGATACTGTCGTAGCTGCCGTCCCACGGAAGACCTACGCCAACGCCCACGCTTATCACATCAACAGCATCTCCGTCAACAGCGACGGGGAGACCTATCTCAGCAGCGACGACTTGCGCATCAACCTGTGGAACTTGAACATCCAGGATCAGAGCTTCAATATTGTTGACATCAAACCTGCCAACATGGAGGAGCTGACTGAAGTCATTACTGCCGCCGAATTCCACCCCCAGAGCTGCAACTGGTTCATGTACGCAAGCTCCAAGGGGACCATCAAGCTGGCGGATATGCGAGAAAGTGCTCTCTGTGACAGCCATGCTAAAAGTAAGTCTTGTACCCCACAATGATCGCCGCTCATTGCCGTGTTTTATTTAATATTGGAACTACACATCTCGAGATATCTGCTGCTCGTCCCTGGACATGGCCAGCCCCCCCTTTCCCTACTATTTTTGCACCAAGCGTAATGCTGACCTATCTGCAGTGTTCGAACAGGAAGAAGACCCCTCATCGCGGTCATTCTTTTCCGAGATTATCTCCTCCATCTCGGACGTGCGGTTCTCACACGACGGCCGATACATCGTGTCCCGAGACTACCTGACGGTCAAGATTTGGGACATTAGTATGGAGCGCCAGCCAGTCAAGACGATACCGATCCATGAGCACCTCAGGCCACGTCTGTGCGACACGTATGAGAACGACAGCATTTTCGACAAATTCGAAGTGACATTCTCTGGAGATGCACAGAACGTCATGACAGGCAGCTACAACAACAACTTCATGATCTATCCGTCTGACCCAGAAAAGGAGACCGAGGTCGTTCTCCAGGCCGATAAGTCTGCCTTCAAGGCCAAGAAAATTGGCGTCCCTACTCCTATCAATGCGGCAACGAGTCCTATTGCGAACGGGAAGAAGGGTGGGTCTCGCTCGGGCAGCCCGACTGGAGGAGCCCAGCGCATGCGGAAGGAGACAGACGCGGACCAAATCGATTTTAACAAGAAGATTCTGCACATGAGCTGGCATCCTTTCGAGGACAGCATCGCTATTGCAGCGACCAACAACGTACGTATCTTTCTCTCCTTCAGATACTGTTGACCTGGTATGTTCGCTTTACTAATATTCACCCCAGCTTTTCGTTTTCTCGGCTCTCTAGATGAATGCTGGAGTATAGAACGGCTGGTTGGAGGGCACTTAGCAGTACGGAATCTGGAAGGTCGGCGAGCCAGTGGTGACAAAATGTGGGGTGAGGGGGAGGCTCTTTTACATCTATGAGCAGAAGCTTCTCCTTTCGAATGCGGCGAAACCTGGTGACCAACATGGTCTCCGAGGGGATCAGCTTATCATGTAGCCAGCAGACTGCAGCATCTGACAGATTTGTCCATGGAAGGTCGACCTCTGTCGCGGATACATCCAATGGTCCGGGCCACGATAAGCTGTCTGTGCCTGGAGATCACTTTTTGGCGGCACTTTTGGCGGCTTGAACATATCAGAGGATGATGGGTGTGAGGTTGGAGTATCGCATACGATGGAGTGTCTAAAGCCCGGCGCTCGAAATAAAGGCAGCGAGGTCCACCAATAAATAAAAAAGAAATTCGTCAAGTAGATGCAGTCTCTTATTTGCCTTTGGCGAGTAGGAAGGAAGCTTGATCTGTATAGTGTTCGAGAAAAAAGCCCATGCCCCAATCGCCCCCCAATAGCTAGGTATTAGTGATTGCTACTATCTAGAAATACAGACCCTAGTACGCAATTGCACAAAATGAAACTATCGTTAGGTGGATATCAAGTGGACATTCATACCCAAATGATAATAACGGGCATTCGAACCTTGTAGCTGCATCTACCGCCGATGCGCGAAAGAAAAGCGGGACCTCGGAGACGTATTGACTGCCACGAGAACCTAGGTAATCCAACCCCCCATCTCCAACGACCTTTATTTGAGCACACGTGCTTTACGAGGCCGCCAAACAAAACGTTGAGACGTTCTACCTCTGAAAAACCTGACCGGTCATTTTTAGGAGTTCACGAAATACTTTGGGAGCAGGCTCTGCAAGCGACCCAAGTTAAACGCGCTTTCTCGATAAAACCCTAATCGCGTCGACGAGGCTAGTACTCACAGCAATGGCCCAGTCGGCGAACAACACCAGAGAGCTCGGAGACGATAAGGGGCCTATTGATGAGTCAAGAGATATCCAGATGTCTGCCAGCATGCGGGCAGCCCGGGAGGCAGTCCCATCGGTCCTAGCTATAGGTGCCATGCTGGGCCTGATATTCGGAGGATGTTGTTCAAATGTAAAGTGACACCAATATCCATTGTCCCTGGAACATCTCTTCCAACGTGCCAAATTTCGTGATGCCATCATATTCCAATACGAAACCTATCACGTGGAAGAAGGATGGGATAGCTGACTTGGACGAAACTATAGGTTTACGCTCTCGAAGAGGTGATCAAGTGAGTAACACCTCTTTCCAATCCATTAGCAGTCCTTTGAAACTAATTCAAAGAAAGCTTTGAGCCATCGAGTGGTATGTGCAACCTGAGACGTTGACTCCTACTTGAGAGAAATGTCTAACTTTGTTTGGGGGGAAAGGCCTTCTTCTTACCTTTGTGCAATTTCTCTTTGTAGCCATCACAGGCTACATTGCACAGTTCGACATTTCACGGCCGCCGTTCTTCCTAACCCTAAACAAAGTCCCTATCCGCCGCTGGATCGTCAACATTGTCCTCTTCTTCAGCATCAATGTTCTTAATAACCATGCTTTCAGCTACGATATTTCTGTTCCCGTCCACATCATCCTTCGCTCAGGAGGGAGCATCACCACCATGGCGGCCGGATACCTGTGGGGTAAAAAATACCCCCGGATCCAAGCCGTTGCTGTTGTGTTCCTAACTCTCGGTGTCATTATCGCTGCGTGGTCAGATGCACAAGCCAAGGTATGTGTTTTCGTTCATGTAGAATATTACTCGCACGCGCACCCGGCTCACGACTAGATCAGGGTAAAACAGAAGGCGGGTCACAGGCTTCGTTGGGCATGGGACTCGTGATCCTCTTTGTGGCACAGGTCCTTTCTGCCATCATGGGCCTTTACACAGAGGTCACCTACCAAGAATACGGCCCTCAGTGGAGGGAGAACCTATTCTACTCCCACATACTTTCGCTGCCGTTGTTCGTGCCATTTGCTCCCTCCATGTACAGGGCTTTCAGTCGGATGGTACAGACAGGACCTCTTGACGTGGGTTATTCATTGCCGCTACTAGGTCCCGCGCTGGTTCGCGTTCCTAGCCAGCTTGTCTTCCTTGCCGCGAATGTCCTCACCCAATATGCTTGCATCCGGGGCGTGAACCTACTCGCCGCGGCATCGTCAGCCCTGACCGTGACGATCGTTCTTAACGTGCGCAAGCTCATCAGTCTTTTGCTGAGCATCTGGCTGTTTGGGAATTCTCTAGCCCCAGGAACTCTCGTCGGTGCCGTCATTGTCTTTAGCGCAGGCGGCCTGTACTCCCTAGGTAGACAGCCGACAAAACCGTCATTCGAAAAAGAGAAGAAGGAACAATGATGGGTCAACTCATTGAATTGCGCAAGCCCTCTGATGGCTTGTGTGCCATTTTTGGAACGGGCGACATTAATTTTATACAGACCAGGATCAATGGCATATATATGAGAGCATGTGAAAGGTACAATTACGGAAATGGTCTTATACAGCTGCTGAATATAAAATATACGCACATGAACATTGTTGCTCGTTATGAAAAATATTTTAGCCACATAATTATAATAAAAGTGTTAAAATACTCCGCACTTGTACATGGTTGCAGGCGAGTACTGACCCGCTACTTGCATTATCATGGTTATAGGCATCCTCCGCCTCGGCAGCCCCGCCAAACGGAGGATCTACACGCCGTGGGCACTTTGTCCCGCGCGTGTTATGAATCACAGGACTTTTTGCAACGCTTCTTCTTCGTTGCAACTCATCGAGTTGCCTCCCAGCTTTTCACCGCATAATTATACATACCGTTTTGTCGAGATTGCAGATGCTGACACGTCGCTCTCAGACTTCTCACCAGCTCAGCTTTTAGAAAACTGGTATATACGACAATTCGACATACTCTGTCATGGCCGGTGTGTACTACGTTTTCGGCGGAACTGGCTCGTCACCGTCATGGCTAATGTTTCGTGTGGGCTGCAGACAATGAATCACCTCCCAAAAGCCCCATTGACAAGGCATTGGACGAGAAAGAGGTCGAAATACCCGAGATCGATCTCGAGACTGCTGCGGATCAAACCAGCCCTTGGACTGAGCAGCCTCCCGATGCTGGCGACGATGAGCTCCAAGATGGTATGCTCCTGCGAGACATCCCCAGTCGAACCACGTTATACGATCCGGTCGCAGAGCGACAAATGAGCCAGACAGATGCCAAACTATTCTACCAGCGAAGCCAAGTCGAAGCCCGCAGCGCCGGTGGCATTTTGTCCCAGGCGACCTACGATAGTCCTATAATAGCACCAGGGTCTCGACCAGCGACAGAGTATGGCACTGATTCTTTGATCCTCGACACTGAAGAACAGCAATCCGATGCACAGTCCATCTCGAAGCCAGCACCGGGAATACCATCGCCAGCTGCGAACAAGTCAGTCACCGTCACGGATGGTGAGTTCATTTAAATGGAACATCCCTGGTTAACGGAACCCCGCCAGAAACTATTCTGATTCCTCTCCCATGCAGCCGCTCAAGATTACCAAGGGTTCTCTGACCCTAGAGGGTCCAATGTTGAAAACCTTGGTCTCTTAGGAAATAGTGCATTCGACACGGAACCGCACATTACCTCCGAGTTGAGTGCAATTTCAAAGAGCATACAGAGAATCGTGGACCTCAGGCACCGCTACATCGCTCTGTCCAACCAAGGACCTGACGACAACCCAAGAGATCAGCCCGGCTGGGACGTCTACCCTCCCCCTCCCGACCCAGCGTGGAAGGAAAACCAGGAGGGATATGGCGGTCCCAGCACTCATGGCGCAAATCTCTCTGGTGAAAACAACGCCTCCAAACGTCCAGCTCGCAAGAGAAAGCCCGGCCAGGACATAGGAGAGGACTTTGACATGGAAGACCTCTACCCACTCCCCGGGGATGACGGAATAGCTTTTCAGCTCGACGACAGTGGTGTCTACCAAGTCTTTGAAAACGAAAAGGCCTCCGAGCCCATGGTTCACGTTCCTACGATTCGGGAATTTTATATGAACCTCGACGAGATCCTCACCACCTCTTCAGACGGCCCCATCAAAAGTTTTTCTTTCCGCCGTCTACAGTACCTCGAGGGCAAGTTCAACTTGTACACACTGTTGAACGAGTACCAGGAGACCGCAGACAGTAAGAAGGTGCCTCACCGTGATTTTTACAATGTCCGAAAAGTCGACACACACGTTCATCACTCTGCCTGTATGAACCAGAAGCATCTCTTGCGCTTCATCAAGAGCAAGATGAAGAAGTTCCCCAATGAGGTTGTTCTTTACAGAGATGGGAAACATCTCACGCTTGCCGAGGTGTTTGCCAGTATCAATTTGACTGCTTATGATCTGAGTATCGACACTCTCGATATGCATGTAAGTAGCTGTCCTTTTTGGGCCGTTTATTTTGTTTATATATAGCTAACTTGAGTCCATAGGCTCATACTGATTCGTTCCATCGCTTTGACAAGTTCAACCTCAAGTACAACCCCATTGGAGAGTCTCGTCTGAGGACCATCTTTCTGAAGACAGACAACTTCATCCACGGTCGTTACCTAGCAGAGATCACCAAGGAGGTCATTTCTGATTTGGAGTCGAGCAAGTACCAGATGGTAGAGTGGCGTGTGTCCATCTACGGCAAGTCGATTGACGAGTGGGACAAACTGGCTGCTTGGGTCGTCGATAACAAACTCTTCTCTCACAACGTCCGCTGGCTCATCCAGATTCCTCGCCTGTATGACGTCTATAAGGCGAGTGGTCTCATGGATACGTACGAGCAGATTGTCAAGAACATTTTCCAGCCCTTGTTCGAGGTCACTAAGGACCCCTCTAGCCACCCCAAGCTACATGTCTTCATGCAGCGTGTTATAGGGTTCGACAGCGTCGACGACGAGAGCAAGGTGGAGCGGCGACTGTTCAAGAAGTACCCGGTCCCCAAGGTTTGGGACATGAAGCAGAACCCTCCGTACAGCTACTGGATTTACTATCTCTACTCCAACATGAGCTCGCTGAACCACTGGCGAAAGAAGCGGGGCTTCAATACCCTTGTCTTGCGTCCCCATTGCGGCGAGGCGGGTGACAGCGAGCATCTAGCTGTGGCAGCTCTATGCTGCCACAGCATTAGCCACGGACTTCTTCTGCGAAAAGTTCCGCTGCTCCAATATGTCTTCTACCTCGAGCAGATTGGCATCGCCATGTCCCCACTCAGTAACAATGCCTTGTTCTTGGCCTATGACCGCAACCCCTTCTACCAATACTTTAGGCGCGGACTGAACGTCTCCCTGTCTACAGATGATCCCCTGCAGTTCGCCTTTACGAAGGAGCCTTTGATTGAGGAGTATGCCGTGGCTGCACAGATATACAAGCTGAGTTCTGTCGACATGTGTGAACTAGCACGGAACTCTGTGCATCAAAGTGGATACGAGCGATCCATCAAGCAGAAGTGGCTTGGTCCAAACTGCCATCTCCCCGGGAGGCTAGGCAACACCATGGTGAAGACCAATGTGCCTGATCGCCGTGTTGAGTTCAGGCTTCATACCCTTCTCGAGGAGAGAGATGTGTAAGTTGCAATAGTGGCGATATCAGTGACCTGGATATTTTTGGTTTTCTCTTTCTTTATTGACACAAAATACAAACATAACAGCTTGAGACGCTATGTGAACCACGATCCAAGCCAGGAAGCAGCTGCCAGCGATGTGCCCACCGCAAGCACCTTGCCCACGCGGAAACTGAAGCCCAGCAGCTCTAGCGTCAATTTGGCTAAGCCACCTGCTATCACGATGGAAAAGTTGCCAGCTCCCCCGACTTTCAAAAGCGCTGTCGAAGAATCGCCTCAGAGCACATCCACGGGCCAAGGAATTACCTATTCGACAGACTATTCCGCGCACTTGTCCGGCCATGAGGCGCGCGCATTCCCCGGAATCTACACGAGAGGTAACCGCAGCGGTAGTATTCGTAAGGAAGATGGGGCCGCAGGTTACCGTGACACACCTGAGGGTAGCAGTGCTTAGAGAGATAGAGAAGGCGATGACATATATAGGTCCGAACGGTCCCGTTATAACGGACTGGTGGCTCATAATGATTCTCGGAGATCTTTGCGGACTTATATGCCTATCATGGGTTGTGGCTCTTTGTGGAAATTGACGCGGCCGAATCAGTGATGTGGTTTTATTTCTAGAGGTGGTAATGATATTGGGGCATGATGTTCCGGTGCGAATAGAGGGAGTTTTTGTTTCTAGCTTCATATGGCAACACGATAGATCTACGCTCGTGGACACCCACGACACCTTATCTTCAAGACGCACATGCATATATATATATACCAAAACAGCCTCAGCCACTTAACATACTTGTGCAGAGTATGGAATATGTAATCACTATAGTTACTAGTTACTACTAATACTAGTATTGTTGTCAGTGTTCGTACGAGATGAATATTACCTTGTACTGTTATGGCATTATTATATTAATAGCGGACACTGAATAAAACCCAGTGTGTTGGGTGGCTGACTGTAATTACGTCGTCGGTGGGAACAGGTACTCGTACATTGTGGATACCCCCCTGGCAGCAATTCGCTAGCAACTGCGCGAGTACGAGTACCTCTGAAATAGGAATCGGCACTGTAGAACCGGTGCTGCATTCGCTTGAGTACGAGTAAATATGGAATGGCTGACTGATCCCAACCCAGCTTGCCCATCGATGCCAGCTTCTCAGCCACCTAACAAAGGCGACGGCTTTCGCATCCTGCAATCAACCCTATTCCTCCCCCCCCCCCCCCCCCCCCCCCCCCCCCCCCCCCCCCCCCCCCCCAAAAAAAAAAAAAAAAAAAAGACAAAAAGCGCGGGACGGCACACTCACACTCAAACAAGGAAAGGTACTTCAGTGACCAAAGTGCCTGATACTCGGGCATTCACTGACTCTCCCCCCCCCTCTCCTGCGTTCCCCCTCTGCCGGAGCGCCAACTACGCAACTTACCTCGCATACGAACCGCCCCCCGGCTAGGTGCAGCACCGTTATACTGAATATACGGATTCGCGGATACAGCACCAGAAACTCGCTGTCATGGGGTTCGCTGGCGTGTATCGGGCCCTCTATGACTACACACCTCAGGCTGAGGGTGAGCTCACAATAGGGGAGAACGATCTACTCTTCGTCCTCGACAAGAATGGCGATGATGGATGGTGGAAGGCCAAGAAGAAGGCTAGAGCCGAGGACGAAGATGAGCCTATCGGGCTTGTCCCAAACAACTACGTGGAACAGGTGCGAACTGGCTATTTTGTTGCGCCTTATACGTGATTGGAGAAGCCATATCCCGGGTGCTCCGTTTACTAACGCGCTTTCTTCCCCATAGGCACAAGCTGTCGGCCACGCTCGCGCCCTTTACGAATACACTCGCCAGACTGATGAGGAGCTTTCGTTCCTGGAGGACTCCATTCTTGACATCTTCGATACCTCGGATCCTGACTGGATCCTCGTTGGTCTAGATGGCGATTATGGATTCGTCCCCGCAAACTACATCGATATGGAGTCGGTGGGTGGGCGGGAAGCAGCTGAAACCGAACCCCCGGCTCCCGCACTTCCTGTTCGGCCGACGTCTGTAGCAGAGGAGCCAACGAGCCCCGTCAAGTCAGCTCCTCCAGCGGTACCCGTCCCGGCGGGGCCCGCCGCTGCCTTGGCTGGGGTAATGCAAAGTCGTTCATCAATGCCGCCTGCTTCCCCATCTCCTCCCCAGCCGCCGCGGGAGCAAGCTACACGCGAACACTCGCAATTCGAGGACTATCACCATGCTTCGGACGAAGAAGCCCCTTCTCCGGCTCTGCCGAGCCGACCCCGTCCTTCCGTCGAATCCGCGTACGCCGAGCCGCCACGGCCCCAGCGCCCCCAGCGCCCCATACAACCCGTTGAGGAGGCGCATGCTGACCGAGGGGCTCCCGGAGACTTTCACATGTATAATGTAAATGAGATGGTGTCCGTCTTGGGAAAGAGAAAGAAAATGCCCACGACGCTTGGTATTAACCTGCGGACTGGTGTCATCATGATTGCACCCGAGCGCTCGGAGGATGGGCCTACCCAAGAGTGGACAGCCGAGAAGATGACGCACTACTCCCGAGAAGGAAAGCATGTCTTCATGGAATTGGTGCGACCTAGTAAGAGCATCGACTTTCATGCCGGAGCTAAGGACACGGCGGACGAGATTACTCGTGCCCTAGGCGAAATGGCAGGCGCCGTTCGCGCTGAAGGACTTAAGGAGGTTATCATGGCTGGAACTAAGAAGAGCAAGAAGAAGGGTGTCATCCAATACGACTTCAAGGCCCAGGGCGAGGACGAGGTTACTGTCGCTGTCGGCGACGATGTCATCATAATGGACGACTCCAAGAGCGACGAATGGTGGCAGGTGCGTCGCCTTAAAAACGGAAAGGAGGGCGTAGTACCGAGCAGCTACGTCGAAATCACCGGCACCGTGACGCCGCCACCTGTTGACCCGATATTGTCAGCAGTCGAGCAGAACCGCTTGGAGGAGCTGCGGCTCACGAAGGAGGCACTGAAGGCTAGCAAAGACCCCCAACAGGTAGGACCGGGAATGGCTCTTCCAGAAAGAGGCAGCAGTCTTAATAATTCGGACCTACAACAGAGTCGGCGCCAAAATGGGCGGAATGAAGGCTCCTCATCCAAGGGAAAAACAAGTAAGTTCTACATATGTCTTGCAACAGTCGCTACTCGCTTGATAACCACAGGAGCTGACGATATATCCCCTACCTTTATCCACAGAACCCGATCTCTCCAAGGTTCGAACTTGGACAGACCGTTCTAAGTCGTTTAGTGTTGAGGCTCAGTTCCTTGGACTCAAGGATGGCAAAATCCATATTCACAAGCTGAATGGCGTCAAGATTGCCGTTCCCATTTCCAAGATGTCGAGCGATGACATCGAATATGTTGAGAACCTGACCGGCGTCACCCTTCATGAAGCTAAGCCTCGGTCTAGCTCCAAGAAGGCCCCTGTCGAAACTGTCAAAAAGGATACCAAGCCTGAATACGACTGGTTTGATTTCTTCCTTTCTTGTGAAGTGGCCGTCGGCCTTTGCGAGCGCTACGCCCAGGCATTCCACAGGGACTCTATGGACGAGAGCGTTTTGCCTGACATCGACGCGACTGTCCTGAGAACACTTGGTCTTCGCGAAGGCGACATTATCAAGGTTATGCGTACTCTTGATGCTAAGTATGGCCGCCAGAAACCCAAGGATGGCGACGGCGGTCTGTTCTCTGGACCCGGTGGTACCCTGCGGAACAACACTCGAAAAGGACGCCCTGCTCCTGCTGTCCAAACCAGCGACATTGTGGATGCTTCTGCCTTTGGTAAAAAGGATGGGCAGAGCCCTACACAAAATGAGGCTGCCAAGTCAACGTCAAGCACCAGTCCACCGCCTAACGTTCAAGATACGAAGCAGCCGCCCGCTGGCAGTTTCGACGATGATGCCTGGGATGTGAAGCCAAGCCAGCAGCCTCAGCAGCCCACTCCTGCTAAGACTCAGTCGCCGCCTCCCGCTGCAAGTGCCGCCGCTCCTCCACCTGCGAATCTGATGGGCTCCATGAAAGACCTGTCTCTCTTGTCCGAGCCGTTGGAGCCCACCAAGACGGGGCCGCAGCCATCACCTCCGGCTCAACCCCTGACTCAGCCTCTTTCTTTGGTAGGGGCCACTCCGCCGCAAACAGCAGCGCCTGCCCAGCAGGGCGCTACACCTGGCTTCTTCCAGACGCTGCAATCTCAGCCAACTGGACTGCCGCGGCAGCGACCGGCCCCGCCCTCTTCAGTGTCGCCTCCCCAAGGATCTCTGGTCCCCCCGCCACCGCAGCGCCCTCTTTCTACTCCGGCCCAGCCCACCGCATTCCAAGCACCAGCTCTGGCTCCTCAGATGACCGGCGCCCAAGTGGCTCTTCCTGGTCAAAGTCTGAGCGAGATTGCGCAGGCTCGACTCCAGCAGCAGCAGCAGCAGCAGCAGCAGCAGCAGCAGTACATGGCTCAGATGCAACAGCCAAGCTATACGGGCTTCCTGGGAGCCCAGCCACAAGGCATCATGTCTATGCCCGTGGGTCCCCAGGGCCACTTCATGCAACCTATGATGACAGGAGCACCTGGTCAGAGCCCATTCGCAGACCCAGGAGCGCAGCAGCAAACCATGTTCTCGACGATGCAGGCTCAGCCCACTGGTTTCCAGCAGTCATTCAACCAGCAGCAACAGCCTTCATTTGGGCAGCAGCCACCTCCGGGGGGCATCAACAACTATCTTCCACCAGCTCTTGAACCGCAGAAGACGGGCATGTCTATGCAGCCAATGCAAACCCAGCCGACTGGTATATCTGGGTTCCACCAGCCTGCCACTCAACCACTGCAGCCTCAGCAAACTGGACCAGCCCCGCCAATCCGTTTCGGGGTCTCTCCCGAGCCAAAAAAGCTGGCACCCCAACCCACAGGTCGCAAGGCAAACCTTTCTCATGCGAGTAAGTATCAAATACCCCCTCACTCAACTAAAAATCTGGATTATGCTGACAACCCCCCCCCCCCTACAGCCCCGCAAAACCCCTTTGGCTTCTAATTACTACGGCCTTGGGGTTAATATCGTTTTCCAAAGGAAAATGCGTAGGTGGCTATATTTGAGTGGAATATTTATTTTTTCTTCTATGTTACATGTTTTCTTTAATTGAGCATCGTTGTGGTCATGTATATGTTTCGAGGACCGAAGCGTTTGCAGTACAAAGGGAGACAATACATCCTCTATCAAGGTCCAGCTAGGCAACTCAGAATATATTACTCAAACGTCACTATCACATCCAGTCTAGGTATTATGCAGCTTTACGTTGGGACGTCAATTTCGGCCAATGCGTTTAATCTACTAAGTATGGTAACTTGGGATTTTGCTACTCCGGTATCTGGTATTCTAGTCGAATACTTGATGTATTGATTAAGTCCAAGTCAAAACTCAAGGAACCCACGGAAAGCTTGCGGCTCCCATAGATTGGGACGACATAAAAATTCCTATTACCTGCAAGCCCTCTGTCTCAGTCGAACGCACAATTGGTCTTCTCTTCTGCCGAAGTGCGTAAAACTGTAACAGAAGCACATAGAAATGCTGCGCCTGCTGACCAGCAAGGTACCGTTCTAAAACCTCCATCTTCTCCCTTCCCCAATCAATCACTTATTAGGATCACATTTCCCCTATAGCGCAGCCATATTCGCTATGCTCGAATGACACAATACGACCAAGGGTCCCCAAATTAGACATGTACCAATATATATATATATATCCCCAACAATAATGCGTATTTCTTAAGCTTTCCGACGAGTAATCGGCATCTTCTGGGGCACGCCCGAGGCGACGGTCGAGAGATCGACCTCGACCTCAGTGACAGGTTCTGAAACTCCCTTGGAGGGCTGGAAGCGTTTCCGGACAGCACTCACCATCTTAACAAACCAGTAGAAGTTGAGTGAGTTCAAAGTAAGGTTGCTCCCTAAGTATGCGAGTGCTGCCCAGACGGGAACAGTGAATTCGTAGTCGGCAAAAGCCATGAAGGGGGACTCCGACTTGTGAAGACCCGGCGTTGAAAACACAGCGCGCAGCATGTCTCCCATGACTCTGTAGGAGTTGTACGTCCCGAAGACGATACGGCACGTGAAGAAGGTCGACAGTAGCATAATGCCGTTATAGAGCTGAGCACTGGAACCCGTCATGTTCACTTTATCCATGAACCAGTGGATGTTAAGGAATGGGGTCGAGAGCTCCCACAATATGAAAATGCACGAGTAGTAGTTGACAAGCGGACGCTGCATGTAGGCAAATCAGTCAGTAAAGCTCCTTCGAGAGGTTGCATAAAGTTAGTGAGGAAATATAAATGTGTCACCTACAAACCCAAGTAAGAATACAAGCAAAGCCGCGATAGCATGGGCTAAAGTGCCAATACCGAAAACATCGAGGTTGGAGCTTGTCACAAATAGGTCCCAGACAAAATAGCCGGTGGCCATTGCTTGGATCATGCCAGAAGCACCTGTGTATCCCCAGACACGTTCCTCCCAGTCCATATTCCAACGCTCGTTATCGACCGCAATTACCCAGATCGAAAGGGCACTGATGATACAGCTCTGAACCATGGATACAACATGGGTGTTCCAGTTAATTCGTTTCTTCCGTGAGAGTCTCGAGTAGTATTCGGGTGCCAGTAGGTTCGAAAGAATCGGAGAAACTGGCCAAAAGATGATGCTGTAGAGAAGTGCAGATAGCACAACTTCGTGTATATGCAGCGGAAGTGTTGGAAGGTTCAGGAATTCACACCATGGCTGGACCAGTTCGGCCAGCCAGGGAAAGGGCGGGATCATGAACGGATCCTTCATGTCAAGAAATGGTATATTCGTTGGTCGTGGATCAGTTTCGTCGTGAAGGCAGGCAGGGGTCCGACAGGGTTACTCAACCCCAACGTCGAGTTCAAAGTAGATAGAGGTAACAGCGTACAAGCTAGTAGTCGAGCTACTTAAAACATAGAGGTCAGTCTAAATGAAGTGTAGTAGATGCAGGAGTGGAAGATTCTCCCTGAAAAGGTGCAAATGATTACGCTTCTTTAAAAGTCCAAACAAAGTGGGAATAAAGGGCCACTTGACGCGCAACTGGTCGGGCATGGATGGGATGGGCCAGCTGAGCTGTTCGCGTGAGCCAAGAAGATGGACAAGTACGAAGTACGCAGGCAGGGGTCCGTGGACCCACTCATTGGTGCCAATACATGAAATAAGTACATGAATTGTTGGGGTTGGTGTTATGTAAGCCATTGTCGGGGAGTACCGAGACGGCAGGCACACGCACTGCAGTAATGGCCACTACGCGTACACAAACGTTGGCGCCTCGTTGAAGAAACTAGAGCCAAAGACAAAGGCACATGAGATCACACCGAATGATTTAGGCTTGACCACAGCCGCACGATCCTCCCGCTTATACTCGTATCCCTACCGATTTTTTCTGTTATCAGGGACAAGGGTAACTTGCGGAAGTCAGAACCCGAGAACTCAGCTTCCTGGTCGAGGGTGTGAGGTGGCCATGTCGGATAGCCTGGTCATTCACTGTGGTACTCACCTGGCTACCAAAACTGCGGCATCATGGCTGAATCTTTAAAGCAGTTTCTGGATCCCCAGAGGACCGTCACAGACAGCACTGCGGCCGAATATTTGGCCCATTTGGCTGACCAGCCTGCCGATTCTCTGCGGTCGTCAGAGCCCCAGCGCCTGGCCCAATCCTCCCACTCACTCCTCCTGGCAGTGCAAGGGTTATCGAAGAAGTCCCACAAACCCATCGTCAACTCAGCAGCAAAGCATGTGTCGCTAAGAAAGTCACTACCTGCGCTGGCTCAGAGTGCGGCTGAGCTCAGCCAGGCTGTACCGCGCCTCGACTCGGAGGCCGAGCACTTCTCCAAAACGTTTGGGAAAGCAGCCGACAGCAAACTGCTGGCGAGGCGCAAGCAAGCCTTGCGCCTACTACAAAACTCGGAGCGCCTGGTCGACGTCATGGAGCTACCGCCTCTGTTAACATCAGCTGTTATGACGACGCCCGTCAATTATTCTTCAACACTCGATCTTTACGCCCACGTCCGTCGCTTGGCCTCGCTATACGCTGAGTCCCCACTTGTCGCCTCCATCATGTCGGAGGCAGACGATGCCATCCGCCAGATGGCTTCGGATCTAGTAACAGGCCTAAAGGCCCCGAACCTCAAGCTGGCTGCAGCTCTCCGAACTGTAGGCTGGCTGAAACGCATAATCCCCGACCTCGTTTCGGGAGTGGCTCCGGAAGAAGCGCTTCCAGCCCTCTTTTTGGTGTGCCGGATGGCAGCTTTCGTCTCTCTTCTTGAGGCTCTGGAGCCTCTGCGTAAGTTGGCGGACGAAGAGGTGGTGCGGCTGGGCAAATCCCCACCGTCTCCATTTGGTGGCCAGCAAACGGAGCGATACTTGAAGCGTTACATTGAGATTTTCCGAGAGCACAGCTTCAACATAGCATCCGTGTTCAAGAACATCAATGCCAGCTTTTCTCAGCCATCAGTTCCAGACGAGTCTGACCCCCTACGACCTTTACCGTCTGCCATATCGAGCCTTCCTCTTCATCTTGTCGAAATGCTCCTCGAGACCTTGCGACATTACCTGCCCACCGTCAAGGATCAGGGAACGCGGGAAAGCATAGTAACACAGGTTTTATACTGCTCCGGGAGCTTGGGGAGACTAGGCGCCGATTTTGGTATGCTTCTCTCTACTATTGGAGTCGATGAATGGGTGGACTTGGTTAAGCGTCATCGGCTGCTGGCTGGTCGTCTAGAGTCAGTTATCGGTGATTATGGTCGAGGGCAGACAGTGAGCAGTACTAGTTGAGATGCAAGTCTCTTGATGCGATACAGCTCAAGAGGCTACGATAGGAAAGAACCAACAACTTCAATCCGATCATGTATTAGTCCACCAAGTGTTTGACTGGAAATCTCGCAATTTTCAACGAACTAATATGTCGAAATTTGTTATTGCTTTATTACATTGTACAAGCTGTGGTAGTTACATGCACTCGTACGTACTGTATTATTACATTTAGCGGGGGCACGGGTCAATCCGGATGCGGTTCAACCTCCCTTTTTGTCAGCATTCAAGCTCTCAAGCTCAAACCCGCCGATCTGGTATTCAACAATATTTAACCTAACCCCGTATTCCTCCACACTTGCGATTCTTTTCGGAAGCCAGCCTTGCTTCTTCATATTACGACAATACACAGCCGTCATTTAATATGAGCCAAGAGTCGACGCCATCCCGATCAACCAAGTCAGGTATGTATGTCCACCGCCCCTTGTGCGTTAAACCGACAAGTTCGCCGACACATATCCAGCTCACACCCTCATATATAGGACGTCATTTCGTCTCAGGCTTGGGATCCGGCGTCTCTTCCGCTGTAATTCTGCAGCCACTTGATCTGCTGAAGACGCGGATGCAGCAGTCTGGTCGCTCAACATTGGCACAATGCTTAAGGGATATGAGAAACTCGCCTGCTGGCCTATGGGCTAGCCTCTGGAGAGGCACAGTACCATCGGCATTGCGTACTGGCATCGGATCAGCACTCTATTTCACCTCACTCAATTCTATACGCCAGCAAATTTACACACGGAATATGTTGGGCCAGGGTGGTCGTGTTCAAACCAGCTCTTCGGTCCTGCCTAGTCTCAGCAATTCGGCTAACTTGCTCTCGGGGGCAGCCGCCCGAACCTTGGCAGGATTTGTATTGATGCCTTTGACTGTTATCAAAGTGCGCTTTGAATCCAATTTGTATTCATACCCGACGGTGTGGGCGGCAGCTAAGGGGATTAAGCAGGCAGATGGCATGCGAGGCTTCTTCTCTGGTTTTGGTGCCACAGCGATGCGAGACGCCCCCTACGCAGGCAGCTATGTTCTCTTCTACGAGATGCTAAAGCCTTTTGTTGGATCATTTGCACCGCAATCCCTTGAGGAGAAATCCGGCCATGGGGAAATGCAGACTTCTGTTTCTACGGCAGTCAACTTTACATCTGCCTCGCTTGCAGCAGCTGCTTGCTCCGCCCTATCAAACCCGTTTGACGCAGTCAAGACGAGAATTCAACTGCAGCCACAAAAATATAGAAACATGGCACAAACTACCTACCTCATGATCGCCGAGGATGGACTTCGATCACTATGGGATGGCCTGGCCCTACGCATGAGTCGTAAAGCGCTCAGCTCGGCACTGGCATGGACTTTGTACGAGGAGCTCATCCGGCGATCAGGCACCTCGTAGGATGAAGGCGTACAATGAAATGAATCTCAGCTCACATCAGAGATAATACTCAATCTTATAAGAACGGTATGTAGTATGTATGAATATCAAAACTAGCTTAATAGATACCCGCATGTTCTATCCTTGTAAGTGGTCATCTTCATACTTCATCGGCTTCCAATTCAAGTCCGTCCGCAAGAACAAAGCAGAATAAAATGAAATGAAAGATACACGTAAACACAGTTGAGAGGACAGCGTAGAAACACAAGAGGCAGAGGGGTGTCACCTCGCTATGACCATATGAGGCTCTTGCACAAATGAATTTTGAATCGAATTTACGCCGGCCGAGCGCCAGCCAGATACATTAGAAGGCCAGGAGACTTGCTCCTTTTCCGAGAGTGGCTTCTCTTGCGCACCCATTCGAATTGGGGGTCCTCTTCAGGACGGAGTCTCTCCTCGATAAGCAGGCCCTTCTTACGCCTGCTTCGCAGGTTCTTGGTATGCTTCCAAAGGTCGTCCTGCTCCCACTCAGGTACCCAACGCTTAATCAAGACGTATTCGGGATTCTGCGTATGGAATTAGCAACTTGGTGATATTGATGAATTCAGGGGAAATCAATAGGCTTACCGCCATGTCGTAGTCCCATTCGATGTGGTATTGTCTGAGAGTCTCAATGGACAGGTGTTTTCGCGCCATGCGCGTGTATGTCGGGCGTGCAACGGTATTCATCGTAGGTGACGCGGCTGTTGCGGCTGCTGACGCGGCTGAAGCCTGAGCTTCCGGGACTTTCTTATTCTTGATGATTGCAGAAATTGCCTTTTCATCAAGCCCGGAGTTGATAAGATCTTCCTGAAGACGCCTCTTATACTCCTTTTCTGACTCTTCACGCTCCTTCTGTTCCTTGGCCCTCCGTTCGGCTTCCCGTTTCTTGTAACGCTCAATGGCTTCGTCTTCTGCCTTCTTGCGTGCCTTTTCTTCCTCAGCAGCTTCCTGCTGCTCCTTGAGGCGCTTCAGCTCCAGCTCCTCCTTTAGCCGAGCCTGTTCTGCCGCTCGAGCTTCGCGGCGCTTGATTTCGTCCAGCTCTACCTTGGCCATCTGTAACTCGGCCTCGTTTCGGTATTCCTTGGCCAAACGCCTCTCGCGTATCTCATGCTCTTTCTTGATGCGGAGCCTCTCCAACTCACGCCTTGCCATCTCAGCCTCAAAATCCTCCCGTGAAGCTGCTGGCGCCCGGGAACGCGACCGCGACCGTGACCGGGATTTTGAGCTGGAGGACTTGCGACGCCGGTGGCGGCGGCGACGCCCGCTTCTTTTGTTATCCTCCTCTTCAGAAGAGGAATAGTCGTTGAAGACTCGGTTGTCGTTTATAATAACAGGCTGGGCTTGACGCTCGGAAGGAGTCACCCGACGACGGTCATGAGATCGGGAACGCGACCTCGAGCGAGCATTGACCGTGATTTGTTGCTCAGGAGACAGCCAGCTAGGACCAGCATCTGCGTAATAATTTTGGGGTCGGGGAGGACTCTGCACGTAGCGAACTGGGTGAGGAGATGTGTCGCCATGGCGCACGCGAACACCGACCTCGCCCTCGTCGTAGGAATCATAATAACTCATGGTGAATCCGCCGTCTTCTTGCGTCTTTTTCTAGCTTAGGCTGCAGCCTCTGTTCCTGGTGCTCACTCAATAACCTGTGCTTTCCTTTTTAACCTAGTACAGAACAAAAACAAACAGCAGTCCCTGTGGTTGGAAATGGGGAGAGCTTGGAGGTGTCAGCCTGAGGGGACGCCTCTGCTTATTATAGTCGTTGTTGGCTTCGGAGGGGTAGTGGTCGAAAGGCCGGGGTGTTAATCAGGATGGACCAACAAGCCAACCATACGTTCAGCTGCTGACGGAAAGGTGGCAATCCTGTAATCTTCGAGTAAATCTCTGGTTCCCTCCAACCAGATATCGTCTCAAAGTATGGAAGCGGGTCGGTGCTTACGCCGTGCTTCTCGTAGGGCTAGACAATCCGGTCAAGCGTCTCATTACATGCAGCCCGCCACGGTAGGTGCGGCATATGACTGGTACTGGGCGCGTCATGATACACTTCGCGCCCTACTCCACCTTGGCCATGATAGTTGGCTGTCAAAATAAAAAGGATGGCTGTGGGAGCACAGCGGCTCTACGGGAGGGGGTAAAGTAATGGTTTGTGGGCATTCATAATACACTCGTTTAATCAAATAATGTCGTGGCTGTGAGGAGGCGTGGTCGAAACCATGCAATGTCGAAGTCACACTTCAGCGTCAAAGCCATACAACTCTGCATAAAAAGAAAAAATCAATGCTAACAGTTTACTTTTTTTTTCTCTAAACCTCATTACCCTGCCCAAGTCCGCTTTCGGTAAATTTTGTGTTATGTAGGGTATTCGATGATCACCAGACTGGGAGTACCTTCTTTGCAATGTAATAACCGACCTCATCAAGTCTCATTTGACGAGAACGTCGGGAGGTATCAGAAAGTTAGAAAGTAGTCACCACTTCTTCGATGAAGATCTAACATAACAAGGCTCCAACAACCGGTGAAGATCTTGCCGGCCCTCACCGGCTCCGTAGCATTTGCTCAATATGTTCCCGGCTGTTTTTCTGGGTGGTCTCCAAGTATAGCAGACGCTTGCTCAGCTTGTCGACTTCGCTTTCCAGGTCCTGCGTCTGACGCTCCAGCTTCTCACGCAAGGAAGACACAGGTAGAGATGCAAACCTGTCGAGGGGTAATCAGCAGGTGTTCCTCGTGGGTGAGTTCGGAAGGGACGGCCACGTAAAGGTGGCTGTAGCACCTCATCGGAAGATGTGAAGCATACATTTTACCAACGCCTTCGTAGACAACAGTATCTTCAGGCAAGTTGGCCATCTCACTCATAGTCAACTTCACCAGGCGCTGCTCACGCTGCTTGCTCGTCATCTGGCCTCGGGCGACGCTTATCTGCTGCTGTGCAGCGAGAGCCTGGCTCTCAATCTCATGGACGAGCTGGAATGTTCCGTTAGCCTACCAGTCGGGAAAATATATCATGTTTAGAAGCTTTCATCCTTTGGTGCCCATTGAACGGGCTTGGCTCAAGGGGTTTCCCACCCCCACTTGTGCTCGCCGAAGATGACCGCTCCTAGAGCTTCAAAAACTGTCACCAGGGAATACAAGCAGTCTACTTACCTTCTGCAGGGCTTCGTTTGGGATCGACATCTTTTTGTTGACTTGATCAGCGAGTGCTATGACGGAGGCTCGATATCAGAACGGTGTTTGCGTGGTGCAATTGTAGAGCACCCCCACCATGTTTTGGTATCATATCTCTGCTTAGGTAACTCGTCTTGGCCTATGCAACAGCCATCCTAAGCAACAACGTAAATATGCAGACTCGACAATTTCATACTGATGATGAAACACTCTGTTCTTCTTGTCTATGTGTCATTATTCAGTGATATAGCATCCGACTTCTGGTAAGAAACGCACCTGATACTACTGGGAAAGGATATGACGTACTCATACAATCCAAGAGACCAACTAATGCTACCTCTTCAAATATAACATCGTTCGCTCCCCCCATATTGTTCAATATCCTCCCGTCATCTATCCTATGATGGCATATTTTTGTAGAGTGAGGGGTAAAGGACGAAATCCAATCATATCGACGGTTGAGATATTAATAAGCGAAATCCCCGTCTTATGCCCGCATTCTACTGGGCCTTTGGCTTACGCGCCAGCTTGCGGGTGTTCTTTATCTCGGGTATCGAGGTAAGCAAGCGCGGCCAGCTTAAGACATACTCGTCCTCTTGTTCTTCAAGGCAATGTCTCAGCCAGATACCCCAGGTAATATAGTAGTATGCTGTTGTAATGTCAGTCGTTAGTTATATGTAGCATTTTATACATCAAGGGATGCGTGCTTACCACCTGCATTGATACTAGTTAGCCTAGCACACTTCTCATTACACCGAGATATTGAAAACGTACCAAGTCCGGTCATAAGATGCCACCATCCATGGCCCTCTAGTAAAACGGCCCAGGGTAGCCCCATGGCGCGACGCAACTGTCGTATCTCACTACAGAAACTGTTGTCAAAATTCCAAACGGCAAATCCTCCAAGAAATATAGAGAGACCTATCAGATTTCAATGTTAGCGTGGTCCTAGGTATTGTTGATTGTGAGCACAAGAGACTCACCCGTTGCAACCATGATCCACATCGTCTTGATCAGTTGATGTGATTTTTCACCACCTCGCGATACAAGGGCAGGGCGCAGTTGAGTCTCCATCACCCACATACCACGGAAGACGACAGTGGCCGTCAAGAGCGCGTATGCAACTTGGTGGAAGACTGGGTCTTTGGTAATGTGGTAATACAACTAGACTCCAGTATTAGACATCTCATATCCTGAATGTCACCGATAACTATCGTTACTGCAACTAACCGTTATAAATGCAGCAAGAGCCAGCATTCCAACTCCAAGCCCGATTGAAAAATACCGTGAACGCGAATACGAGAAACTGGCGTACATCATGAGGCACGTCGTATAGATCATGGAGAGCTCGTCCACCAGCTGCATAGGGTCTGTTCTTCACTCATTAGCTTCATTCGTCGTCAGATTCGAACATGGTGTACATGCATTTCAATGTGGCGTGGAACGAGATGGAGCCGAGTCCCACGACAATGTAACCGAGGTAGGCGACGATGAACACCGAATCATGGGACTGCTCGAAGCAGTTCCGAATACCCTTGATACCAAGCCAAAGAAATAAGCCGTTTGTTATCGTCTGCAAGTGAAATCCGGTCAGCTAAATTATTATGTCGCTGCGTAGTTTGTATCCATAGTTCCGGGCCATCCGTGGCTGGTGGCTAACTTACGTTTACCACTTCCGCACAGTAATACGAGAGCGCATAGTCCTGGGCCTCCGAGTGAGTACATTGAATACCCCGAAGGAAAAGCCATCTGGAATCGGTATACCTCCTCACAGAAGTTGAGGGTTGAAGTCGGCTCTCCCCAGATGCCATGTCCATAGTCTGGATACGACCAGCGTAGATTGCCGAGGAAACCGAGGGACGCCATGGGCAGGCCAGGTACTCGACCTTTCACGAAGTAATACGAAAGGCGAGGGGGGTAGGTAACGAGTATGCGGAACAATCTCCAAGTGTGTTTGACATAGGATGGGGAAGTATCTTGAGGAGCTGTTGTATATACCCAAAGTCTGCGAAGTGGTAATGCTGTCAATTCCAGGATTACTAAGGTCAGTCAGAGCTCAAACACGACTGACGGGCGCTTGAGACTTCATGGGACAAGATAACTTACAACTGTGTCCAGCGGCGGCGACTTATAAGTACTGACGTCAACCTGTACAGGCCCACCGGAAGTACCTGTGGGATGGCATAACAAGTACTGGCCGGCGCAGGGTACGGAATACACGAGTACACGACCCAAAGTAATAATAGAAGCACTTATATACTACTAGCCAACTATTTTTTTTCGATAATGCTGCTCACACTGATTATTCTGTAACGATTGATTATTCTGTAAACCAACCAACCCCTTTTACTCACAAGCAAGCTCTCCAAAACTTTATAGCTATAATTATTCGACTCGAATGCACTTTGAACTACTAGTAGTAGCAGATATGACAAGGTGTATATCGCTGATTGTGGCTCAGTAAGGCTAACCTGAGCTACGACAGCTGAAAAGACTGCCAGTGACTAAATACTAAATGTCGTCTACCCGCAGGTAACAGGAATCAGTTAATCTGGGTCAAGCTGGACATACAGCATATAGTGAAGATTAGATAGAGGGGCATCATCCAAACCGCTCACCATTATGCTCTTATCCTATAAGGAGCTCCAACATAATGAGAAAGGGACGTGCACTCTAAAAAATACCGGTATTATTGACACGTTAAGGCGTAGTGAATGAATTTCGCAAACATGAATTTAAAACAAGTGTATGTCACATACACCAAATATTTATTAATCATTCTATTTGCGTCAGCTACAAGATTTTCTTTGTGCAACATATTGTTTCCTTGTTTTTAGGGCTTAGTCTTCAAACAAAATTAGATACACTCTGCATACATTAACACATAGTGTAACAATGATATATACATACGAAGTTGTTAGAAAAAGGATGTTATGATAATAGCTGTTGAATGCGCCCTTTGTCCTGATGAAGAATAGGCCAGCGATAAAAAAAATCAAAGAACAAACAAACAAGCTATGATTGAGTGTTGATCATAATAATATTCAAATAATATTCAAAATGTACGAGGAAAAAAAACAAATGAATAGAAAAAAACACCAATAATTGGCAATGAATAAAGCATATTTCTGAATCTCTGCACTTACCTATTTACTTATGTACATGTATATAATAGAGACGAATGTCTTCCATACGGGTTAGGCACGACGTTATATATACTTCGCTCAGTTTTTGTGTGTGACAATAGTTAGTCAACAGTTCAGTAGCTCCATTATGCACTATTTTCTCTTCTCTATAAAGTTTATTAAAATCAGTTTTAATATCTATATTAATAGCATTATCTACGTCAAGCCTGGACACTACAGTATTTCTCAAGATCAAGGGAGCAACAAGAATCATCGCAAACATACATAGCAAACCGTAATATATATAATAACTCTGACTTAGGTGATATACATATATACTACCTGTTTTCAATTGAGGTGTACTTGGAGTAGTGACGTTTGAAATATTTTGAAATATTTTAATTCATTTACTGTGTCCGTGGACATGTTTATTAATGATTGATTTAACATCGTACCAGATTTCATATTATGAATTTCCGCTTTTCGTCTATCTCCACAGTACTACTAACAAGCCCATATAATATATATATAGTATTGCTATTCAATCAATTTACGTACATCTATAATGTCCTTTGAGACCTAGAAATATAATTAATTGTGTGTAAGTGTGAAAATATTGCAATTTTGATGTTGAAACAAAATAATTGAGAGAGAGTAAAGAAACCCGAAAAACAGCCTTCAGTAGTACTTGAATATGGTGCAAATAAGTGAGAAATTTCTATCGATATTATGACTGGGGACATTAGCTTTTAACATGGCGTTTCAAAGCGTCAAAGCACTTTATATCATTATAGAAGTCTTGTTTCGCGTTCGTGAGCTTAACGTCATTAACTTGATAGACATCCTTACGATATAGAGGAGTATTTATTTTTATACATTCGTTATCATTATATGATTATAGGTTGTATCGCCTAACTCGGGTGACATGGGAATAAAAAAAAAAAACGCAACGGGAGCCATCCGTTGGAGAAATAGATATAATATTGTTATTATCAAGGTGGTTTGTTGTTGCCGATGATTGATTGCGCACAAGCTGGATCATGTATCATCACGGTATATAGATACCGTAAATACGGAAGATGAAACGGGCATTATCGGAGCTTATCGTCGCCGGCCCTGCTTTTCTCGGTTGTGGTCATGATAAACTTTTTATTATGCATTCCTTGCCTCTATTGATAGGTACATATAAAGGCATATCAAAAGCATACATCGGGTTCTTACTGGTAAGTTGTAGCATCGAAAAATTTACCGTTATGGCAAAGGTCAGTTTACTTGTACGAAGTAGTACTCCGAGTACTATTAATACTGCACCTGTGCACATGTTATTATGTAATATAGAAGGTAGGGAGGGATGTGGGGCAATTGGTGAACTTCCACCGCCTGGGTGCCAAGACCACCTAATATGGGCAGGTCGTATGGCAGAAAAAAAAAAGTTGCGAAGCCCAGCCCACTTTCTTTACTCTGTCAACCACGACTGTACTTGGCCTTGAGGGTACTGGTAACCTCCAATATGGCTCCGCCGCAATCATCGAGAAAGAGAAAGGACTCTGGCGGCTCGGTAGAGTCAGACGATGGACTTCAGGGAGCCACTCTAGACGGAATCTTGTCTGAGAGCAGCGACAACTCCGACGCCGAGTCCGATGCTGGGTTTGCGGGCTTCAACGCCTCTGAGGATGAGCAGGATGCGCGCAGCTCTGATGCTGACAGTGTTCTATCCGGTGACGATCTTTCAAAACAATTGAATTATAAGGTTGTCCAGGATGCCAATGGAAATGAACGGTATGAGTACGCAGAAATCGACCCTGTCTATGACAGCGACGACTCGGACGCACAAGAGAAACCGAACACAATCGGAAACATACCGATGTCGTTTTACGACTCGTATCCCCATATTGGCTATGATATCAACGGCAAGAAGATTATGCGACCAGCCACTGGCGACGCTCTGGATGCCCTCCTGGATAGCATTGAGATTCCCAAGGGCTGGACTGGCTTGACTGATCCCCAGACCGGAAAACCTCTTAACCTTAGCCAGGAGGAACTCGAACTGCTGCGTCGCATTCAGTCAGGGGGATTGCCCGAGGAAGGCACTGATCCCTACCCGGTAAGCCATGCGGTCGCTCCCTTCCGATTGAATCAGTGCTTACATGCTTTTCCTAGGATATGGTCCCGTACTTCACATCCATTGAAGAGCAGATGCCATTGAGTGCTGCTCCCGAACCCAAGAGGCGATTCCTTCCTTCAAAGCACGAAGCCAAGCGTATTGCGAAGTTGGTTCGAGCCATTAAAGAGGGAAAGATTCTTCCTTACAAACCTCCGGAGGAACGCGAGCGTGAAGAAGAGCAGGAAGAAGAAACCCACTTTGATATATGGGCGGACGAGGAGCCCCAGGACCGACATGTTATGCACATTCCTGCGCCGAAGCTCGCACCTCCTGGTTACGACATGAGTTACAATCCACCTCCGGAATACCTGCCGACCAGCGAAGAAAAGGAGGCGTGGGAGAAGACTGACCCTGAGGAGAGAGAAAAAGAGTATCTACCAGCCAAGTTCGGTGCGCTGCGGAAGGTTCCCGGATACGAAGGGTTTGTCAAGGAACGCTTCGAACGTTGTCTCGACCTTTACTTAGCCCCTCGAATTCGAAAAAATCGACTCAACATCGATCCGAACTCGTTACTTCCCAAGCTCCCCCGTCCGGAGGAACTCAAGCCGTTCCCTACCCTCTGCCAGGCGATTTTCAAGGGTCACAATGGACGTGTCCGGTCCGTTTCTTTCAGCCCTGATGGAGAATGGCTGGCATCTGGTGGTGACGATGGCACAGTTCGTGTGTGGGCCCTCAATGGTCACCAGGAATGGTCTGCCCGTCTGAGTGTCGAGGAGTCTGTCGACGCTGTCAGGTGGCGACCCAACAAGGCTACGTTCATTCTTGCCGCTGCTGCAGGGGAAGATCTCTTCTTCGCCGTGCCTCCGGTTGTTAGTGATGAAATCGAAAAAGCCAGCAGGGAGGTCTTGGATGCCGGATTTGGACATGCCGCTAACAGGGCCCACCTCGCCGATGGTGTCCAGAAGGAACCGACTGCCAAGTGGGCGCGCCCTGGTCCGAAGCTTGAGGATGCCAGTGTTCTGTTGAAGGTAACCGTGAGGGCCCCTATCAAGGTGCTCAGCTGGCACAGGAGGGGTGACTTTATCTCCTCCGTTTCGCCAACTGGACAACGCAGCTCGGTCGCCATACACGCACTGTCGAAGCACTTGAGTCACATTCCCTTTCGAAAACTCCACGGACTTGCCCAAGCAGCACACTTCCACCCGTCGCGGCCACTGTTCTTTGTGGCTGAGCAGCGCAGCATTCGCTGCTACGATCTCCAGAGGCAGGAGCTTGTCAAAACCATTCAGCCTGGCGCCCGTTGGATATCTAACTTCGATGTGCATCCGGGAGGTGACAACCTCATTGTGGGTTCCTATGATCGCCGTCTGCTATGGCATGACCTGGATTTCTCAACTCTTCCCTTCAAGACGATGCGCTTTCACAGCGAGGCCATCCGTGCTGTCAAGTATCATAAGAGCCTGCCTCTCTTTGCCGATGCCAGTGATGACGGTACCGTCCAAATTTTCCATGGCCGTGTTGTGAATGACTTGACAGCGGGCGCTACTATTGTGCCTGTCAAAATGCTCAAGGGCCACAAGGTCACAAGCAAGCTAGGCGTTCTAGACGTTGACTGGCACCCGAAGCATCCTTGGTGTATCAGTGCCGGAGCGGATGGTACCTGTCGGTTATGGGCATAAGAGATAGAGTATTAAATTAAAGGGAGGAAAATGTTTTTTTGTATTTACGTTTAAAACCAAAGTCTTAGAAAAAGAAATATATATTAGACATGTCAATTATGGTGTTTCTTGAAGAGACCTGGGTCGTTTACACTTGGATCTTCTAATCTTTATGTTTTATTTAACTTTCTTGCTCTCGTCCTTCATGGGAGAGATAAGTACTAGTATAGAATAAACCGTGATCCCCACGTATTTAAAATATATAAATATATAAAAATAAGTGAGCTCATAATGGAAGAAGAAAAGCAATCGCAGCATCGAAAAGACACAGGCCCACCACCATTCGACAGTCTCTGAGGTGGGTTGTTTGTCATAGGTATAACGAAACCAGACGTGTGAGCTTACAACTCGTTCTTGGCCTTGCTTGCCTTGATTTCAGCCTCTTTCTCGACTCCAGCAGCCTCCTCCTTGGCAGCAGTGCTGCCCAATTCGAGTTGCTTGGAAACCCATTTCCAGCCACCCACCACAGCCCCCTCGAGCTTAGCAAAGATGGTTTCGCTAGGAGAGGTGGTTCCATATTTGAAATAGGTCGCCTGCTTCCGGGCCTCGGCCTTGAGTTCGTCAAGTTTGTTTCCCTGGGGGGTAACGATGCCGTAGCTGTCAAGGTATGCCTTCAGCTCAGAATGAGACCATTTATCAAAAACGTCAGTTTTAGCAGCTTCAGTAGTCTGAACAAAGTAGTTGGTAGCGGATTCATAAGAGGAGCCGCCCGCAGTGGAAGCAGAGGAATAGGCCGAGTTGGCCGCGCTCGCAAGTTCCTTGTGGGTGACATCCTTCTTTGCAGCTATATTCTTGGCCGCGGCATCTCCATTCTTCTCGAGGTAGTCCTTCAGATTATTGTATGTGAGATCGTCGAATGTCCATGCGCTCCATCCCGTAGAAGCCTTGTGACTGTTCTTGCGGACCAGTGCTCGGAGGTCATCCAGCTTGGATGTCTGCGGGACCGGAACACCTCGAGCGTCGAGGTAAGCCTTGAGTCGACTTTCGGACCAGGTTTCGGTGGCCTTGTCGAAGCTGTTCCGAGCGGCGAGGGACGCACTGTCTGAGGCTTTTGCGTACTGGTTTCCAGCACTAGAAGTGGCAGCACCAAAGGCCGCTGCAGCATGGGCGCCTGCCGTGTCACCAAGAATCTCGGCGCGGTTTTTACGGACGATAGCCCGAAGTTCATTGACCTTAGTGCCTTGAGGGACAGGAATGCCATTTTTGTCACAAAATTTCTTCAGCTCAGACTCGCCCCAAGTATCAATGATGATATCAGTGAGCGTCGAATAGGCTGCCTGTGCACTCTTGGTGGCACTGGCAGCTTGAGCCTGGGCCTTGAGATAAGCAAGTCGGGAGTTGCGGCGCACAGAAGCAATAAGTTTGTCGCGAGACGATGGTTGAGGTGAAGGAAATCCGTGAGTGTCAAGCCATTCCTTTAGATCAGATTCGGTCCAGGAGTCGTACAGCCAATTGCCTGGGTACGAAGTAGTCTCTCCCAATCTCTTGGCAATATTCTCGTAGTTGAGGCGAAGTCTCTGGAGGATAGCATCCCTCGGGCGAGGCTGGGGGACTGAACGGTTAATCAGTAAGGCGACTGCCATAGTAATACACTGAGCAGTTGGAACGTACCAGGGATGTCGTGCTTGTCCGCGAAAGCCTTGAGCTGGCTTTGTCCCCAAGTATCAAAAATCCAGTCCTTGACGTTGTCCCAAGCCTTAAGAGTGTTGTCCTCTGTCTCATACCAGTTTGAACGAGCAAGGTGAACTAGATTTTCCCTAGATTCCTGGGCTTCGTGTACAGCATCTTGTCCTTTATTTTGGAGGAAAGAACTGAGCTCCGCTGTGTCCCACTTCTTGTAGGGCTTTACAACGTAGTCTTCCCAGTTCTTGCCGACGAGACTCTCCAAATCCTTACGGTCCGCCGGGGTGGGGTATGGGATGTTGTTGTCGGAGAGCCAACGTTCAAGCTCCGTCTCATGCCATTTGTTATATACTGGAACTAGAAGTAAGCAAAAAATAGGTGATCATAAAAGGGGAAGCAGAACTCACTGTCCCTGGAGCCCGGGAACCAACTGCTGGATGCAGTTGCAAAGGCGGTCAAAGCTACCGGGAGTATAATAGACAGATGTTTCATGGTTGAATGTGAGGATGGCTTGATGATAGATGAGGTCTGAGCTAAGTACCTGATTTTGTGATTGATTTTCGATTCTTCGTTACTCGATGGTACACACGAGAGCGTGATGGACCATGAAAGATTTGAGGCGTGGTATGGTTTAAGTAGATGACATTGAGTAATGGAGTGGTGAAGTAATGGATGGCAACGCGGGGAAATATTCAACATTCCACAAGGCAGGAGCAATCTATACAGGTATTAATGCAGGATTCGATGGGCTATGATGACAATGATTCACGTCTAGGCCTGCCTGTTTCCCGAAACAAATATACATAACGTCATCATCTCGTGGCAAGTGACTAGCACGTACTAGACCAGCTGTTTGATGCCACGCGTTGGTCACAGATTCGCCCCAATGTATTCTAGTATGATTGGTTTTTTTCTCAGTCATTCCTTCGTTTTAAATCTAGTTGAGAAATAAACAGATTCAATTATTACATTGGTAGTCTTGATGGGATATCCTAGCTCTCTGCCTGTAAGCATTGGCAGAAGTCAGGTCATTCTTGTAGAGTAGGAGTAATATAGAGTTGGGTACAACTTTTTGATGACGTAGTGTATTACTATGTCCATGAGATCCCAATAGTAGACCCTAATGTACTGATATAAATAGATCAATATCACTGAAGCCGATCCCGATATTATACATATGCCATTAGTTATATTTTGAGCTAAATGTGTGTGAACAGCCGGAAGGTCAGAGACCTGATGTTAACCATCACTTGCCTCCACAGGGTAGTCGCACACATTTGTACCAAACTATACTGCGACGACTGGAAATTGATCGATGACATTAAGTATACTACCGCATTTTAATTTGTTTAAAATTTGTTTGCCCTCGCCTGGGACTTTTTAAGGCTCAATCGGCACAACGTAATTTACCATGAACAGTTCGTAAACACCAAATGAATACCTATATTAACCCCCAGCCGCCTGATCAGCTTTTACGGAGGCTGCCGAAGCTATCTGTGACGCAGGTCGCTAAGCAATCAGAGCCTTGCGCAGAGAAACTGAACACTGATTTTCGACAACATATGTTGATGCAAGGGCAAAGTCGGCGACGCGAGATACTGATAATCGTACATCCACCCGGGATACTTCATATAGGACCAAAGTCATTGTGCCAGTAGTCCCTCTAATAACTCACGCGTTGTCATCTTCGTATATGCAGAAATAAACCTCCTATGCGTAAAAATTGACCGTCTAGATGCAAATGTCAGTTTTGAAGTTTCTGGAGGGATACTGGGTTGCATGGGGCCACTCACGTCCTTCTTTTTGGCCTGCACCTCGGCAATGGCATCAACGTAGTGCTCGTGGCCGATCTTGTTCTTTGCTGACCGCAGAGCAATCATACCGGCCTCAACGCACACGGCCTTTAGCATGGCACCACCAAATTCATCTGTGCTGCGAGCCAATTCGCCCCAGTTGACACCTGCGTCAACCCTCATCTTGCGGGAGTGGATCTTGAGAATTTGTGCACGAGCCTCTTCGTTAGGCAGAGGGAATTCAATCTTGCGGTCCAAACGGCCCGAACGAAGAAGTGCAGGGTCAAGGACGTCGACGCGGTTCGTGGCAGCCAGAACCTTGATGCGGTCATCGGAAGCGAAGCCATCAAGCTGGTTCAGCAGCTCTAACATAGTACGCTGCACCTCACGATCGCCGCTCTTCTCACTGTCGAAGCGCTTGGTGCCCACGGCGTCGAGCTCATCAATGAAGATGATTGCCGGTGCCTTCTCCTTGGCCAAGGCAAATGCATCACGCACCAGCTTGGCGCCATCACCAATGAACATCTGAACAAGCTGAGGGCCGGCCAACTTCAAAAATGTGGCGTCGGTCTGGGCAGCGCAGGCTCGAGCAAGAAGTGTCTTGCCCGTTCCGGGAGGACCATACATCAGAGCACCTTCTTTAGATTAGCTGTGGACATTACAACAAAAGCAAGCAGACTGCATACCCTTGGGTGCCTTGATTCCGATCTTCTTGAAGCGATCAGCCTCCTTCATTGGCCAAACAATAGCTTCGACAAGTTCTTCTATCTGTTTGTCAAGACCGCCAACATCGGTGTACTGTTCTGTCGGCTTCTCGTCCACTTCCATAGCCTTGACCCGGCTGTCGTATTCGGCCGGCAGGGTGTCGAGAATAAGGTAGGAATCCTTGTTGACACCGATGAGATCACCAGGCTTCAGCTGCTCATGATCCACCAGGCCGATCAGAGGGAGAAAAATGGTTTGCCGAGTAGACGTCTTGATAACAGCTGATTTCCCAACTCGTGTAGCGTCGAGGTCAATGTTCGCGCCTTCTTCAGACGATTCGGCAGTGGGGTCGAGATCTAGCAGCTCAACGACATTGCCGACGAGGTATGGTAGTTGGCTACAGTGGAGATTAGATATACCATCATTCATGATCAAATGGACGTACATACCGGTTATTGGCGATCTTGTCAACATTCTCCTTGATCTTCTCGCCCATTGCGGCCTTTTCATGTGATAAGCGTGAGAGTTCACTCTTCATGATTCTGGAGTCGTTCTCAAGAAGGCGCCTTCTCGTTTGTATGTCTTGTGTGCCCAAGCTCAGGATCTCCTCGTCAAGGATGTCATCCTCCTCCTCGTCGTCCTTCATGTCGGTATCACCCTCACCATCCTTCTTGCCGTCTCCGGCATCTTTCTTCTGCTGGTCCTTGTCCTGACGTTCGAAGTCATCAAGCTCTTCGAGAGTCGACATGTTGTCCGCTAGCAAGAAAGATGATAGTCACTGAAAAGAAGATGGAGAGGAGGGAGAAAGATTCGGGAACAATAAGGGGTATATTTCGTTTGCTGTGATATTCGGGGTGTGCGTGAATGGCGGGGCGGGACTTGGTTGTCGTCAGAATATACCACGGATGCTGAAGTGGAAGCTGTGAGGCAGCGATGTGTCGCGCGTAATCAGCTTCTGGAGCTACCAAGGCCAGGGTGGCGGCACTGGTCCAAAAATTTACACGTGACCTGGTTATCCGGGACCACCTTTTACTATCTTTCTCCCAGTCTATGTTGGATCGCAAACCGCCATCACTGATTTCCTAAGGAGACTTACAGGGGAAGTGGCTGTTGGCGCGGACCAAGTGAGTATTTCCAGTGCACTGCCCTCGATGAGTGCCATCCCATTGACTCTTTACCTAGTATGACTTGCAGAATTGTCCAGGCCGCCGGGCCATGCCTCCAACGACTTGGAAAGGAGCCTCTCACGCAGCAACGAGCTTGTGCTCTCGCGCTGGCCAATTTCTCAACCTCAACTAGACACCAGTATGCGTCGGTTCGTAACGCCACCGCTGCGGCCCAGTCGCCCGTCGGGTATGCACCGTCTACCAAACCTCCGAGTGCCCGACCGGTTGAAACGAGAAAGAGCCAGATGATTCGTACATACACGTCTCTGCTGCGAACCACTCCCTTGATTCTCTTCTTCCAACACAACAATCTAACGGCGGTGGAGTGGGCCGCTATCAGACGTGAGCTTTACAAGGCTATGGAGGCTGTTCCGGCCCCGAGTGCAGCTGGCGTCGAGTCTCAAATACTGGCGTCCGAGATCAAGCTCGCCGTCGTCAGGACCAATATGCTCAACGTAGCCATGAAGATTGTCGAGTACCATAACCCGGAGGCCGCGGCGCTACTCTCCTCGACGGCTCGAACCTCGAAGGGCCCCATCGTTCACGACCTTTCTGAGGCTGCGTACAAGACCATCAAGGACACTCCTGTTTCTCCCGACTCTGCTTACGGCCAAATCGAGCCTCTTATGGTCGGACCCCTTGCGGCGCTAACCATTCCGGCTGTTTCCCCGGCGCACCTGGCAGCCGCGCTGAGAGTCATTTCACCTGTTCCCGGAAAGTTTCCTGCGCCCAAGAAGAAGACGAACCCCGGATACCACGAGCCAACATGCCAGAACGCACTTGCCAAGCTTCTTCTTGTGGGTGCTCGCGTCGAAGGCAATATCTTTGACCAGGAGGGAGTGAGATGGATCGGTGGCATTGAAAGCGGACTTGACGGACTTCGCGCCCAGCTGGTCCACGTCCTCCAGAGCGCCGGTCTTGGTGTCACCACTGCTCTGGAAGGTGGTAGCAAGAGTCTCTGGCTGGCCCTCGAGGGACGGAAGTCTCAACTGGAGGAATGGAGCGGAGAGAAGAAAACGGAAGAGTGAACGGATCGGCAAATTGGATCCATGGACAATGTATCTTATTCCAGCGAAAGTGTTCAGACCCGTCTTGTTCGTTGGCATGTAACACTATGTATTTTTGAAGGAATGATGTAGAAGGCAGGAAAAAGCAAAAGATTTACAAAATGTACCTTCACTTAAGAAGAAGAAAAATATTACTCTTTACCAATGCACTATTTCTTGTGTGGTGATTGTGCCAATAATTATAGCTACTAGATGAGGCGCCTCCCAGAGCGGGTGCGTGGTGGCTCTCCCTTTTGAGATGACGGGTGGAGAAAGCTAAGAGATCGCTCCATTCACAAGATGTGCGCGCAGCCACCTCTCATCACTACCAACAAACACTCTACCACAGAACTTGTTACCTCTGCGGGCCTCTCTGCTGCAGTGCATACGAAACTCCGATCACAGATATATATCTGTGGCAGCTCTTATACTTCCGACAATAAACTATGGACTTCGCACCCTACCAGTCGTCGCCGCCGGAGCATGAGCGCATCGCGTCGCCGGACTACAACGCCTCCCCCCGAGCCTCGCAAGATATCCGACGACCATTCTCCACCGACGCGCGCAGCCCGCCCCCGCTGCAGCATCCGCAGCCGCAGAGAGGATGGTCTGGCTTTGATGGTCAGACCAGCAACTGGGCGAGCGGCAACAATAGCGGCGGCGGCGGCGGGATGCCGGGCGCCTATCCTCCGGCCGAGGTGAGCGAGTTTGACACGACTCTCGGACTGAGACTTGACTACGAGGCCTGTCTAGCATACCTGGCATTTCCGCCCCTGGGTCCTATCGTGCTCCTGATTCTTGAGCGCAATAGCGACTACGTACGGTACGTCCATGCTTCTTCGCCACCACACACCACCTTGGAGCTTCCACCGGAAACCCCAGGCCACTTTTGCTGACATTGGAGCGTCTTCAGATTCCACGCCTGGCAGTCGGCCTTAGTATTTACGGTAACTATGGTCGTCTACCTCTTGTTTTTGTGGTCTTCCTTCTTGAGTTGGACCATATTTCTTGGAAACATCGCACTTATCGCACTCTTGACCATGCGTGCCTACAGAGACGCTGTGTCGCTAGACAGGTACGTTCCATAGACTGCTACTACACCTCGAGTCAGCTATGCGACGCTAACTCCTACGCTTAGGTTTGAACTTCCCTTCTTTGGAAGGTTAGCAGCCAAATTTTTGGACGATGAGTAGACATCATGTTTTGTGCTTCTGTTACATTTTACCTGCGATCGATGCCCCTTTATACCCTTTCAACGCCTGTTCTCCTGTCAATCAAAGTATGTATCTTTGGAAACCGAAGGATGCTCAGAATAGTAGCAATGCATTTATTGCGAACTAGGACACCATATTAGGCTTAACATGCCACATATGCCTTGTTACTGACTGCTCTAGCTATAAGTTTTCGAATCTTTGATAGTTCTCCCCACTTTCACCTAACGATTGGCATATCTCAAGCCTATCTCGACAACACAGCCCTCACTTCTCCCTTCAAAGTAGCCTTGTTCTTAAAAATAACTTCCTTGATTCTGTTCTCATCTGTGCAGCCTTGTTCAAGCCACTTGGCGAGTAAATCGTTGCTCTCCTTTGGCTTCACAGAGTCATCTCGGGTACCCACAGTGACATGCGCGACTCGGTTCAGGCACTTCCACTTGTCTTCTTCATCGGCTAGGCGAACGACAATGGCCATGATTCGGTCATCAAAAACAGCCTGTAGCGTAAACAAGTTAGCGCGGGTGAATAGTTGCTATCTTGGGACTTGTTGTACTTTACCCTTTCAGCCATGACACCGCAATCTCCTAGCTTTTCATTAGGCTTCCCCGCCTCTTCAGCTTCTTTATATAGAGCCGTGTACTTCTGCCAGAGCTCAGGGCAGTCTTTCGAAGAAGCTCGGTGCATAAGCGTGACGTGGAATTCCCCCTGCACTCGCCGGGACTGCTTGAGCTGCAGATAGAAACGAGAGATTTCAGAAGTCTCTCCCTCGAAGGAACTGTCCAGGAGCGCATTGATGATCTGCGTGGGGACACCCACGGATATGTACTCGAGAGGCTTCTTCTTGGGTTCCTTCTGCTTCTGTGCTGATTTTTCCGGCTGGTCTTTTCCTTTCTTTCCTCTGCCAGGTATGTTATGTTTGAGATTGGGTTTGTAACTGAGAGCGTATTCAATTGCAGCATCGAGCTGTTCGCCCGAGGGAACATCCGATATGAGGTTGGGGAAGTGCTTAATCAACTCCTTGATTGTCGTCTCAAGATTCTGTCGGCTTTGAAAAGTTGGATCGAGGTCAATGACGGCGTCAAACCCATCGTCAGGGCGACCCTCGGGCTGGCAGGGTTCAAATCGGTTGATGAAACTTTCCATGACACCAAGGAACTTGTCTTTATCCGTTGCGGCGTGTATTGTTTGGTGATTGTCACCCCTTCCGATGATCCTGTCCCGCGTCACGTTGCGGATCTCTTGGATTGCATTCTCGTCATGTCGGAAGTTGAGGCAGACAATTTTGGCCCCGGTATGCTGAAGCTTCACATCCGTAATGATCTGTTTCCTCTCGTGTTTCGACGCATTGTTCCGGTCTGCGAAGACGACAGGGTGATCTTTCAGCTGTTCTAGAACGGCCTTGGTAAAGCGTGGAGGCCGTCCTTTTCCTGTGATGTTGTCGTTCTGGATGTGCCCCCATCCAAAGAGACGGCTTAACGCGAGTGCAATGGTGGTTTTACCACATCCGATGGTAGCAATAGGGCAGAGAATGACATCTTTAGTCACCTCTGTCATACCATGAACCTTGTCACCATCTTCAAGGTTCGCGGCATCCGCCCCCTTGAGATTCTTGAAATTCAAGAAGTCGTTTCGTAGAGATATGATACCATGGTTATGGTTGTAAAGCTCACTCAGCTTTGGACTGGCTGCCAGCCTTTTCCGGGCGTAGAGGAGGTATTCCTCGGTGATTGCGACGTGTTTCTTGAACTTGGGTGGTCTCCCGGAGATGAGAGCCTTGGTACATTCACGCCATTGCCGGTACATCAAATAAGGCTCGTCAAACTTGAATTTGAAAAACCAGTCTTGGTAAGGGATAACGGAAGGGTTATGGGACATCTTGCAACGGATGACGAAGCCCTCAACGTCGCGGCCATCGTGAGCTCCTGATTCGGCCACTTCCTCGAGAAATGCTTTGACTTGTTGGATGTCGTCCATGACAAGGAGCCCTGTCTTTCGGAAGCCCCAACTGTCGGCGAACTTCTGCACTTCGAAGCTGGGGTAGGTCGAGAACCCAGGCAAGTTCAGGTTGATTCCATGGAGATAGAGACCAGCCTTTTCAGGACCGTACTCCAAGATGTGTTCTTCGAAACTGTCATCGCAAAGTTCGGCTACTGCGGTTGCATTCCGCTTTCGTAGTTCTCGTGCGAGGTCGGCATTCGTCTTGCCTATCGCAGCCAACTGCTTCCGAATTTGAGCCTCGCCAGCAGTAGCGTGGGTGAGGGGTGCATCTGAGCGGCCGCCAGTTGAATGTTTGCTGCAAACAACCAAGGTGTCATCCTCGAGGCCGGCAATGAAAATTATGCACCCATTTTCTTTGAGGGTCAGCTCGTAAGGGCCTTGCGTGCGTTCGATAATGTTTATCCACTTGGTCTCATAAACCTCGTCCACATTGAAGAATTTATCGTAACCGCGCACGGCAATTTCGGGCTCATTATTCCGCTTCCTGGTTGTGAATATACCTCGAGCATATGTAGGCAAGTCACGGCGTTTGTAGTCCCAATCATGCATTCTCCAAGAGTCGAGCTTTATACCGTCCGGAGAACCGTTGATGTTGTAGGTTGTCTTCTTGACAGAAACCCCACCTTTGTTCTTGTTCTTCGCAGCTTCTTCTAGATCACGCACCATCTGGGCTACCTCTTGCACACTCTGAGGTGTGAAGGGGACCGTATTTGTAGCCATGGTTCTGATTCCAGATGGCTGGCAGTCGAACTAGGTGCGAATGTGATATGCTTGAAACGGCGATGATTTCCCCTAAATAAGTGTTTAAAGGATGAAGGTGGCTTAGCGTGTTGGATATTAGAATTGGTAACAAGCTGAGCCATCCATTGGGGACTTTCAGAAATGAAAGTCCAGAAAAGATACCGGCGCGGGATCTGGCCTTGTAGATGATTCTAGAATACGTTCGCTTCTCCTCCCCGATGTTTGTAGGGAAAGTGCAGATTGGTCCTCGACTGGGAAGGAATCACTTCAGTGTCTTGAGACTCACGCTGTATAGCCTTTCATAAGGTCCCGAAATTCGAGGTGCCTGGGGAAAGCTGGCTGTGCTGGCTGTGCATCCAACACCAATATTTGAAGGGGACGATCCTCTCTCAAAAAAAGACTGCCTTGTGGTTGTTATGACAGCGGGGGAGTCGAGCAGCGTGTAAAATTTACGAACATGACCACAAGTGGATAAGAACCGCTTCACATGGCCCTGAGGCAAGGTGCCCCGCGTTTAAGAAGTTGTGTTGTGGTACCATGACGACATTCCGGTTACCTACAGATCCCATGAGATCCAACATCTTTGGTTTCTCTTACAAGAATGATATATTCGTCAACAGGAAAACATTGAATTTTCAGTTTCCTAAAAATCTAGGCACACAAGGGTCGGTTTGTCGCTGTGCTTCATCCAGAAGTTTTACAGCCAACGCGTTAATACTTGAGCTACCCTTAAAATTCAATCCTCAACCTCTCCCCCACCAAAAATTTTAAGGCCGAAAGCCCCACCTTCAAGTCAGAAGTTTTGGACAGCCAAAGTTGAACGTCACAAATTTGCTGGCAACAATCACAATCCCGAAAAATACATCACAATGACACCCAACCCTTTCCTCCTTGCGGCAGACAACAGCCCCGAGCTGCTGCCCCTTCTCCGTAAGAACCCGTCATTGGCACCATCGCAAGACGAGCATGGCTATTCTCTTGTCCACGCCGCCGCCAGCTACAACCATTTCGACCTCCTCCGTGCTTTGATCGCAGAATTCAAAGTGGACGTGGACCTCAAAGACGAAGACAATGAAACTGCACTGTTTGTTGTCGAGACGCCCGAGATGGCCAAAGTCCTTGTTGAAGAGTTCGGCGCAGACCCTCTTCACAGGGGAACCGATGGCTTTACGGCAAAGGAGAAGATTGAGGAGGAAGGCGATTTCCCGGCTGTGGTAGCCTATCTCAGCACCTTTGAATCTGGCCGAAAATTCGAACGAACGACCGCCGATGCTACCTCAGAATCCATTCCCCCTCCTCCCGAGGGTTTGCAGATCAGGATCGATGTGATGGACCAGGGAGAAAATGTCCCAACCGATGTCGACCAAGAGTTCCGCCGTCGTATCGATGAACTGGCTCAGCGTGATGACATCGACACACCGGAGGGACAGGCGGAATTGCGGAAGGTGGTCGAGGATGCATTGGCGGGCCAAGGTCTCGGTGGAGAGCGTTCAGTACGTAACAAGACTGACTGATACTGTCCTTTTACTCCGACTTTTGTATATCCCACATGAGGTACTCCCCGGGTTTCTCGGGGGGGCAGAGAAGCGTTAGTTCGTTGCCGGTGTTGGTCATGCTCGTCGCGAATTCCGTGGCGCTGAGGGAGAACCAGCCTCGGGAGGAGCAGGTGGTGAGAAGAGTGACTAGGAGTTTGCGAAGCCATTCGGCATTTACAAACCCCTGCCAGCTCATTCTACAGAGAGCCATTTTCCCAGACGCGTCTTCTGGTGCTCTGTATCTGGATAAGTACGGATCAACAATATCCGTGGCCTCACTTCGGGGACTCCCAAGGCGTATCAAGGACAGCCATTCATATAGCTCGGTGGTAAATGTTTCTAGGTCTGACCGATCCCCTTCTGCCAGCGTTGATTGCGGAACCTCGATCGACACATCCTTGGTTACAATGCCTTCCACATGGTGCGGTGAAGATGTAAATTTCACAGGGAAATACTTCTGCAAAGGATCATGGGATGGGGCTGGTCTGTGTTAGATATTTATATATGTTTTTCGTCTGGTGGGAGGTAGCTAGGACATAAAATGAGACTTACTATTATCCTCGACGTTGCAAAAAAGCCATGTCACAGGCTGACTGAAAACCTTCTTGGAGGCATAAACCAACCGGTCGAATCCTTTCTTGCCATGGAGCATTGAGGGGCTCCTGAGATCGTAGGACACAACTTGGATAAACCGTCAGTGACACGACATTCGTGTACGGGTCTGCAAAGAACCTTACCCCATCTTGGCTTAAGTCCTCGCCCTCCCTTGACTCCATGGGGTTTGCCAACCAAACCAGCACTTTCATATGCTTCCTTATCAAGATACATTTTCAAGACGCCTGTACGACTAGATTAGAGGAAAACTCCTTTGACTATGATTGAGTCATGGAAACGTACCTTCTTTTAGCATAAACATGTTATCAGAATTCGTCCTTCCCTCTGACAGCATGAGTATGTTGCCTACGGTAGAGTCAGTTTTGTTGAAGTGAAGGAACTGGTGCGCCGACAAACCTCGTTTGATATATTCCGTGAAGAACTCCCCTTGCAATATTTGGTCCAGGGACATGGCCACTTTATAGTAACAAGGAGGCGAACATGCAGACGAGATCTGTTGGCGGACAGCCTCGTATATGTCCTGGGGAATTATCAAGTCGACCTGAATTTCGAATTAAACATTGATGAACTATACAGAAAGTGAGCAAAGGTAGACAAACCTTGTGGATAAACGATAGCGCAGCCAAGTTGGACCACGGCTTGCCTTTACGCGACACTTGCTTCGTGTCCGTATGACCCATGGAGCCATATGTCACAAAACATTTTGGTGACTGATATATCGATGGAGAACTACTGGATAGCATTCTTGGGACTATTTGTATACCGCAAGAAATGGATGAGGTAAATGCGCGTTCGTTTGTGTTGCTGGTGGGAGCGCGCCTTGCCTATTGACAGTAGTTTGCGAGGTGAAGGTTATCAGTAGATCCAGTTTTTTCATCGACGAATTTTTACGAGACACAGAACCTCAAACCCTACAACAACACGCGGCACATGGACTATACTTGCGACACTTGACAACTTTTGTGAACAACCACATTCGGAATTGAGTTTTTTATAGGAAAAAAAGGGGCACCGAATTTACGATAAAAAGTTTTCTGAGAATATCCTGGCCCGTCGACCTCGCCAGCACTACTTGGGCTGCGGAACCCCGCTGCCGATTCAACTGCTTTTTTCAGTAACAGTTGAAAGTAGCTGCAAAGCTTCGTGTGAACGAACACAAACAACTCACTACGAAACCGAAGGAAAAGAAGGGTAAAAGCGGAAGACTTTTCTTTCTTTCTTTTTTTTTCTTTTTTAAAAAAAGACTGCATAACAACTTGCAGAGAGACCTGAGGTCATGGACTTCCTAATCAAGTTCGCCCAGGTCCATGAGACTTTCCGAGAGGCAGAAATAAAGGCACTGGCCTTGATAGACGGCTTTGACCTCATCATCAAGGAGTATGATCCTGATGTTAGCCCCCCTGAGAAATAGACAGAGACACAGTCGCGGAGACATGTATTTAACACCATATATTAGTCACCACACTGCATCGTCCAGCTCCCGTCAGTCGAGACAGCCAAACGCCTGATCCGCCGCTCTGTCCTAGCCCAGTCCATTCATGAGCTCTGGGGGAAAGGCACTAATTACGAAGAAGTTCATCAGTACGTGAAGGAGACGACATCAGACAGATGGCCTCTCTACACGAACGCGTCGTTCAAATTCGTAATAGAACCGTTCAGAGGAACGCGGTCCAGCGACACCAGGCTGAGACTCATCAACTCCTTCTCCTTCCTCCCGTTCAAGGGGCCTATCAGACTGTCAGACCCGGACCAGTTGTTCACGGTATTTGAAGACTGGCCCTTCAACAGTGTGCCGATGGGCGTAGAGAACCCAGACAAGGTGTACCTGGCGCGGTTCATCGCAAACTCCTCACGCGACTCTATTCTCAAGTTTGACCTCAAGAAGCGAGAGTACATCTCTACGACGAGCATGGACTCCGAGTTGTCCCTCGTGACAGCGAACATTGCCATGGCCGCTCCCGGAAAGCTCTTTTACGATCCGTTCGTCGGCACTGGCTCCTTCCCAGTCGCATGTGCGCACTTTGGTGCCATAGCCTGGGGCAGCGATATTGACGGCCGCAGCATGCGAGGAGACGGCGGCAAGAAGAGCCTCCGCGGAAACTTTCTCCAGTACGGTCTCAAGGGGAGGCTGGGCGACTGCTTTGCCGCCGACCTCACCAACACGCCTCTAAGATCGGGAAGGATATGGGACGGTATCGTGTGTGACCCGCCGTACGGAGTTCGCGAAGGCCTGAGGGTGCTCGGCTGCAAGGACCCTGAAAAGACGCCATGGGTCATAGAAGGCAGCAGGCAAATGAGCCAGTTCGTCCTACACTCTTTAACCTACTGCAACTTCTCTGACGGAGAGTATATCATCTAATATGCGTACTTTTCTAGCCTACCCGGATACGTGCCTACCAAGAAACCATACAGCTTTTTGGCCATGCTAGACGACATCCTTAACTTTGCTGCTGAATCGCTCGTCGACAACGGCAGATTATCCTTTTGGATGCCTACGGCCAACGATGAGAACCAAGAGATTCTGACTCCCGACCACCCCTGTTTAGAAACCGTTGTGGTTTGTGTTCAAGTATTCACCAAGTGTATGTCTCTTTGTTTATTGTTTGTACATTGTGTCATTATTTTCATCCCGTCGTGAATGCTAACGCCCTCTTTCTTCACACCAGGGTCTCGCCGATTGATCACCTACCGCCGAATTCCGGATAATTTTGTTTCTCAAGAGGCACTCGAGGCATATCGAGCCCGAAGAACCCACACTGATGGAGGGAAGAACGCTAATGACCTCAATCCATTCCGACGGGGCTATTTCAAAAGATTCGAGTCTGATAGATGACGTAGTCAAGACACGTACCTGATTAGAATAGTGGCCCTTCTTTTCTTTTGTGTGTTGCTGTGACACCCCTCATGCCACCCGAGATATGAGCCATCTTCTCTCTCCTCCCTTTCCTAGTAAACGTTGCAAAAGTCCGCCGCTCGATCCAGACGTTGTTCCTACCCATGCCGTGTCTCTATGTCCGAACCAAATTAAGAAATCCCTGGCTATTAGTTCCCTTGTCCTGACCGTAACACGCTCCCAATACTGCCAAGCTCAGAAACGGGGTAGAATGGGAGGCGCCCCAGGTTATAAAGGAGCTGGGACAAAACATAGAAATGGAAAATGAATGAGAATTGCTGAAGAAAAATAATGTCGCTTGAAGTATGATCCCATAACCCATGAGTCCTTGGAAGCACTCTTAACGAAACTCTGTCGCACTGAAACACCCACGATCGGGCACGTGGGTCAACTCAAGCTGCTGGAATCTATTGCGCAACGATGTTAGTATGATGTAGATGTGGTGGGGGGGACTACCAAGAAATCACTTACTTTTCGCTCTTAGAATGGAAGTAGATGCCGCTGACAGCACCCTTAATCTGGTTGAAGCAAATGTAGTAGAAGCCCTCGAAGCTGGCGCCACTGATGGTTCGAACGCGGTGGTCGGGAACCAAGAAGTGCTCCTTCCAGCGCATGAAGACGTGTTCCCTCTGGGTGACATCTTCGACCGTCGCATGGCCCCTTCGAGCCTGCTTCTGGAAAGGTCGGAAAGCAACGAACTTGGACCAGTGGCTCATGTCCACCTTTTGAGTAGCGCCCCAGTCCTCGTGCTGTGTGAAGAAGTTATACTTTGGGCCAATGATCTCGCCTTCGAAGTAGGTGGTTAGGGTCGGGTGATCCTCCGTCAATCCTGTTCGTAAGGAGTCAGCCTCAAAGTACTGCTATTAGTTAGTATTTATGTCTAAGCGTACCTTGAATCCGCAAATATCCACAAAGGAAGGACTCGCGAAGATCGACGTGTTTGATCTCAACGGAGACATCGTACACTTGTCTCTCGGATTGTTGGGTTCCGTGGAACCTGCTACCCGGTCGGAGGTAGGAAGAGTTGAGGAGCGGCTTTGCCTGCGGAAAACAATACCACATCAGCACCGGGAGGGGTTGTGCTAATTACACGGCGATCAACACTTACCCGCATAGATGGGTAATCGGGGCCCATAGATGGGGCGTAGAAGTCATCACTGTCCACATATATGTCGGAAGTATTGGAGTGGGACCACATGTGACGGCCTTGCTCAGGGGAGGTGGCAGTAGTGATACTAGACCGTGGTTGCGGCGACATGGTTGTTGAGCGAGAAGATGGGTCAAGAGTGGCCCTCTCTTCCACAATGAGGGAATCTTCGTGTGGAGGAGCAGAAGAGCTGCCGCGCTGAGGTGGATTCTCTACCGCCAGTGCGGATGGAACGAAGTCCCTCTCCCCCATTTCGGTATCATGGGCACTGTTTGCTTCACGTTCGAGTTCTGTCTGCCGCCCAGGCCTCGGGGACGTCTGTAAGTCATCGGGGCAGCTCGAAAAGCCCGGCGGCGACGGAGGCCCGGAGGGCTGGTTCGAAGGTGTCGGCATGATGGATTATTCGTGTTGGATTCCTTTTTCGAGGATGAGATCTCGGTCAACTCCGGCTGATGTTTATGCGATCGAAGCGTTGATGAACAAGTTGCCAATCGTTGCGCCGAATGGCCGCGATCGGTCCTTTGCCACGCTGCAAGAGGAGAGGGTTGGCGGTGTAGAAGGGCACACGGAATGTCGCACCTCTTAGAGGATAGGATAAAAAAGATCCCGTCCCAGAGAGAGTCTTGGATCAGACGCGCAACCGGGAAAGAAGAAAATGCGACTGTGTGTCGGCGTTGGTGATGCCAGAGAATAATGTGTTTTCAAGAATAGGTCCCTTAAAAGACCGTGACACTGGCTCAGGAGAAACCAGTTAGGCGCATCACAAAGTGTGCCTGCCTAATCAAGAAGAATCAAGGCGGACCATGGACGTTAAGAAGGGGCGAGGGCGAGGGCGCAAAGGGATAGAGAGAATCAAATTATTAGATTACAATGCAATACAAATAGGGTTGATTGTGAGGGTTAGAAATTTGTATGATGGAAGGGGCAAAATGCAACCAGAAGGGTTTGGGTTTTTCGCCTGACTGACAGTGAGAGGCACGAGGAGTCGGCTTGGCCACTGTCACTCCGACCGGAGGAGAGTATTAACCCCTACTCTTTGCGCTGAGACCTGGCTGACGCGTGATTCGCCAAGTGGCTTGGTGGAAAGCGTAGAAGTCCTTGAAAGAGTTGCTTGGGGGCGAGTCCCGCAATCATAGGGGTCAAGTCCAAGGAACCAAGGATCCAGTTGGCCAGCTCTTTTCTCAAGTCATTATTACTTTAGTCCCTCTATTCCCTTCATTGGATTCCCTCCCCCATCTGCGAAAATTAAATACGTGCATGATCTTGTCCTCCCATGGTACTCCATAATGCTACTTCCCACCCTACTAGTATTAGTACTGCTAGCACTGTCGAGTGAGGGCATTCGTGGCAAACAGGTCGTCAGCAAGACTGCATCACAAGTTGCGTCAATGATATGGGATAATGCATTGTCAGTCCATTATTTGCTCAGTCTGACTTAACCTCATTCACTATTACTAGTATACGGTTCTTTGGCTTTCTAGAGTGCCACCGTATGTTACAACTTAGGACGCGACGTGGTCCCAGAGTTGCAATCTGCGTAATGTGGTAAAATGGTTGATAGGCAAGTTGGCAATCTTGCCTTTTTTCTACTTTCTAGTCCTTTTGTTCTATTTTGTAGCTTGCATCAACATGTCGCAATATTGGCTGTGCCTATAGGGGTCAGTCTCTATATCTATTGTCCTAGCTAAAGTGGCCCTGTGTATACGGGATATGGTCTCGGCACTCTCCTCCAACCGAGTGAATCCTATCGTCGCCCAGACTCGCTCCCACCATTATTGGTGATTGCCCCGCTGCCTTATCGTCTTCCGTAATGGGTATCGTCTTCGTAAACGTCGCTTCCGCTTATATGGGCTTAATCTTGAAGTGCAGCGCGATCAAACTAAACACAAGGGCCTTGAGGTCCTGCACCAGGTAATAGAAAACACGGAGACCTTCGGGGTCAGCTGATTCTGTCACATCAACCAGCGAGCCTATCTTGGCAGTCTGTGGGTTCGAGTATTAGCCTTATTCTCGGGTCCGGATCGTGGCTTGTCACAAACCTCGAATGAAATGTGATCATTTCCCAGCCTGATTTCCAACTCTTGACGGCCATCTTTGTTCTTCTGTGGCCACTTCGAATCATCTTCCCTATTGCCTAGAGTTTAGCAACTATTGTCCCGGACTCGACCGAAACTGGGGTGTAGAGAGCAAGCCGTACTTGATGATTTCGCTCGACTTGATGATACGCTTGATCTCGTCAACGACAACGGAGCTGACGCTCACTATTTTAAGGGTCAGCGAACAAGTTAAATGTTAGCTGCGAAAAATTGGCCATACTTTCTTTCCGAATGAGGCTGTCGTTTCGGTAGTTGGAGTTGTTCGCGTAACGCGCCACCGCGCTTCGTCCGTCGCCAACAACCCGAAAATCGAACTCTGGAAACGTCTTAGAACCATGCCGTTCGTTCGTTGTCACAAGCTAGAGAGCGTGTGCATACCGAGGAATTCGTGTCCGAACCGGCCCATGTGGCCGGAGCTGTGTAAAAGAAGAAAGAGAAGAGAAGACAAAGTCAGCCTCGCCTTCAACACCGCCAGGACAGCTCTTGAGCATTTTACTTACTAGTATCTGATATAGAAAGGCTCATTTGAGGAAGACATGATTGCAATTCGACCCAGCAGGCACCACGACTAAGGTCAGGGAATGTGGTTTGGCAAGGTGTAGCTAGACTGTGCAAGCAACAAGAGTAGAAGCCTTACGACGTAAGCATTCCGGCGTCCAAATATCCAATGATGGCTGCTGGTTGTGGGACAGAAGCCAAAGACCTAGAGCAGCGCCGCCAAGCGCCGCCCAGCGAGGAATAGTGGCTACGTACAGCCTGGCACCTCGACTTGAGTTTCCAGGTGGTCCACCACGTTCACGTGATTCGATAGCCCACCTTAGCGCCTTTCCCCTGGTGCCAGGTGTTCGACAAACGACGATGCTCGAAGCCCAGGACCGCCCATCTTTTCGAAGCTCGAAGTCGTGAAAGAGCTGGCCCAGACAACGCTCACTACGTCCCTGGCAGCTCCAAACCCCTGGGATCACAGCTACGAACACTGCTCTAGCAGATGGCCCTGGGAAGGCTTTCTACCCAATCCATTGTCTGATACAAGCTCGCATCGCCAACCATACCTTCCCCCCTCCCCCCCTAACCAACCCCCACTGCTCTCTCCTACTGTCGTTACTTTGTACGACTGGGCCGCAACAAACACGACGACACTATAGCCGATCTCTCGATCCTGTACTAGCCATCATGTCTGGATTTTTGGAGCACGCTTACAGCCTGGTCCACCAGGACAATGCAGCCGATATCCCTTCCGTGTCCGACCTCCGGACCCAGCTCGAGAAGGGCACAGACGAATCCAAGGTCGATACCATGAAGCGCATTCTGACAATCATGCTCAATGGTGACCCCATGCCCTCGCTCCTCATGCACATCATCCGATTCGTCATGCCCTCCAAGTACAAGCCGCTGAAGAAGCTGCTTTATTTTTACTACGAGATCTGTCCTAAACTGGATGCTAGCGGCAAGCTCAAGCAGGAGATGATTCTCGTCTGGTAAGTGCTTCTAGGGGCTAAGAGATGCGAATGCGAATTGTGACACGAATGCTGACATGCGATTCTTGCAGCAATGGCATTCGTAACGACCTCCAGCACGCAAACGAATACATTCGTGGCAACACGCTCCGTTTCCTCTGCAAGCTTCGCGAAGCCGAGCTGATCGAACCTCTCCTCTCATCGGCGCGCTCTTGTCTCGAACACCGCCACGCGTACGTCCGAAAGAACGCTGTATTCGCCATATCGTCCATCTACTCGCACTCTCCGACCCTTATCCCGGATGCAGCCGAGCTCATCACAACATTCCTCGAGGGCGAGACAGATGCTACCTGCAAGAGGAACGCCTTCGCGGCTCTGTCGAGCATCAGCCACGACTCTGCTCTATACTATCTCAGCTCTGTCTTTGAGGGGGTCCCCAATGCAGAGGAGCTGCTGCAGCTTGTGGAGCTCGAGTTCATTCGCAAGGATGCCATCCAGAACTCTCAGAATAAGGTAGGCTAGGCTGAACACGCAACATCAAACGCGCAAAAGACCCATAACTGACTAGAGTAGGCCCGCTACCTGAGGTTAATCTTTGACCTTCTAGAAGCGAGCGCCTCCACCGTCGTCTACGAGGCTGCGTCTTCCCTTACCGCCTTGACCAACAACCCCGTCGCTGTGAAGGCTGCCGCTGCCAAGTTCATCGAGCTAAGCATCAAGGAATCCGACAACAATGTCAAGCTTATCGTTCTTGACAGGGTTGACCAGCTCCGCAAGAAGAACCCTGGTGTTCTGGACGACCTCACCATGGAGATCCTGCGTGCCCTCTCCAGTACGGATCTTGACGTCCGCAAGAAGGCTCTTGAGATTGCCCTTGAGATGGTGTCGAGTAAAAACGTCGAGGAAGTTGTGCTCCTTCTCAAAAAGGAGCTTTCCAAGACAGTGGACCAGGAGTACGAGAAGAACTCTGAGTACCGTTCCATTCTCATCCACACCATTCACCAGTGTGCCATCAAGTTCTCCGAGGTTGCCTCCAGCGTCGTGGAGCTGCTCATGGACTTCATTGCCGACTTCAACAACGCCTCTGCAGTCGACGTCATCAACTTCGTCAAAGAAGTTGTCGAGAAGTTCCCCAACCTGCGCTCCACCATTGTTCAGCGCCTCGTCTCGACCCTTGGCGAGGTTCGTGCTGGCAAGGTTTACCGCGGAATCATGTGGATCATTGGCGAGTACTCGCTCGAGGAGAAGGATATCCGCGACGCATGGAGGAGGATTCGCTCGAGCCTCGGAGAAATTCCCATCCTTGCCTCCGAGCAGCGTCTCCTCGAAGAGGACGGTAACGAGGAGAAGCCTGAGGAGCATGTGAATGGAAGCAAGCCAGCTCCCCCCAGTGGTTCCCGCAAGGTTCTGGCCGACGGTACGTACGCAACCGAGACAGCGCTCACCAGTCAATCGTCCGCTGCTGCCAAGCTGGAAGCCGTTAAGGCGGCCCAGAAGCCCCCTCTGCGCCAGCTCATTCTAGATGGCGACTACTACCTCGCTACTGTTCTCTCCTCAGCGCTGGTGAAGCTCGTTATGCGGCACTCGGAACTCTCATCCGATGTGGCTCGGACAAACGCTCTGCGTGCCGAGGCTATGCTCATCATGATCTCCATCCTCCGCGTCGGACAATCGCAGTTTGTCAAGGCCCCCATCGACGAGGACTCGGTCGACCGTATCATGTCGTGTGTTCGGTCGCTGGCCGAGTTCTCCGAGAAGAAGGATCTCGAGAATGTCTGGCTCGACGACACCAGGACGGCCTTCCGTGCCATGGTGCAGGTTGAGGAGAAGAAGAGGGCGGCCCAGGCCGCCTTTGAGAAGGCCAAAACGGCAGTCCAGGTGGACGATGTGGTTGACATCCGACAGCTCTCCAAGAAGAACACATCAGTAGGCTTGGACGAGGTCGAGGTTGACTTGGAGAGGGCCACTGGCGGAGAATCCACATCAGAAGACCTTTCCTCCAAGCTCAGCCGCGTGGTACAGCTGACTGGTTTCTCGGATCCTGTATATGCTGAGGCCTACGTCAACGTTCACCAGTTCGACATCGTCCTGGATGTTCTACTCGTCAACCAGACCACCGAGACACTTCAAAACCTCTCGGTTGAGTTCGCCACCCTGGGTGACCTCAAGGTTGTCGAGCGCCCGACAACCCAGAATCTCGCCCCTCACGACTTCCACAATGTGCAGTGCACAATCAAGGTATCATCAACGGACACTGGCGTCATCTTTGGTAACGTCATCTACGACGGTCCTCACTCGACTGACACCAACGTGGTGATACTCAACGACCTTCACGTGGACATTATGGACTACATCCAGCCCGCCACCTGCACTGAAACACAGTTCCGTACCATGTGGACTGAGTTTGAATGGGAGAACAAGGTCAACATCAACTCAAAGGCCAACACTCTCCGTGAGTTTCTGGAGCAGCTGATGGCCTGCACCAACATGAACTGCCTGACTCCAGAGGCCAGCCTCAAGGGAGACTGCCAGTTCCTGAGCGCTAACTTGTACGCCCGCAGCGTTTTTGGTGAGTAACAGTAGCCTCCTTACCCAAGGGAAATACTTGTGACAACTGACACTAACTCAACTAATAGGTGAGGATGCGTTGGCAAACCTGAGTATCGAGAAGGAAGGAGAAGATGGCCCTATTACTGGTTTTGTTCGTATAAGAAGCAGGTCACAAGGTCTGGCCCTCAGTTTGGGTTCTCTAAAGGGCCTGAACAGGATTGGGTCATCGTCCTAGTTTCACGACGATCCCTGCTTCACTTCTGCGACGCCCTATTCTGCTTTTACGCAATGTTCCCAGTTTTTAAAAAAAGGATTGCGTTGACAATTTGTATGCCGATTACAATGATGTGGAGTCTTGAGAGCGGGTTCACGCAATGAATATTTCTTATTACACAAAAAAAAAAAACCACCGGAAGTTCTTGTTTGTTAGAGGTTATGGGAGGGCATTTTCGGCAGAGAGGAGCGAGAAGGCGATCCGGCACAATCCAGGTTGCAGATGACGAGACATAACCATGTGCCCCGGAACGATGGTAGGTGTTGGATGCCTTTTTTATCCTGTACCTGCTGGGTCGGCATATGCGTTACATGATTCGAATCAAGTTTCTTAAAATTACTAAACTGAATTCCGCATTTGGACATGTCGTGATGATGAATATATGGTGTTGATACAAGGTATCCATCCCATGATGGTTACAATAGCAGTTGTCGAAGCACATACCAGTACTCCGTAGTACTAGTATGAATCTTAGCTCGCAGGAGAAATAAAGGAAGGGAAGGGCGAAAGGAAATAATTTGCTAATACCCGCTTAACGATCCATGGATGTCATAGATGTCATATACTCAGGCGCTACTAATGACAATAAGAAGAAAAAAGCATGATGGATTAAGGGAATAGGGAAGATGTATAGGCGAGTTTGATTATACCGTCCAGGCCATGCCACAACTATATATAGCCACTAGGAGGTTCAACAACGATCAAACACAAGAGCATTGATGATGTGACCTTGATGCCATCCTTGGACCTCGAGAGACAAGTTGTCCTTGAGCAGTTTGCCCATATAGGCGAGGCGAATCTTCTTATCGGGCGCCAGCTACAACAATTCAACATGTGAGTACGAAATAAAAACAAGGGACTCGGAGAGGGAGAAGAGCTGTCTTACAGATACTACGTGGTCGACTTTCCTGACGACGCTACGCACGTTCTCTGACAGAGCAACTGAAACTTGGTAGTCGCAGCCGTTCTCGCTGAGTCTAACACGAAGGGTGACCTGCTCCTCGTGAGCCTCGGCTACGGCCTTACCCCTTCCCCCCCTGGTCGCTGTCGATGTCGCGGGTGTTTCGTCATCATCGTCGGGGTCATCATTAGGCCGGGTGCCGCCCCCACTGCTTGATAGTACGGGCTTTGCGTCGTCGCCATTGTCGTCGTCGTCTTCGTCATGGCTGCTGCCAGGCGCCACGTTGGTTGGGTCGCAGACTATCAAGTCGGGGAGGGAATAGAAGTTCCCTAAGGTATCGTAGACGCCATTCGCCAGGTTCCCTGTGGGGATGGAGATGTCGGCAGCGGATAGGATCGTCTGGGCCATGGCCAGGGCATCACTGTCCTGGCCGGTGGTATCAGCCCACAGGGCTTCGAGAGCGGCGTGGATCGTCTGCCAGACCTCGGTTCGTCCGGTGACGCGAGTGTCGAAGAAGTCGCGCCGCTCCCGCCCCAACTGGCTTCGCGTCCACTCGCGATTCTTGGATGTCCATTTGTGACGTCGTAGGGGCTTGTCTATGTGCTGGTCAAGCCGTCGTTCAAGGCGGCGGCATCGGGGACGCGGTTGCGATTGCGACGAAGGGGGGTGGGCCGTAGGAGGCGTGGACGCGCCGTCATCAAGACTAGGCGAAGGATTGATGGCTCGTGCGGACGAGTTAGGCGCACCGCCTAGATAGGGCGAATTAGGGCCTATGGAGCGAGAGAAACAGCAGCCCTGTTGAGCTATCAGTATCTTCCGGTGTAACATGTCCAGGAATGAATATCACAAAGTGTTACGCACCATTCTCTAGGTTCTGGTAGAGAGGCGGAATGTATGAGACTAAGTGAGCTGGAGGGAGGATTGGGGTATTGTCTTCGGCTCAAAATCACCGACCCATCTTATATCCGAGGTGTACAATAAAACAATGCAACTGCGAGAGATGTTGGGGCTGTCTTAATTCGTCCCAGCTTGGTCTGGGGCAGAGACAGGTCTTGCGCGCGCAGACACACTAGGGGAAACAGGAACCACGCCCGCTACCTGCGGCTTTATTGAATCTATCAGGATGAAGTCCCGCGATGGTACGCAGATGCTGGGTAGAAGAGCAGTGTCGGAGCTGCGCCGATCAAAAAAGAGATGGAACGGGCTGGGGAAGCGGAGTAATAATGGCGAGATCAGTAGGATTGGGGGGGGGGGGGGGGGGGGGGGGGTGATGAATCAGCGACAAGATAATGGGACGAGACGCAGCTCGGAAGGGGCCGAACGACTGCTGGTTAACTAAGATGAGATATATCGTCTTTCTTCAGCCGTCAACAGTGGCTGAATGGAATGATTTGTGATCATGCAGTTCGCATAACCTGATACGTTCGTGTTGCCATGGTTGGTTGAATAAACATCTGACAGATGGCAGAGACTGGGGACCTTTGTAAGAAAAAATAGTAGTATTGGTGCAGGCACATGTCAGTGATGGCATCGGAAGGCAACAATTGTTGGATCTGGGTGGCTGTTTAATGCTGCACGAACGCATCGCTGATCTGTGCTAACTCACGACACTCGCGGCGTTCCATTTATAGAATAGAGCCCATATATGGCTATGCCCTTGTGACATAGCGAAGAGAGGAAATTTTCGAAATAGTTTAAAGTGAAACTGAAATATCTCATCGCGTGAAAGATTGATACATCGCTTTATTTTTCATGTGAGGCTGTGACGCTAGGTAACAGTTGACGAGTTAAAATTCGGGATAGATACAGGGTAATCTAGCTGCCACGCGACTAGCTCTTGAAGCTCTCTTCGCTCTTCACGCTTGTCATTCACAAGCAGAGCAATGCTCTGACAAACAACAGAGCGGCGAGTTATCATCCGCTATCCAATCGGTTGATATGGAATGTTCATTAAATATATTATCAACTTTGCAATGAGTTCTGAGGCGCACGTTCGGAGCAAGTTTCTCGAAAAAATCACAACATCATGGAGCGCGCAGCGCGTCTCCACTTCTTGGAGCATGGCCAAGAGGTACGTGCGCCTTGTTGAGAACCCGTGATGCCAATCTCAGCTGGGATAGAAGAAACTGACACCGGAGACACCTTACTAGAAATTGAATGGCAGGTTTCTGGAAGACTGCCACTGGTGCCAGCTGCGGTCGTTCCCGACGCACCAGGCGAGGCCTATCACGGTCGTGAACGAGATTGATGACGAGGCCCTCCCCCGCAACTTCCGCTTCATCGACACCATGATCCACGGAAAGGGGGTCCAACCCGCCGAGGATAGTTTTCGGAGCGGGTGCTCGTGCGAAGGAGACGGCGCAGGTTGCAAGTTCAACGACTGCCAGTGTCTGGCTGACCTGGAGGAAGACTCATGTTCAGACGAGGACGAGTCTGGTGGTGGCAGCGGAGGAGAGCGGGCAAAAGTCTACCCGTACCATACATACGGTACTAAGGCAGGACTTTTACGGTCAAGGCTTCTCAAATCTTCGATCCCCTTGTACGAGTGCCACTCGGGGTGCTCGTGCTCTAGCTCATGTCCCAATCGCGTGGTGGAGCGAGGTCGCACCATTCCCCTGCAAATATTTCGCACCAAGAATCGCGGATGGGGTACGTCAGTAGTCTCACGAATGGAAGAAGATATTTCCATACTGACTTGCCATGTACACTCCAGGCGTGCGCTGCACAGAGCCCATAAAACAGGGCCAGTTCGTCGACTGTTATCTCGGCGAGGTTATTACGGCCGAAGAAGCAGACCGTCGTCGCCTCAAGTCGACTATGTCTCAAAGAAAGGATGTTTATCTCTTCGCCCTTGACAAGTTCACCGACGAGTATTCCCTTGACCCGCGTCTCAAGGGACCGCCCCTCGAGGTCGACGGCGAGTTCATGTCCGGTCCCACCAGGTTCATCAACCACTCCTGCGACCCCAACCTGAGGATCTTTGCCAGAGTTGGCGATCATGCCGATAAGCATCTCCACGATCTTGCACTGTTTGCCATCCGGGATATCGCCCGAGAAGAGGAGCTCACGTTTGACTACGTGAACGGCAATGCAGCTGAAAGCAGCGATATCGCCCCAAACTCCGAAAGCATGACAGTGTGCCTCTGCGGGAGCAAGAACTGTCGCAAGTATTTGTGGTGAGTGCTTATGGTCGAAACATACACCATCGCATGGCCATTGTTTGCGTTTCACTGTAGGATTCCTATTGCCCTATCATATTGGCCACACCTTTGAATGTTTTCATCAGTTGAAACAAAAAGCTATACCGAGCACCATCTCGCAATATCACCCATTCATGTCAGCTCTGCATAACTGCCTTCAAGCTGTTGCAGCCTTTGTCTCAACAGACACCGGACAATGGAGGGAATATGCTCAGCATCATTTTCTCTCCGAGAAAGAATATATATAGACTCTGCATTATCTTGACGGACTTTTCTCCACGATTCTCTTTCCACACAAGCAATGCACTATATATCACTAAGAGACAGTTGTATTCTCTTTACGTACGCAATAACCAAACACACATGAGCAAGCTTCGACGATTCCGAAACAGATGGAGGCGGTTCCGAAATGGCAGAGGCCGAGGAGGAGTGAAGGGCAAGAGGGAGAAGAAAAAGAAGGGGCTGCACTTGAAAGAAGATGATGCGGAAAGCATATCCAACTGCGGCAGTGCCAGGCTGTTTGATGAAATGGAAACTTGGGATTCCACAGGGAGACGAGCCTGTTCACTACAAGCACAGCGAACAATGCGACGACAAGTCATCAACTACATCCGGAAATACAACGAGCAGGTAGGCCGCGGACGGCCGGATTGTATTTGGAAACAGTGTAGCGACGATAGATGTTCGCGGCTGGGATGCATGTATTCCGAGGAACCCAGCCTGATCATCGTACGGGACATGTACTGTGGCGACATGCCAACACTGCGGCGTATGGCGCTATTCTACAACGTAATTGCCACTCACTTCTGGGGGGAAGGCATGGGGAATACGGAATTAGAAGTCAGAAGCGGACAGGTTAAATCTTTCATCTGGTCGCCGCCGGTGAGGGGAGCAATGGCGCAGCTTAGGGCAACATGCTGGAGGCGACACTGGGAATTCAATGCAAAGAGAGCAGCTGAGCATGCAGCAAGCATGCGGGAGCCAACGACACACCTGGTTGCAACGACGCGGCTCAGGATCCCGGCACCCAGCGTGCACACCTTCTTCGACTTCAGAGATGGTGTGCGAGACATACCCGAAAATTGGACGTGGGAACACTTGACGATGCAGTTCTTCGTCTTTGTGGAGGCGTGGCGGCGATACGGACTCGAGCGCGGGTTCAGCTGGGACTTTGGCTCGGACGAGGCCGTAGCCGACCTACTTGGTGCCATGCTGGTGAACTTTGTCGCCATGATGAGCAACGGGGCGTTGGAGATTGAAGGTTACAAGATTGAGCGCTACAACGATGAGTGGGAAGAATGGCTGGATGAATTCCATCCTGGGGTGATGAATGGGAATGAGCGGTTGCATAAGTCGGACGAAGAGGATGCGTACTGTCTTGAGGGCCTCGGTAAGGGTGCCGTGTCCTGGACCGTGGGAAGTACTGTCACAGAAGTGTTATTCAGATAAATAGAGTATTCTTGGCTGTATGGCAATGTTGATGCTCTGTGACAACGTGCGTGTGTGAGTTCTTGTCCTAATGGCTCCTTCCCCTCTCTTTAACGTGCATCGGCGCGTGCGGTATGTGCGGTGGACTCTGGTATGTTACAGGTTACAAGAGGTAAAGTACGAGTCGGACGTCCATGCAAATACGAGTACGGAGTAATACTTTGGTAGATTAATAGATAGTGGCGTGATATCAGAGTGTCACAGGGGCTACTTCAATAGGTAAACTCATGGGCGAAAGATTACTCCGTCTACTACAATCCACAGCGTAAAAGATGTTACACGTCACTACGTACTGATATTGGGGTGTTGAGGCCTGACGATCAGTACGGAGGTTTTTGATGTTTGCCGCGCCTCTCAGCAAGTACCAACGCTGTAATTACCCATCTTTCAACTACAAGTAGAGGCTAGCAAAAAAAGGGCAGGTGCGAGTCGGGTCTTGGCTACGTAATTGCGGGGTGCATATCAATTAGGGGACTACTGCTAGGGTACTAGCGGTTGGCTTAGCAAGGGCACCCGTGTTTCTCCTGCCTTTTTCTTGGATAACCGAGGAACAGATAGAGAGGGGCTGCAATGACAACAGCGGGAGCCTGTTGGACCCTTGCGATCCTTGCAATGAATGAAGGAGAAATATACATAAACAAAGATAGATACATTCAAACCAGCAGGCTATTGTTCAAGTGATGCATTTCAGGTTTGGGACATCAGATCAGTGAAAAGTAGCACCACGTTGCTGCAAAGGTGGTGTGATGGTGTGGTGTGATGTGGTGAGAGGTGAGTAGGTTCGACTCGAACAACCAAGCCGCCAATGCAACCCCTCACAAAGACAGGAAGCAAGAAAGGAACACTCGCACATTTCCGTGTCGAAACAGCCGGATGGGACAGATACTTCATGCGACAATGAGCGTTGTATCAGGGAACAAGGGAAAAGATGCAATTAATTCAAGAAAATCCTATACGGAACAAAAACCGCCGCCCAGTAGCAGCATAGCGCGGTCGGATTACGTCGTTACTCCACAGTTCGTACCCCATACTGGTAGTTCATACTCCATAGTAATTCGTAGGTACCCGACAGTATACCGCGGGCACCGCCGAAAACTGGCTACATAATACAAACAATAAACATGTAGATGGACTCGGCGGGTATGCCATCCATCGACCATATAAGAATAGTCGCTCTCGCTGTTGCATTGAGCTGACAGATTCTGTCTCACACTAAAACTTCCACTGTTACTTAGCTACGGCCTCATCCCAGGAAAAGAACAACCGACAAACCTATCCTGTCTTGCTACTTCCCCTCCCGGAAAATCCTACCACCACCACCACCACCGCCACTCTTCTTTCTCCTTCCTCCTCTCCCCTCACTTATAATGTCTTCTCAACAACAGAGGCACCCACGCCATCTCTCCACGGCTGCCAGGGCCCAACCAACTTTTTTGCCCCAGATAAATATGCAGAACACCACCCGCCGTGTGCCGACGAAACTGTTAGTAGCTTGCCCCACTCTCCACCAACCCCCGGTTCCGAATCTATGGGATATTGCCCACAAGGTCGAGCTACTGGTGCTCCGACGATAGCGAACTGATTTGCTGACTAGTGTTTTCTTCTTCATAGTATTGCAACTGTCGCTACAGCATTGGTTGCCGGGTATGGAGTTCGGACCTATACCAGCCATGTCCGCGATGCTAGAAACGCTGCTGCTGAGGCCGAGGCCCTGGATGCTGAGAGACGTCGACGCAACGAGGCTCTCATGGACGAATTTGGCGCCCGGGGGAGCATCGCGGACATTGAGAGGGCCGTCCAGTTCTACGAGAAGAAGAACTGATCCTTTCACACAAGGAAAATCGTAACGCACCCGCGAGTGGTGCAGAAACTACGGCGTTATAACGAGCATTGGGCAACAACTTGACTCTTTTGTTTTACTTGCTTTTTCTTTGCCTTCAGATGTTTACATGAGCACGGGCGCACAAACAGCAACATTTTTCGGACTAGGAGCTTCTCAATTTACTTCCACAATGGATTTAATGTGAATCACCACTCCCTTCTCACGTACTCTCATGCTTTTTACCCTTATGCTTCTGCGTCGTGATGTCACCATTCGATGTCGTCCGGCCCTTCGTGGAAAACCTCTATAAGTCAAACGTCATGACTGAATAGTACATACGACCACAGCCAGTGGAAAATACGGGGTCCCGTCCGCTCCCCCAGAGTCAAGCCGCTGAGCGGTGGATTAGTAGTTGGGTCGGTGACGACCAGCGAATACCTGCTGTTGTATGTATCCTAACTTTTTTTTTCCTCCGTAGTTATTCGCATCGAGTATTTGGATATTGCCTTCAACGTCCGGGTTATGTGCGTTACGTACGTATCACTCTTTTGCCGTCTCATACTTTGGAGTCGAGAAGCACAGCCTTCCATTTCATTTTGAAGTGCCCTGAAATGAGGACTGACGACCTGGCAAGTCGAATTACGCAAGGATTGGCAGATTGATTTTTCATTCCTTCGAGCTTGCAGCTGTTGGCCGCGTTGGGTTCCCTCCTCTTCAATGGCATTCTGTAGCCGTGTTTCTTTGCCGCCAGCTAGGTCTATACCTAGCAAGGGTTCTAGGAGATCCAAGTTAACATGTAAACAGGAATCTTTTCCGATTATGCTCTGAACTCTTCAATACCATCCTGTTTATGCCTTTGTACTTGGAACTATGATCATAACGTTCCATCTGATACTGCCCCTAGCCTTTGCATGTCAGGAAAGTGAGCTACTATTACCATCATTGTCCACACTTTCGCAGCTCTCTCTCTTTCCTCTAACCCCCGAGGTATCACGGAATCCTGACCTCGGCACGAAATACCCCTGTGTTTGATCCTGTTCTTGGTCGCGTACAGCTCGCCTAGCCTTTAGCGAAACCTCGGGAGACGCTCAAGATGAAGCTTTGTCTGTCCTTGATGTCGGCAGCCAGGTCCACATAGGTGTTGTAGCTCATGCTTCCGCAAAAGTACTCGACGAACAATTTTTCAAACCTCTCCTGGATTTGGTGCGCCAGTCCCAAGGCATCGTATCCGTCAGCAAATCTGCACGTGACATTCTTCTGGTTGCCAGTGCCGTTTGGGAAGTTAAGGAGGAGGCAGTGACAGTCATTGACAGCGGTCTTGATGCACGTGGCCATGTAGTCGCCCAGCTGGGCGCAGATGAAGCGGTCGCAGAGTGCCCAGACCTCGACCAGCTCCCGGAGGGACGGATTGTCCTCCTTGGAAAGGGTGTAGTGGGGCGGCATGCTCATCATAATGGGCACAACAGACGCTTGGCTATACTGATGCTGACAAAGAGGGCCAGGTAGCTGGACTTGATGTCATCGAATACTACGCGGCTGTTCCTACCCTTGTTCCAGTGTTTCCTGAGGCATCGTTGAAGTACTCTGAGTATTGCGTCAGCACGGCGCGGTGGGACGATCATTTCTCCCTTGACCACGAGCTTAACGTGCTGGGTATCGGTCCTGAAGCAAGCAGGTGTTAGGACATTTCTTCCACGGGGTGGTTATCCCTATTTACTTGGCTAGCCATTTGGCGACGTTGTCCAATACCCTTTCGCTCTGGTGCCATGTTTTGGACTTCTTTCTGGGCGGAAGCATTTTGGAGGTCTGCTGCGACGATTCCTGGCCGCGGGCTGGGGAAATGCGAATGCCTGACATGCGTCCCTCGCAGGGACGGAAACCAAAAGGCGTGAGAGTGCGTAGTATGATATCCAGTCGTGTGAAGAATGGCCCTCCATTGGGCCATCAAGAAGGGACAATGAAGCGGTACCGTGCCATTCATATATATTCAGAGAGGTGAGTGAGGATTTATTGACTGGAAATACCATGTCGAATGGCGCGTAGAACAGAGTAAAGAATAATAGGGAGGAATGGAAGGAGTTTGCACTTATCCCTCAGAGTAAACAATGTCAGACTCTGTTCTCCATCGGAAACGTCAGACTTTGTTCTCCATCGGAAACGACGAACAAAGACAGAGATGAAGACGGGGAATGACTGCAAGGCACACTTCCGCCCGCAAACAATGCTTAATGTAGAATTATACATACTCCTGAAAAAGGCAAAAAAAAAAAAAAAAAAAAAAAAAAAACAAGCAACCAAAGTGGCGACGACAGTGTCATCTGGCTCTGACTCTACGGATCACCACCTTGTCTCCGTCCAACTCCCACCCCACGCCATCCTTGGTAGTCAGATGGTCCCAGGAAGCGTCGGTGGCGGACTCGAGAAACCTCCTCTCAACGGTGAAATAGCTTCTCCCGAAAGCCTTGAGGGTGCGGGAGCGCAGATCCCCGTCGGCGAAGTCGAGTAACCTGGCCCGGTGGCCGTCAACCTGGAACTTGAGGCGGTGGAAGCTGATCCAGTTGTCGTGGGCGAGGGCGCGCAACACGGCGTCGACCTGGGGATCACGTAGGCGATGCTCGCGCCGGAGCCAGTACGCCTCGCCCAGGTCGCCGCGCCGGCATGCCGTATCGAGGACTAGGTAGCTCACCACCTCCTGCAACTCGAGTGACGTGAGCGGACATAAAGGGTGCAGGTGACGCAGCAGGTAGAGGATGGCTGCGTGGTACGACTCGGGCTGCTTGACCATGACAGAGAGGCGGATGCAGAACAAGTACGCCTGCACAGCGAAATCATCGATGCGCTTTGATGCCACCATGCCCTCCCGCAGCTTCCTAAGCGCCATCATGACTTGCGACAGAGGGAGCGTGTTGGCCGGGCTCTGCAGCCTCTCCACTGCCTCCTGGATTGCCCGACCCCCCTCGTGACTACCCAGGTTCGGTGCCACTGCAGATGCTGCTGTGGATGCTGCCGCTGCATATCTTGAACCTGCGCCGTCAATACTCAGCGACTCGAATAGCCGCAGGAGCTCATCCCTCTTCCCCGCATCGTTGCAGAACGACATGTACCGCTGTATGATGGTGGTGTAGTATTGCTCCTGTGTTCTTTCATCGAGGAGCCTGGTGTGGTACGTATGTTAGAACGAATAAGGGATTCCGCATCACGGCTGGAGCACTGGCGATAATATCGTACGTACCTCTTGTCGCCCTTAGACGGTAATCCCATGCTCTCTAGGGGATCCAGCTCCACGGGTTTGAGCCTACCCCAAGGCCCCATTCTCCCCGCTCTTCCCGCTCTGTGCGACATTCTAGGCCGAGCGCGGTGTGTGATATGGGTTAATGGCGAATGCCGATTACCTTTGGATGGATATGAGGACTGGTGACCATGACACTGAATTCTCGAATGTTTGGGCCCATCGGGAACTGAGGATGATGACTGAGTTGTATTAGATGTTGAGCCGTGAGGCGTACGCGCGCTTGGTCGTATTTTTGGTGGGGCAGTAAGTAAGGAACTAAAAGCTGCCCCGCGCGTCGCATCATCAAAGAAACACAAAAGTGTGGGTGGTGGAAGGTCCTTCCAGGAGGTCGGCTTTTTGTTTCCAAGAGAATAATACGGGGACTTTGTCATTCCAATATCGTACATTGTCTAAGGGGTATCATTCATCAAAAGCCCATCCTCCCTGTCCAACACTATCTATCTACTGTAACAACTTCTATGAAAACGCTTGATCATGCTTTCCAAAACGTCTACCGATATCTAATGTTCTCCCAAGCTCTACTTACAGAGCTCACCTATACAGTCAGGACATTCTGTTGTTCCTGTCCTCTAAGTCTCGCCGCTCGCATCCTCTGGTGCTGCCGCATCTGGTACCGTGGCTTCTTCGATTTCGAGGGGAGCCTCTTCCCATCCAATGGGGCCTTCAGCCTCAAATGTGCCACCCTTGGACAGCACTCTCCCCAAGCCCTTGTACACTTCTGCCTGAAAGGGCTCAAAGGGGACTTTCTCCCCGTCGATACTGATGTAGCCGTCTTCCTGGTCGCGCGGGATTATGCGGTAGGCAGAGATCTTCTTGTACTGCACCTGAGGCAGGTTGAAAAACTTGTTCGACTCGACAGCGAGGAGTGTCTTTGTAGCCTTTATGGTCGGAAGGTCGCCCTCAATCATGACAAGATCCATTAAGCCATCCGAGGGTAAGGCACCCGGAAAGAAGTTGGCGTCGGGGGCCATGTATGCCAACTGCGCAACGTCAATTCTCACACATTCTGTCAATTCCCAGGGGAGGGGGAAAGGAGGATCCCTACGTTTCCGCAATAGAAGTTGCCAATCTTGTCATATGGGACAAGTTCCCACTCCTGGTTATCCAGTTCATCTTGTACAGTCCCGTGCTTGAGCTTTGGGAGACCCTGGTTGCTATCCAGCTCGGACTCGACGCTTTCCTCGCTGAAAGTCCCTGTCTCTGCGGCAGCTGCAGTAGTATCGGTGCTGTTGCCGGGAGTGTCAGGCTGTCGGACCTTGGTAATGTACTTTTTGTAATGTACTTTGATGCTCTCCTTGTCCGGAATCTCGACCTTGACGGCGAGGTCAAATGGGTAGCACTTCTTCTGGTAGACCCGGGTCAACAACCCGAGCTCGAATCTCTTGGCGCCCATCCAGCGCCAGTTCTCAGTGCCCAAGTCACTCTCGGCCACGATACCCAGCGCCTGGGACAGGAAGGACAGGAAGCGCCGCGGGCCCTGGGTGATGCAGACGAGGTCAAGGGGCGTCACGACGCCTTTAATGATTCCCAGGGCGGCCAGGGCAGGCCTGTTGGAACCATACAGGTTGAGGGCCATGGCGTTGCCGGAGCCGCAGGGAATGTGGCTGATGGCCACCTTATTCAGGGCCTTGACGGCGTCGGGCCTCTTACCCAGCCCATTGAAGATCTCGTGGGGCGTACCATCGCCTGAGCAGGCAACAACGGTGTCGTACTTGTCCAGGTCCATCTTCTCTACCAGGTCCGTCGCCTCACCACCCCGTGTCAGAGTGACCACGTTCAGCGTCATCCTGGCGGCGTCAAACAAGGGCTTAGCTTCGGTCTGCCATTTTCTTACGGCACCGCCGGGACCCGAGTTGGGGTTCAGCAGCACGTACGCACTTTTGGCTCGCTTGGCCTTCCCATACGCGCTGGATAAGAGCTCTGCAGAGAAGGTCTCCACGATGTCGGCCAAGTGGGAATTGGGGATGGACCAGGATTGTTTGTCGACCCTGGCGGGGTTTCTGTTCGTATCGGCGACATAATCGATGGTCAGGGTCTCGCTGGTGGCCTCGACCCAGAGGATGTTATAGTAGGGAATCAATGTCTTTATTCCATAGTCTGCCGAAACAAAAGAGTTATGGGTCAGCACGTCCAGAGAGCCGCAGAGCTTATCATGGGGCCTCTTCATACCATTGATCTCGAGGCCAGAGTCAGTTCTCGTAGCTGTGACGGGTCTGCGCCGCGCTTCATTTCCTCCCAGCAGCACTACTTGACGGTCCGTGTCCATTATGCGGACAGTCGGAGCATCATAAGAAGGCATTCCTCCAAGTTGCCAGAGAGGGGGGCAGTAAAGTGAGGGGGGTGGCATCTAATGTCGGGCTGTCGTGAGGCAATGCCAGTGCAAAGGGGCGATATCGGAAAGCCCGGGGCTACGCTGCAGCTGGAATGCTTCGGGGGCCGGGAGTAGCTGAAAATAGAAATAGAGTACGGGAACAACTTCAAAAAGAAGAACAAAGGGAAAGGATAAACCTTGAAAAACCTGGAAAAACCGAGATGCATTCGACGTACCAGACAGTTACAAACACAAAGAACAAACACACATATACGGAGAAAGCAATGAGTGTAATGTGCAGAGAAAACAGCTCCGTAATTGGGAGTGCAAGAGACCAGAGACAGGGGAAGAACCACAGGTAGGAACCACCAACCAACGCACTGCGTAAGTAGCGCAAGGCGCTGACAAACAGCGAAACTCGCTCAGGCACGGCCCCTGGGTATAATTGTGGGGGTTAGCTTTTCTCCGGTGATAATATGCCTAATAATTCGCCTTACGTAGGCTGTAGCTCTCCGGTCGTCCGTAGCTTGTAGGCTACTTTGCGGGGGACAGCTTTCCCCATGTCCTCTCTCCCCGCTCCTCTTTTGCTTCATTTCCTCCTCTCTTCTCCGCTCTATATATGTCTTGCTCTTTCCAATTTGTAAAGTTTTCCTTCTCAATCTCAATTATGTTCGGTGGTTCTTCGTTGTATATATAATACAGTATTATATTACTATTGTTACCTGGTGACAAGAGCCCCGCATCGCAACGTGGGGCATCCTTATCCTGCTGATTTTGAAGGCTGGAAGACACATGTGACGACTAGGTCTGATACGCATTGGGAATTCGCCGAACCCTCAAATTGTTACACTACCTCCTCCCACCTCAAAGGAAAACTACGACCACTATCCGAAGAACCAGCCTATCGAAGCGTCGAGTCAAGATTCTACACCACACTTACAGCCGATAGTTACAATGGCCAACACACCCCCAGACCTGGCCGCACTCTTGACGCCTGTGCTGCCTGCCCTCGCCGCCGCTGCTGTCTCGACCGAACCGGCCATTGGCATCCTACCTCTTCTGTCACCCATTCTCCGTCAGCGTGTACAGTTCCTCTCGGCGTCTAGCTCTGAGCCGTGGCTGCGTCTGCTATGCTACGACTCGTCTAAGGCCCCGCAACTCGCAAAGGCGGCGTCTAGCAGCGCCCTCGAGCCCCATCCCGTGTCTGGAGAGACCGAAGTCGACTGGGACTATGACTCCGAGACGCGCTATCGTCGCATAGATGCCGAAACCCTCCAGGCCCTCGTGGTCATGCGTGATGTGGGGCTCGTCTTCCGTCTCGTATACTGCATTAATGACCCGGACGGCGGCGATGGCTGGCGCGTCGGCGAGGTCAACGTGACGGACGGACAGGAGCCATTTGCCATATTTGGCGGGTCTGCTTCCATTGCCGAGGCAGAAGAGCAGTTTGAGGATTACAAGAAAGACAACAGCAACAACAAAGCCGCTCCTACTGGTACTACCACCGTCAACAACGGCGCCACCAGTCACAACGAGGAAAAGGAAGACAGTGAGGACGCCTACTGGGCGCAGTACGACGCTACACCCAGCCACACTCCTGGGCCGAAAGCCTCCCCTGCACCCCGCGCCTCGGCAGCTCGTGCAAATAATAGTGCGACCACGGAGGACGAGTATTTCTCGCAATACGACAGTGTCCAACCAGCCATGGACAACCACGATCCTGATGAGGGGTTGGACTCAGCCTCGACAGCTGCTCTTCTCAGCGATGCCGGTGCTGATACAGATGCGGCCCGTACCAACGGCGGCAGCGGCAAGTCACACATGAACGGAGAAAATTCCAACTACGAGCTTGCGCACCCGCGGCCCGAGTCGAGCGCTAGCTCCAATGAGTCGCAGAAGCTCGTGGCTCGTCTAGAGGAGCAGGCCGGACGCCAGGGCCAGAACGAGTTTGGCGTCAAGAAGCACATCTCACGCAGTATCCGCAGCTTGTTCCTGCTGTCGCGCAGCTCGGGTATTCAGAGGGACGAGTTCGAGCAGATTGTCAAGACGGAGCTGGATATATTGGGCTTGGTTGATTATGTCGAGTGAAGCGTCTTGTTCTTTTTTTCCCCTTACTTGTCGCTAGACTACGGACATTAGTTAGCATTACTTCGGCGTTTCCTCTTTTTATTTTATTTTTATTTTTTTCTAGTCTACCTTGGTTCTTAGTGCTGCACTTCTGGCTTTATCTAGATGTTAAGACTTCTTTTCTGGAATACCAAAAAGATGTTGTACCAATTTGTCGTAAGGCCATACACATTTACAAGGCACAAGGATTGACGACACCCCGCATCTATTCACACCCTGCCATGGCGATGCAAAATTTGATACATGATTTAACTTTTGTATTGAATTTTTGGTTTCTTTTCTTCTCCCTCTTCCCATCAATAGCGGGGGAAAAACATACAAGGAACGATTACAATCAGCGGTAAGAGCCCTCATATACATTTCTAGCCATATATGGTCACATTGAGTCGTGTAGGAGACTCATGCAAGCCGCGTCACATCGGGCCACTTGGCCAGGGCGGTCTTCTTGAAGTTGTCGATCTCGGGGCTTCCCCAGCGCTTGAGCGTCTCGAGCGCATTAATGGCGTCCTCGAACTCGACGGTGGGTAGGTCCAGCATGGCCGTGACCTCCTTGTCGCACTTGGCCTTGTCCTCACCCAGCGTCCTCTTGGTACGGATGGCGGCTAGCACATGGCACGGGCTCTTGCTGTTCTGGGACTGGAAGTTGGCGTTATATTTGGCTAGGTCAGTCGACGGGTCGAGAGACTTGAACTCGGCCTTGACCACCTCGGCCACCTTGGAAGGGAGGTCGGTAGCCTTGTTCAGCGCGTCGCGGAGGGCGACTTTCTGCTCGTGTACCTTGGGGCTGTCGGGGTCAATCACTGTGGCGGCGTTGAGGCAGCGGAGTGCCAAAAGGTATTTGCCTAGTGTTTTGTTTTTGTCAGCTAAAAGTAAAAAGGGAGAGGGGGGAAGAAGGAAGGAAAAGGCTTACTGCGACGTAGGTACACCTCGAAACCGGCGTGCTGGGCTGCAATGCTCTCGGGACAGACCTCCAGCAGAGGCTCGAGGAGCTTGGTAGCCTCCTCCAAGGGCTGCTCTGTCGCAGCGAGCTTCAGGCCCAGGGGGTCCTCATCGGGCTTCTTGGCCTCGCCATTGGCCTGGACGGCCTTGTTGGGGTCCTGCTTGGCCTGCTTCTCAGCGGCCTCGCGCTCCAAGCGCTGCTGCTCCTTCTTGGCCTTCTTGACAGCTTTCTTCTTCTCAAGGGCGTCCTCGGCGCTGTCGCCGTTGGCGCCGTTGACTCCATTGGTTGACGCCTTGTCGGCGAGCTTGAGGTAGATGTCGATGGCGTTGAGGGCGGCGCGCGCGTAGAACGGGTGGTCGCGCACGTGGTCCTCCCACCGTATCATGTCGACGTACGCGCGGATCTGACCCTTGCGGAGCGAGAAGCTGTGGAAGTCAAATTGGTCCTCCTCCCAGACGTCGAATATGTTGGCCACGGCATGTAGCCTCTTCAGAGCCATGCCGATGTTACCCGACCTGGAAAGGGCCTCGCCGTCCTCAGTCAGGAACCAAATACACTGCATGTCCAGCAGATCGGCCAAGGGCCCACCGACAGTGTCTTGGCGGGTGAACAAGCCGACGGTCTTGAGACCCTTCTCGCTGTCGTTGTTGCGGAGATGGTACTTCGCGGCCTTGCTGTTGATGTATCGGTCCTTGGGGTCCAGGGTGCGCGCATAATCCATCTGTTCAGCCGCCTTGGCAATGTTTCCCGTATGCTTCGTTATCCGGGCCTTGGTCATGCTGAATTCTACGCTCTTGGGGTCCTTCTCGATGGCCCTTTCCACGTACTCCATGGCCTTAGTCAGGTCACGGCTCATGTAATAGTTGTAGTGTTGAGCCAAGTAGTAAAGCGCGGCGGCCTCGCCTTGGTCCTTGCTATCGGAGCCGGCCGTTTGCGACTGGAGGTATTTCTTGACCAGCTCAGCAAGAGCCTCCTTCTTGAAATCGTCCGAGTACAGGTGCTTGAGGTTGGCAAACGTAGAGGGGACACCCTTGTTGAACATCAGAGTCACGTAGGCCTCGGCGGCCGACTTGAACTCGTCACCTGCGGTATCTGTATTAGTCAAAACTGTGCTATGGATATACCTTTTGAACCGCACGGCCTGGCTTCGTGTCCCTCCTTAGCGTGTGTGATTTGTACTTACCGGTAAGAAAATCGAGAGGCACGCGACGGGCAGCGTCGCAACGAGGGTACTTTTCAGCATACTCGTCATAGACGGCCTTGCGAGCCTTGATGTCGGTCTCGGCGATTCCAAGCGCACCGATAAGCTTCTCGTAGTAGTCCTGGCGATCAGGATTACGGTCGATGAGCACGCGGTAGGCTTTGGCAGCCTCCTCTTGGCGGTCGAGCTGGGCAAGGTACTGAGCGCGGTACTCGAGGACGGCCAGGCGGTCAAGGCTGTGCTTGGCGGCACCATCAAGGTGCTCGAGGGCACGCTGGTAGTCGCCCTGCTCGGCAATGAGGGTGTTCTTGTACAGGATGGCCTCAGAGTGCTCGAGGTCGTAACGGGACGGGGTGGTCTTGAGGGTGCCCTCGTAGGTGGTGAGGACGTTCTCGGCCTCGGCCAGGTTGCCTGAGAGGTGGTGGGCAATTGAGAGGGCGGTCCAGCTCTGACGCAGCTGCGGACGGGCCTGCAGCATTGTCTGTCGTGTCTGGATATAGCCAGCAAAGTCGCGAGTGTGAATCTGGAGGATAGCCAGGTCCCTCTGGATCTGGGGCGTGTCGGGTTCGAGTCTGAGGGCAAACTTGTAGGCCTTGATGGCCTCCTCGAAGTTCTTATTGGTGCGATATAGCAGGCCGTAAACGTGCCAGCAGATGTGCGACTTCATGTCGGCCGTCAGGGCCTCCTTGCCGAGCGCAAAGGCCTCGTCTGTTTTGCCTTGGGCCATGAGGATTAAGGCCTTCATGGCCATAGTGTCGCCATGCTTGGGGTTCTTCTTGAGGATCGCATCGGCCGTCTTGATACCGCGCTTGAACTGTTTCTCCTCGTAGGCACGGACGACAGCGCGAAAATTCGCCTGGTCCTTGGAGTTGAGCGGTTGAGGCATGGTCGGGCAACGGTCGAAGGCGGAACACGCTCTCGTACGGTTCGAGTTCGATCTCGGTGGCAAAATTTTCGGAGTCGGCTCCCAGGCGACGGATTGCCTTTTTTTCAAGTCCAAACGATGGCCGCGATGCTTCTAGATCAGATACTTTGTCGGCGACACGGATAACGTCTGTCTCGTGGGGCGGGCTGACTGACTTATGCCAAGGCTCCGTCCGTTCTGCAGCTCCGTCGGCTTCTTGTCTTTTCGTTTGGTGGGGTGGGGGAGGTTTAAAGGGCCCGGTTAGTGAGGGGTGCTTTCGACCCAAGGACTCAAGGAACGAGCGTCTATCCCGTACTGATCCCCTCTTTGAACGACCATGAACCTTGGGACTTGGAAACCAATTATCTCAGAGGAACCTTCCAGCCTTTCTACTGAAAAGTTAAGCAAAATGTTTATCGGACCAGAACCGTCTCATCTTGAACGTTATGATCGGCGGATCCTCGGATGTTCCACTTCTCCAGTTCACGATGCTTACGGAGACGGAAGTATGTACATTGCTCGTAATACTTAGTTTTAATACTTTTCTTGTAATAATGCTCCCCACTGCCACTGTGACTGTTGTTGATGATGACGTTCTGGCCAGTCCATGGGGCGTGACTGCTTAAGATATATACCCAGCGGTGTCTGGTCCATTAATTTCAACAATATCTATGCTATTGACGGTTATTATACTTGTACATGATGTGTATCATACCCTGCGCCCTACAGGATCAGGTCATGATCTGATGGTCTTTTGAGACTCTCTCCATCGAGAAGCGGCTTGTTCCCAGCTGTCGCCGTTGCCGCCGCATCTTTGTTGAACCGTGGTCCAAGTCTTGGTTCTAACAATGTTTTCCACTTGGGTTTCCTGACGGATAATGGCAGCCAGTGTCTCTGTCCGAGCCTCCCGGGGGAAGAACCTGCTCGAGTACGGGTCGAGTCGCTCGTCAACCATCCGTTGGCTGTTCTCTTCCTTTTCCATCTCTCTTAGCATAGCATCGGGATCATCCGGGTCCGGGCTCGCCGCAACAACTCCGCAGTAGTACAGGACGTCCCTTCGGGACTCCCATGACGGGAAGAGCACCTTGTCCTTGAAGTATTGACAGGCTTGTGGATCGACCTCCCTCGTATTCGATTTCGGGGTGCGATACTGTGTCGATGAAGGATCGAAGCCTGCGCGTGCGGGCGTAACGAGGGCGTTGAGATTCTGGGTAATAGAGTCATCGATGGCTGACCGTGATATGCGCAAGAAGTCTATAGAATCTCTCAATGTCAGGCACATATGCGACAAAAGGTATTGAGGGACATGGTAACGCAGGAGGCCCTACCTCGGACGGCGCTCGTTGCGAAGCAGAATTGAGGCGTAAGCGTCGGCGACTTTGAGCCATTCGCCATGGTCTCTGGTAGACGCTGGGGGCCGGTGCCGCTCCGAGCGTCAGTGGCTGACTTCCAGAAAAAGTTGGCCACCGTGAAGAGAAAGTAGCGAGAAGGAGCAAGGATACTGGTGTGTGAAGATCAATATCTGTAGGTAAGTGAAGCGCTGGATGCGCAATGAATGAGGTGTGGATGTGGTATTTCCTATGTCTGACCACTCTCGCATTCCACGGGTACCGAAGCGGGAAGGAGCCACTTAATAAGTATTATCCGAAAGCGACAGACAGGGCTTCCGTCTTACTTAAACCCGACGCACTTCGGCACTCCTCAAGCGACACATATGTATCTCACTGCTACTATATTTATGTGTCCTGAAAAGAACATTACTCCCCTTAGGAAAGCATAATAGAGCTAAGTACCGATACCGAAATTATCCCTTTTACACTAAGCGACAAGAAAAGAAGCTCATGGCTACTATACTTTGATTGCCACGTGATTAGTATGCTACGGAGTAATTCAGCTTCGTTCTTTTCCAAGAAGGTTACGGAGGACATCATAGCAGTTGATTGAAAATCGCAAAAACCCTTCCCCTACCTGTCTATAAACCTCATATCTAATACGTCTATATTGAAATCATAACTGGGGCTGGCTAATAACGCAGCAGGCTGGTCGCAGAAAAGTGCCGCCGTGATACCGTGATTTCTATGGGTGTACACTTTCGTAGCCATTATGCATGTAATAATAATACTACGTCATTAGGTTCAAATGATGATACATCCTGAACGAACCATGTTATTCTACTTATCTATAAACAGAGAAAGAAAAAGAAGAAGAAGAAGGACAGTGGTAATAAATAGGCTTGATTCCAAAACCACAAACGTGTAGTCAATAATCGCCCTGCTTGCCAGAAATTCAGATGAAAATGACGACATCGCTCAGCTGCAGGGTAATGGCTACTAAGCTAGCTCCAAACCTGCCACAGCTGGGCTACAGAACACTGGGCTAGAGGCCATCCGTTGTGGTGGAGACTTGCACGCTTCCAACATTAAGAGCAAAGCGATCGAACAGCAAATATGCCCGGGAATCTAGGAGCTCAGGATCTCTCGGAAGCCGCCCTGGGAGGCCACATTCGCATCCATGATGGCAACTTCGTCGACAGCCATGGCCGCACTCTTACGCTGCGGGGCCTCAACGTTTCAGGGGCAAGCAAGCTGCCCACGACGCCTAATGGACTGTCTCATCTCACCGATGGCTTCTACGAGCACCGCACCGTCACGTTCACCGGGAGGCCTTTCCCCATAGACGAGGCGCCCCTTCACTTTCGTCGCCTGCAGGCTTGGGGCCTGCCATTGATTCGTCTCCTGGTCACCTGGGAGTCCATTGGTCATTCGGGGCCGGACCCCGCGACCGACCTGGACCTGGAGTATATCGCGTATCTGCGTCAGCTTATTGAGCTTATGCCTCAGTATGGCATCAAGTGCTTCATCTGCGCTCATCAGGATGTTTGGAGCCGATTCAGCGGAGGCAGTGGGGCGCCAGGCTGGACCTTTGGAGCCGCCGGATTCGACATCGAGGCCTTCACCGATACCGGTGCGGCGTACGTACATGGGCCTGACGAGGAGAGGCGGGCAAGACTTCCTGTCAACGATAAAGAGCCGAGCGGCCCCTTTGTATGGCCCTCGGGCTACCAGAAGCTGGCGGCTTCCACCATGGCCACCTTGTTCTGGGCCGGAGACGCCCTGGCACCGGAACTGAAGTGCCCGCGTGTTAGGGACGGCGTCTTTGAACGTGTCTCCATACAGACATATCTCCAGGATGCCATGATTGGGGCATTCGGGAGACTGGCTGACGAGGTTGGAGGCCTTGAAGCCTGCATTGGATTTGAACCCATCAACGAACCCCATCGGGGGTTGATTAATCTGCACGGCTTCCATCAATGGAATTACGAAACAGATCTTCACATAGGGCACTACCCATCGTTTGCTCAGGCCCTAGCCCTGGGTAGCGGATACGCCCAAACTGTCGACTTCTACGTCAAGTCCTGGCCTTTCCCAACCCGCGTCTCACATCGGTCCCTGGTTGACCCCCAGGGGCGTTCGGCCTGGCTCTCCCATTCAAGAGAAGTCTCGGTGTCTGAGCAGCATGGGATGGGCCAATGTGTGTGGCGAGCTCACGGCGTCTGGGATTGGGACGACAAAAAAAAGACCCCTGTCATCCTGAAGCCCGACTATTTTGACTGCGACCATCGACCCGGACGAGAAGGCAAACAAATCGAATGGTATCGGGATTTCTATGGTCCCTTTATCGAGAAGTTTACGGACAGAGTATCACGCAGTGAGGGGAACAACTTCACATTCATCGAACCCATACCCAATGAGTTTATGCCGCCTTGGAAGACTGAGGATGGCGAGACAAACGACTCTCCACTTGAGCAGAAATATTCTGCCCCGACATACATCGACAGCAAACGCCCGCATAATATGGTATATGCGCCCCACTTCTACGACCTCAACGTCTTGTTCAGCAAGCACCATTCCTGGATGAGCGTTAATGTTCAGGGACTTTCCCGGGGCATGTTTATCCTCAAAGCGCTGTACTTTGGCGTACGCGGTCTTCACAAGAACTACAAGAAGCAGATTGGCAACATCATCGACTACGGACACAAGTCACTAGGCACCAACGTGCCCACCATCATCGGCGAAGTCGGTATCTCGTACGATATAAACGGCAATTTCGCGTTCTTGACAGGCTGCTACGATGCCCAAAGACAGCTGATGAATGCGCTCATCGACGCAATGGAGAGCAACTTTACCGGATTCACTCTGTGGAACTACAACCCCCACAACCGAGTCGAGTATGGTGACGGGTGGAACAAGGAAGACTTCTCTGTCATCAACGGCGACGAGATCGACGAACAGGGTCCGATCCTCCCAGACTACCGCAACCGGGAGCACGAAGACGACGAGCTCTACCGCGGCGGCCGCGTGCTAGATGTCATCATACGCCCGTACGCGGTCAAGACAGCTGGCAAGCCCCTGAAGTCAGTCTGGGACTACCGCACTCTCCGGTACGACTTTGCGTGGCGGAGCGAGAGCAACGGCAAGGCTGCGACCGGGGGGAAGGCTCGTACGACGGAAATATTCATCCCCAAGTATCACTACTCCAATTATGAGTTGCGGGTCACGCTCAGCGATGGCGAGTGGTCGTTCGACGCGGATGCGCAGACCCTCCTTGTGCAGCACAACGTCCACGAGGGGACGGCTCAGCACACCATCACTGTCGAAATTGCCGATGTTGACAAACATTTACTGTCAAAGGTTATGCAACGGCGCCAGACACAGGCGGCCAGGACATTTCTGGATAACCTACCACCTGCGGTCACTGTCACACTAGAAGGGTTCGACCACACTTTCGTATTGGGGGCTTTGCTGGCTGTCGTTTTGGCAATTTTCATTTCGGTCATTTTGAACAGAAATACGACATGGTGAATTAGCATGTTGGCTACGTTCTCAAGATGTGGCATCATAGAAGGAGCATATGGCTGGCTACTTTGTTCTGATTCCTTTTTCCCCCACTAATATAAGATGGCTTAGATGACTCCATTAGAACCACACTCTGTCTAGAGGTAGAGATAAGATACAAGATAACCGATGATTATGAACGGCCCCCGCTCATGGGAATCTAGCCGAAGCAGAACCCTGGCGAAGCTGCCGCATCTTTTCCTTCATCAGCTCGTACTTATGCTTCCACTCCTCAGTATGTCCAGGTACGGGTTCAATGGTCGAGTCCTCCGCGCTGTCATTGACCCAGGTGACAATGTCCTCAACGTATGCGAGCTCGGCACCAGATTCCGCCAGGCTGTGAAACTTCCTCCCGCGGCCCTTGGTAGCGACCTTGGTATCGTATTCCTGTCTCCGAGCTTCCAAGTCGGGAAGGCGGCTCTTTCCAGTGAGAATCCGAGCCACAACTTGTGCCTGGAAGTCGAACAGGGAAAACGTCGCACTGTAGTAGGGGACGCCGACGAATGATAGAGACGGGTCCTCGGTGTAGAATATGTCCTTGTATAGGTTATGGATCATGCTGCCCTCCGCCGTCACCAGGATATCTCGGGTCGCTGCGTCGATTGGTGTATTGTCGGCGTGGAATTGCGAGAGGAAGGGATAGGAGTTGATGTATCCTGTCGCCAGGATGACGTGATCGATGTCGGTAAGCTTTGTTCCGTCTTTCAGCAAGACATATCCGGGTAGATGGTCACTTGGGGCGAGTTCAGAAGATCCGTTTGTTGCTGTCGTCGTCGTGACGAAGCTATCGATGGCGCCTACTCGCTTCACAGATTCGGGCAGTATGGATGCTGGAAGGTCGAACTCGCCGTCTCTAGTGCTTTGTGTCACGCTTTTGGCGTGCTCATGAGTCTCACGGCACACGTCCATTGCAGATGTGCCTCCGCCAACGATGAGGATGTTCTTGTCCCGAAAGGTCTCCGCATACCGGTACTCCTTGGAATGGATGACTCGCGATGGGAACGAAGCTTTCCACTCGGAGAGTCCTGGCAGTGTCGGCACCCGAGGAAGATTGTAGTGGCCGCTGGCCACGACCAGCGCGTCAAACGTCCAATTCCTTTCAATTAGTCGAGGTTCTCCTTCACCCTTGAGAAGCGTGACCGTTCTTAGATCCCACGTTTTCCCATCTGCCGACTTCTTGGCGGCTTCCACCCGGGTATTGAACAGTGTGACGTCGTCAACGCCACTTTTTGAGCTCAGACCCTGGAGGTACTTTTCAAGATTCCCATGCTCTGTGAAATCCGGAGTCCCGTCGGGCCACGGCCCCAGGGTGCTGTACATTAGAGTGGTGGGGACATTGTTCTTGAGCCCTGCGTAGCAAGGGCCCGGAGGTGAGAAGGCCACCTGAAGTTCTGTAGGGTCCGAAGAGTCGAGTGGATGACTGCCGGATTTTCCTCTCTGCTTCTGCTTCTCTAGAGAGAACTGCCCGGGGCTTGAGGTCTTGTAGTCACCGGCGGAGGGCGTCTCGCTAGGATATGAAGGGCTGTTCGTGACCCGGGAGTCAAAGTGCCAGACCCCGGAAGACACACTGGACCGCTCAAACACTGACACGTTGGCCCCAAGCTTGAGTAGGTGGCCTGCCGTGGCAATGCCGCTGACCCCGGCGCCTATGACGGCAATTCGGGTGTCTTGTTCAAACTTGTCATTTCCCAACACGGCCTTGGGGTCCTCATAAGATGATACAGAACCCATCTTGCAGAGAGATACCAGTGGAAGTGAGAAATCGTTCTTTGAATCAAGTTGTCGATATTTACGAATAGACTTGGCTGGATGCTGGTGGGATGGACTTTGGAGGTGGGACTTTGAGGACGATACAGGATGGGTGGAAGGGCTGTCCCTTCATATCATGGTGAATCTGACCAACAGTCTCAACAACACTCGTCAATACAAGTAGATTGATTTCTAATGGTGGTAATACTGGAATTGAAGATGCTGTGTTGGGTGCTGATGGGTGGTAGTCGCAAGCTACGCCATCAAGCACGCCATCTACGTGCGCAGATGCACCTCGGCCATATCATGCGGCTTCCGTGTATCGTACGAGTGGGATACCGGGAGTAATGGCCCATGGGTTTAATGGTGCGGGGAACTTGGAGAAGGAAACAGAGGAATGAGAGGCGATGCTCTACAAATTCCTGATATCTCTCCACTTACAAATGGACATACGCGTGCAAATGCTTTTGTCTATGTTTAATACGGAGCTTGCCATCTGTCGACGGCCTAGGCACTACTACTATACTCAATCACATCTGAAGGGCATTCTATGGCGAGATTTAATGTGTTCTTGATATTTCTATTGATGAATAAGTTCGCTCTAGAGAAGTGTTTAAACACCGAGCGGTTAAACCCTCGCGTTAAACCGCTTGCCGGTCTGATAGCGTCTCGGGACGGCGGTATCCTTGTCTGTGGTGTATCCACTACTGAGGTTGTCATTTATTGGCTACATGTTCCTTCCGAGATACTTCAGTTTCATGACTATGTTATATTTGGACCTGGCAGGCATCATAAATAGTAGGCAATGGTGCGTTAGTGTTTTGATACGTAACCTGTCATGTCCGTGACTGGGAATAAACTGAATATCTATATACATATGTCTGGAGCTTTTCCTCGTGATTTATTGACGAACGGTTACATATATTCCATCCGATCACACAGACTTAGGCAGAGCCAGCAATTTTCTTTGAAGCCAACTCGCGTCTATGAAGGATACGGATAGTGAGCGCCGTTGCTGCAAGACCAGCTCCCAGAAAGACCATGGTGATGAAACCCTTGGGGTAGCTGGGGGCGTCAGTAGTCTTCCAAATCAGCAGGGGCAGGAAGGATTGGAAGACGTAGGCCATCTCGTTCATGGCTCCCGTCACGATGGCTCTCTCCTCGTTATCATCCTTGCAGATCTCATGGGCCCACGCAAAGGTCAAGCCGCTGATGCCTCCGCCAAAGCCGGCGAGGATGTAGCAAGCCCACTTCCAGCCAAGGGGGATATCCCAGGCTGCCAGACTCGAATATACGACGACGCTCAGGAGGCCGGAAAAGACGATGGGAGGCCAGCGTTCGCCTTTGAAGACGGTGTCGGACGACCAGGCGTATATAAGAGTGGTGATGACGGTGACGGCGTTTGAGATTGTCGGATACGTGTTGACGTGACTGATGCTGTACCCCTGGTCCTTGAGCCAGAGCTGGAAGGCAGGCTGGCCCAGCATTCCACAGCCGTTGTTGAAGAAGAAGTAGAGCAAGGTCAAGGCGTAGATGTGCCACGAGGATAAGATCTTGATAATCTTCTTCTTGGTGTAGGGCTCGCGCTGTGCTCTGCCTTCCAGCATCATTCGTTTCTTGGCAAGCTTCCTCTCGTCCTCGGTGAGGTAAAACGCCCTGGTGATCTCGGGAACGTCAGGCATGAAGAAGAAGCCTGCCGCCGCAATGGGGAGCGAGATGATGGTGTCGATGATGAAGAGCCACTGCCATCCCTTGAATCCCTGCTTCCCCTGGAGGTTGTAGACCGAAGCCATCAGGTAGCCGGAGAACATGGAGCCGATATTTCCACTGGCATGGAAGATGCAAGATCGCTTTGCCAGCTCGTCCCGCCGGTACCAGCATCCGATGACGTACTGCATACCAGGATAGAATGCGCTCTCGGCTAGACCTATGAAGAAACGCAGGGCATACATCTGCTTCACACTGGTGCATTGCGTCATCAGAATGGTCAGGACAGACCAGGTGACTTCACAGGCAGGAATCCAGATGGAAGGTCGTACTCTCGTCAGGAGAAGGTTGCTGGAACCCGTCATCGTGTTAGCTTTTGTTAACACATGGTGTAGGGAAGTTTCAACTCAAAACGAGTTCTCGAAATGAGAGAAATAGGAGAGGCCTTTTACTGAGGAAGACTTGCCTTGGAACTTCACCCAGGACATAGCCAATGGTCCAGAGGGTTTGCATGTAATTCAACTCATTGCCATGCATGCCCATATCCTCCTTCATGCCGGAGACGTAGGCATTGTTGACATTGATCTGATCGAGGTTCTTGATAAAGTACCCCAAGCTTGCGAATGTTAGGATTGCCGCGTCAAGCTTGAAGAGGAAGCGACGCTCCTCAGCAGGCTTGTCGAGAGTGTCCCAGACGTAAGACTTCCAGGTCTTCTTGGGGTTCTCTTGGCCGATGCTGGATGACGAGTCGTCCTCGGCTCCGGCTGGAGTGACGACTGCCGAGCTGATGGATTTCGAGGAGACGATTTCCGGAACTGGCGCCTTACTGCTGGTCGCACTAGCCATAATGTCATACAGCAGGGAAGCTGCTTTCTCTGGCGATCTGGGGTACTCACAGCCTATGGCAAGCCGGGCCAAGAATCGATACTATGTACTAGACCTCGGAACACTAAAGGGAAACGAGAAGAAAAAGCCAAGATCCCCTAGCCTGTTTAAATCAATTTTCCAGCAAACGATAAAGCCTCGTTGGATAGAGCACCGTGAAACATGTTTCCTGATGTATCGCGCTCGACTTCTGGGTCCGTGTTCTACCCGGCGCGTATATTGGTTATGCTAAACTTCGTCTTTTCTCTATGCTATTGCGTGACGACAGAACTGGTGAGAGCAATCTCATTCGGCCTTCAATTGCTTCTTCCAGGATCCAATGCTACTCTGTTGGCTCGGGAGGTCTCGTCATAATCCCCACTAGAGTCGCAAGCATAGGAACATTGCACTGTTTCTCTCACTCGGCGTGCGCTCCCATATCGCTCCACGCCTCCATGTGAATGATCACAATGCTGATATCGAACAAGTGTTCATTGGCCGGGGAGTGGGACTAGGTGCAGCATAGCTCCGGCACCAGTGCAACTCTCAACGCCATATTTTTCTCTATTGAGGGGAAGCCACTCGGCATTTGGATGGCCGTATCCGCATCACGCAATAGTCAGAGTGTTTGATGAATTACACAATACGTGTACGAGTAGTACGAGTAGTACGAGTACAGCCATCCAAGTCCGAGTAGGACCGGGGCAACAATATTGTCAACGTCTTCGGCCATGGGGATAGCTCGATCAATCATCTTATTCCCTTCGAGCTTGGTTGATGACCCGCACAGAATTCGTCTGCGAGATCGCGTCACCGCTGCGCTGCTCCATAAGCGAACAGCATCTGGAGTGCGAGACAATGAATGAGAGGGGTTCCCGTTACTTCCCAATGCCCAGCATCTCGCAGATACGTGATGGATGCCTGATTGATAATCAATCTATGAACGGGCCTCGACTAAGAAGGATTGGTAATGTCAGTGAGTGGATGATGCGATGCTGCAGCGGCTATGTCGGATTAGAGATGCCCAACACACACACAGCTTGATGTAGATAAACCCGGGCGGGGTTGCTGTTCTAGTTTCCAGACGGCCAACTCTATAAATAAGAGCCGTCGCATCGTCAGCTACCGGGGTAAAGCATATTATCAAAGGATATGACTGGCCTGGATATAATACATCCTAGAAAGCTCTTTTCCTCTCTCTTGTAGGAAAGAAGAAACGAATATCTCTTCACCAACCCCTTCCCTCCCGCTTCCCTCTGCAAGGTTCCAAGCCTCAATAACCACACTAAGACGGAACAGACGAACCCAACATGGCTCCCGCCGCTACAGAAGACACGGGCCCGGCGCCCATCCACCCGTCTATCAAGGACTTTGCAAAGCCCCAGAAGCAGACGGTTCCCCTGCCGGAGACCGCGCGGAAGCGTCTGGAAAAGGGTGGAGTGGACCTGTCCAAGGGTTACCCTTACCATCCCGGACGACCCCTGTACCTGCAGGACGTCTATAAGATCCGGGATGTCGAGCGCGAATATGTGGATGCCGGGGCCCGCGCGGACAAGTCCAAGAAGAGCCTCCTCTCCGCCGCCACCAAGGTGACAGACCTCACCGCCAATATTGGCACCGAGATTGAGGGTCTGCAGCTTAAGGACCTGACCCCTACCCAGCGTGATGAGCTCGCTCTCCTGATTGCCGAGCGTAGCGTCGTCTTCTTCCGCGACCAGGACCTCAGCCCCAAGGACCAATTGGAGCTCGGCAAGTGGTATGGCGAGCCCGAGGTTCACGTGAGTCAATAGTTCCCATCAACCATCGAATTCAGTGCGTGTACAACATTCTCACGAGACGACCCGTCTGCAGCCCCAAGTAGCCCAGGTCCCCGGCTTCCCCGGTGTCTCCATCATCTGGCCCGACCTCCAGGCTACCGAGTTCCCCGCAAACTTCCGCAAGCCCGGCGGTGCCTCCCGCTGGCACAGCGATCTCGTCCACGAGAGGCAGCCTGCCGGCATCACTCACCTGCACAACGACACGGTGCCCCCCGTCGGCGGAGACACGCTCTGGGCGAGCGGTTATTCGGCCTACGAGAAGCTGTCGCCCGAGTTCCGCAAGATCATCGACGGCCGCTATGCCGTCTACCGCTCGGCGCACCCTTACATCGACCGCGAGAATCCTGATGCGGGCCCCAAGTACATTGAGAGGACGCACCCTCTTGTCCGCGTCCACCCAGCCACAGGATGGAAGGCTCTCTGGGTCAACCGGGCCATGACTGACAGGATTGTCGGCCTAGACAAGGCTGAGAGCGACGTCATCCTGAACTACCTGTACGACGTGTACGAGAAGAACGTCGATATCCAGGTCCGTTGGAAGTGGACACCCGGTACCTCTGCTCTCTGGGACAACAGGTATGTAATTTACTTCCCCACGGGGATTCTCGCTCGCATACCTCTCTATTTGTACGACGTGCTTCGTGTGCTCGGATGCTAAATCTGAATAGGATCACCATCCACAACGCCAGCTGGGACTACGGAGGCAAGCACCCCCGCCACGGAACCAGAGTCACTTCGTTGGCCGAGAAGCCTTACTTTGACCCCAAGGCGCCCACAAGGAGGCAGGCGCTCGGGCTGCTGGACCAGTTCGAGAAGGAGGAGCTGAAGACCCAGGAATGAGGTCACTCTGTGAGGTTAACACGGCATGACGCCTCCTCTACTGGTTTCAGTCCGGATGCTCTGCTTGGCGAGGCATGTATATACAGCCCTCGTGTTGTCTGTATGTCGTATTTTAGTATATGAATTATGCATGAGTGACACACGGGGTCAAGGTCCCTGAGAAGAGTTGTGTGATTGAAGGCCAGGGGAATTGGGTGACATTGCATGATTCGCAGGCCATACGAAGTTGTCAGTCGGGATTCCCGGACTCCCTAATACCTGGAGTCCCGGACACCTGATCCCAGCAAGTAGGTTAAGTCCCAAGTGCCAAATTCTTTCTCTTGGCGAGACGTAAAAATCATCTCCCGGGAGAGAGATTGAGAGTTGTATAAAGTGTTGTGTCCCACTCGAACGAAGGGAAACGAGCAATCGACAGTCTCGTGAATACAATAAAGAGGACATATTCTCTTAGCGGGGCCAACCGCGAGATCCTAGTACATGTATGTTCATGACGGCATATGGTCAACCACACTCATCACGTGGCTCCACACAGAACGCGGGATGAAAACACAGTCTGATGCTATCACGGAACAAAGTGGAGTGTACTAACGCGAGAAGAAGGAATAAACCCAAATTCCTTTCATATCGGGACTGGTAGAAGAGGAAAACCCAGAATTAATCGAAAGTCAGCCACAGCTAAAATGGAGCGTCAGTCTATATGCTTTGGCTAGTTTCGTCATTGTCGCGCGGCGCGGCACTAACAGATTGAGCGATTTGAATGAGTTTCGATGGCTGGCTGGTACAATCAGCCGTGTTGGCATCATTATCCAGATATACTAGTGGAGTGCAGTCAGAACATGACCGTGGGCAAGATACTGTTATTTTACATTTGTCGTCATGCCCATTGATGCAATGCACATGGTCTTACCCCAGAGTCAGCCCTCCCTTCAGAAGCGGGGCCAGAGGAGTGAGGGACAGAGTGAGGGACATATATAATGTCAATACATCAAGTGATGTGAATGATGCCAACGTGTGTGGCGGTCATTGGCGCATTAAGGGCAACACTGGTGCCATCAATGCTGAAGATGCCGCCTCTTCCTACAAGACTACGGCTCCTAACAAGATACTTTTATTCATATTTGCCGTCTGGATTAACATTGCTAAAACGTCTGACTATCCGGCCAGGAGATCGATAGGTAGTAAGCCACCGCCATCATCTCACTCTCCAGGCTCCAGCACATAAGAGGGCACGGATAGAGAGGTATTATGTAGATAGACTTATGCCTAGGACATTAATACTAGCCAATTACGGTCAACCATGTCCGTTGATATAATATTAGTACACAGTCCGCGAAAGATTGGGCGAAATGCACGTGGCCTTACAGAAAAAAGAGCAGCGCATGGATTGATTAATTCATTTCGTACCGTATGTTATATGGAGTAATAAGACCAAGTTTGATGTAATACATTATTGTACTCTGTAGGCCAGTAGTAGTAATTTAGTACTGTAGGAGTAGAAATACTATTGAACACTACTAGGTGGTAGGTAGTAGGAGGCAGTGATAGTGAGCAACAGTGCCTAGGTAATAATACCTAACACATAATATTAGACAGAGAATCCCCTCTCCATCTCCCCCCCCCCCCCGGAACCCTTTTCCCTCCTTAAAAGCTTCCAGCCCAAAAAAAAACTGGAAAATCCAAATAAAGAGCATAATAATATTTTACCGACGACGATTATCAAGCTCTACTCGAACCGTATCACAAACAACACTCTTCTCACCCTCATCCTTATAATCCCTCTCGCGCCTTTACTCGAAACCACCACCACCGCCGCTGCCACCGCCGCCTTTATCCACCCCTCTCTCTGTCTCCTCGTCCACCCCACAGTTGTCGCGTGCTTTGCCGAGAGCTCGATATATATCAAAGAATGGCCTCTCCTGCTCCAGGAACACCGGCGGCCGCCAACAACGGGAGCTGGACTTCATTTGTCAAGGTAAGAATAGGGATCGTCGGATGATGGGATCTGGAGAGGACCAAACAAACGAAGTAGCAGAACGAGAGGCGGAGAGCTAACCTGGGCGGGGGGGTTCGTTTCGCATTGCACAGTCCATCTCCTCGTTCAACGGCGATCTCTCATCGCTGACGGCCCCGCCGTTCATTCTGTCATCGCAATCCTTGACCGAGTTCTCAAGCTACTGGGCGACGCATCCCTCGATCCTGACGGCGCCCGTGGCCGAGCCCGACGCGGCCAAGCGAGCCGCCCTGGTGCTCAAGTGGTTCCTGTCGACGCTAAAGCACCAGTACGCCAGCCGGAGCGAGCAGTACGGCAACGAGAAGAAGCCCTTGAACCCCTTTCTGGGTGAGCTGTTCCTGGGCACCTGGACCGACAGCGTGGGCGAGACGACGCTTGTATCCGAGCAGGTGAGCCACCACCCGCCCGCCACCGCCTACTGCATCCGCAACGACAAGACGGGCGTCAAGCTGGAGGGGTACAACGCGCAGAAGGCCTCCTTCTCCAGCACCATTGTCGTCAAGCAGATCGGCCACGCCCTGCTTACCCTCCCTCTTGATGGCGGCAAGGAGAAGGAAACGTACCTCATCACCCTTCCCAGCCTGCACATCGAGGGTCTCCTCTTCGGCGCCCCCTTCGTCGAGCTCGATGGCTGTTCCTACATCACCAGCTCCTCGGGCTTCACCTCCAAGATCAAGTTCAGCGGCAAGGGGTGGATGAGCGGCGAGAAGAACACCGTGTCCGCCATCGTATTCCCCACCGGCCGCGAGGACTGCGACCGCGACGTTCTCTACAGCATGACGGGCTCCTGGACAAAGGAACTCACCCTGTTCGAGGGCCCCGCCAAGAAGAAGAAGGTGCTCGAAACCTACTGCGCCGCAAACGCCGCCTCCACTCAGACCGAACTCTCCGTCAAGTCCATTGACCAGCAGCACCCCCTCGAGTCCCGCCGCGCTTGGGAGCACGTCGCCGCCGCCATCGCAAAGGGCGACATGGACGCCACCTCGGCTGAGAAGACCAAGATTGAGCAGGCCCAGCGTGACCGTCGCGTCAAGGAGCAGGCTGATGGCGCTACCTGGGTGCGCCGCTACTTCACCGCCATCGAAGGTGTTGACCCCACCCTCAAGGCCCTCGGCGCCGCCGTCGGCATCCCCCCTGACGGCGACTCGGACAAGACCGGTGGTCTCTGGAGGTTTGACCCAGCCAAAGCCGAGAAGGCTGCCGCCGAGAAGCTCAGCCCCGAGGATATCAGGGAGATTGAGAAGAGCCTTCTGGGAAGATGATTGGAGGCATAGTCACCCCGGCGCGCCTAAGTAGGTACAGGACAGAGGAAGACCTCGCTTTTCTCGGAGAAAGGGAAGGGAGGGGGGAGAGCTGACTACGTGACATCTACACTGGTTGAACCGCGTCCAACAAGACCTGTCAGAAAGGCCGTCATCTGATAGGTAATATAATCATAGCTGCGTGTCGTAACCTTGGTTTGATTGTATAGACGGACTCTATTTGACGAAAATCAGGGCTCAGACAAGAGTCAGGCAAGAAATAAAGGCCACGAAAAAAGGAAGAAAAATGACATCAATGTAAATAGGTAGCTTTTTATTGCTTGCTACTCCAATAGGATTGCAGTAAAAGTAGGAGCAGTACTGGGAGCAGCATTAGAACGAAGATGACTCAGATATCATTTCTCACTGCACCGATAGCTGCAGTATCAGCATCATGGAATTGGAACACCATACTATTATTTTTTTTCTTTGCATTTTTTTTTCTTTTCAGAATCTCGTTTTTCTACAGAGTTGCTCATCATCATCATCACCCCCCACCTGCGCCTTTACCCATCAAAACTTGATTAACCCTGAAATGTATTCAGCGTGATGTGGCTCACGATGAATTGTACCTCTGTCCTTGCAGAGTATCTTTGTGCTGGATATGATCACCCACTTGGAATACAAGATAGAGTAGTTTTCCACATCATATCACGGGTCTCAGAAACAAATATAAAATATACCGAGAGTCACCAGCCTGCAGCGGATTTTCTTAAACCTGACCAGCGGTGTTGAAGTCCTTAAGGGCCTCAGTGACACGGGCAGACATGGTCTTCTCACCCTCGCGAACCCAGACACGGGGCTATTTTAGTAATCGGTTAGCTTGGCTCTTTGACTCGTTGATTGTAGATATGTGTATAAGAAGGGGATATCAAAAAGACTTACGTCAAAGAACTTCTTGTTGGGCTTGTCAGCACCGTCGGGGTTTCCAACGGCAGTCAGAAGGTAGTCCTTCTTGTTGATCATGTAGTCACGGATACCGGAGCAGTAGGCGAACTGCATGTCGGTGTCCATGTTGACCTTGACGACACCGTGGCTGATGGCGCTGAGGTACTCATGCTTACCGGAGCCGGAGCCACCATGGAAGACGAAGAAAACGGGCTTCTCGAGCTTGGACTTGATGGCGGCCTTGACGTGGGCCTGGTGCTTACCGAGGAGCTCGGGGTGGAGCTTGACGTTACCGGGTTTGTACACACCATGAACGTTGCCGAAGCCAGCGGCAATGGAGAAGTAGGGGGAGATGGGCGAGAGTGTGTTGTAAATGTTGAGGATGTCCTCGGGCTGGGTGTAGAGGGAGTTGTTGTCAACATCCTCGTTGTTGACACCGTCCTCCTCACCACCAGTGATACCAATCTCCATCTCAATCCATTGCTTCATGGGAGCAGCGCGCTTGAGGTACTTGGCAGTGGTCTGGATGTTGAAGTCGACAGGCTCCTCAGAAAGGTCAACCATATGCGAGGAGAAGAGGGGCTCGCCGTTGGCCTTGAAGTAGGCCTCATCAGCATCGAGCATGCCATCGAGCCAAGGCAGGAGCTTCTTGGCGCAGTGGTCGGTGTGGAGGACGACGGGAACGCCGTAGGTGGGAGCGATAGAGCGGACGTAGTGGGCACCGGCAATGGCACCGGCGATGGAGGCAGCTTGGTCACCGTTGGGAACGCCCTAAAACGAAAAAAAAAAACAAGGCATGTCAGTATGTAATCACTTTCTTTTGTTACTGCTCTCTTGCTTCGTCAACGAACTTCCGATGGAGCCGTGATGGTGGTGGGGCCAGAAGTTGCTAATAGCTGTTAACGGCGGGGTAGCTAGCTTACCTTGCCAGCGAAGTAGGCGGCACCACCCTGAGAGAACTGCAAGATGATTGGGGCCTTGGCGTCACGGGCAGCCTCGAGCGAGGCAACAACGGTAGAAGAAGAAGTGCAGTTCTATCATGGGAAGATATAAGGGTTAGTCTTGGTCCAAACTCCCAAGGACAGGTTGGGTCGGCAAGTGGCGGGGGGAAGGGGGGCAGGCAAATAAGACTCACGATGGCGGGGATGGCAAACTGCTTCTCACGAGCGTACTCGAACAGCCTGAGTACGTCGTCGCCGACGATGACGCCGGACTTGCGGCTGAGGACATCAGAGATAGGCATGATGGCGGTTGTACGTGTTGAAAATGAAGTCGTTGAAGGTAAGGTTTAGTCAAAGGTAAAGAAGCTATTCCAAGATGATGAAAGTCAGCAAGCAAGAATGTAATGTCAAGAGGAGAAAAAAAAAACAGGAGGAAACTGGTTAGGTCATATGGGTAGGCAATTGTAATGAGAGATTCGAATAGCTCCTCCCAGGGTTGGGCCCAACACCACGCCACAAGCACTGCGCGGGGTTTTTTTTCCCACTGTAGCAATGGGCATGGAGGGGCGTGGGGGCGAGGGGTAATATTAGAAGCGCCTATCGATAACGAGACAGGGTAGGTGCAGGTGAGGGGCAACCGAACAAACGCGGCAAGAGCCCAGTTCTCCGTATTTTGCGGTAAGGAAGGAGTGGTCCAGGCCAAAAGGAAAAAGGAAGAAAAAAAAAACTGGCCCGAAAGGGGTAGCTTTTTCAAAGAGTGACGCCATTCAATCATAGCTCTCACAGGCTCAGCTCATAGAGAGGACTGAGGCCCCACGAGGGACCATTGGGGTTTTTGGCGAGCTCATGGTCTCTCGTGGACCTTCATGGACGTCATTTTGAGGCGCAATTGGCGGCAATGAGCCTCCCCGAAACACCCGGGGGCCCAGTTCTTCCCAGAGAGCACGAGCCATGGGGTGACAAGTTGTCGGCCTTTCTTTTTTCTCTTTCTTTTTCCATTCAAATCCATTTGGGTTCTTTGCTGAGCCTTTCTTTATCTTACCCCTCGCCCCTGCTGCCCTGATACTCGTAACGACGTAATGTGAGGTGTTTGTGTGTCTGATTCTTGCGGATCACGCGCGTGTCTTGTTTGAGTACTTACACAGGTATGGCCGTCTGCTGTACTCACAATTAACAAGTGACGCAGTCGATTGGATCGTGATGAGGGCTAACGAGAAGATTGAAATTCTGGGTGTTTGACCAAGGAGGACGGGTTCAAGCAGGGAGGAAGGAGGGGGTTGTGGATGGCTCCTTCCCTCTCCTTTTATAACGTACAGTACACAAGTAGAAGACGGTAATGTCATCTCGAGCTACGAGAATCCGCTACTGCCATCTTATGTTGGAATCAGGTCGCCCTCCGCATTTCTATCACTCTTACTTCTCGTCATTGGACTGTCCGGCTTCACTCAGACCTGACACAGCCGAACCGAACTGGATGGGAGAAGGCTTTCGGGACAAGACGGGCACATGGCGCCCTTCTCGGATAAATTGAGCTTCCCATTTTCGGCTCTGATTGAGACAACAAAGGACACGATTCGGTTTTGCATCGCATGATTCCCGCTCAACATCGTCTTGTGCTATTATTACTCACTCATTGTAATCGTCCGACTGTCTCCTGACAAATTAGGCAAATTGCCTCGTCTTTGCGCACTGACTTTCATGAAGTGGTTCATAGCGGATTGCCCGAGGGGGCCGCAGACGACAACAGCAAACAATCAGCTTGAATGCGCCGGCAACTATACTCGCCCTCGTCGCTCGGCCGATGACGGTTGAGCGAACGCATTCATTTCACCAGTCCCCTCACTCCTAGCCAAATTGGTGCCCTACCTACCGGACCTTCCGCTCTCTCCATGTCAACGGATTCCGAGCATCAACGGATTGGAACCGCGCCGTTATCATTGTCATCGATGTCGTTCAAATCTCGGCCCCTGTCCGCCGAATCCGACCAGCATTAGCTGATGTGTCTGGATCGGCCTTAAATGGGCAAGAAATACATGTGCCCCACCGCCACAGGATGTTATATATCACATCCTCAACATCAATACGTAAAGAGGGAGGGCTGTATCGGTTGTATACGGCGTGTATTGAAGTAACATTAGGCCCTCCATTGCCGTAGCTCTGCCTTTACTGTAATCCGTCGGCAAAGGTCAAAGGTCAGACGAACCCCGCACTCCAGTCCCGATGCCGAACATTGCCGCCACTGCTCCGATACTTCCTTTTTTTCCTTTTTCATTCGACTCGACAGAGCCGCTTTTTTGTATGTACCGGCACACCTGCATTTCTTGTATTCGGTTATGGGAAATCATATCGAACAGCAGTTAGTAAGGTGCGCCTCCATGCCTCATCTCCATACAAGAGTGCTGCCCCCTCAATCTGAATCCAACGGTGTTGTGGAACAACGCCAAGAGAATAACCGATGCCAAATACCTATCACCGCATCACTACGATAGTTCCTTGATAACTATGTACCCCGACGACTCTTCAATATCCCATGAAGAAACGGTTAAGTGACCTAGTTAGGTATACGGGTCTAACAACACCGTTGGCATTACGCAAACGAAAACTCTGTACACTTGAAATCGGTATACTATTACATTTACCGAACCAAAGAGTTACTATTGAACTACTAACACCTGGGGAGATGCCATAAGCCTGTAAGTATCGATACTCAGAATATCTAATATTACTCCGTTTCTGGCTGAAGGACGTGATGACCGGATTCTAGACGCGACCTACCAACATGCAGCCCCTCAAAATCCACAACGGCCCCCCAGACTCCGGTCCAATCCCGTGAAAAGCCATCGTCATCCTAGAGGAGCTCGACGTTCCATACAAGTATACGGAGCACGTAATTGTACACGCATATTACAAGTACGCCCCCATCCTATGTACACATATGAGGCTGGCATCGAAGAGGCTTGTAGCACCGATATACACTAATGTGTACTCCGTAATTGCTCGATAATGCAGAGGACATAATCGATTAGTGCCATGTAAGCTGTGCACGCAACTATATATGTACATGTACCTGTGCTGTCTACTGGCTACACCTTACATCCAATCCTGCCGACACTCGTCATCCCTTCATCTAAACAAGCATCGTCAAAGGCACTGATTGAGCTACAATGTCTATAACTACGGTAACCAAGACCGTTCAAGCCCAGCCGACAGAGCTCCGCTCAATCGACGACGGAGTCCTGAACTGGAACGTGCGCAAGACCGAGAGTCTACACGTCATCCCCACATTTATAGACCGGGAAGCGGAGCGGACATGGGCAAAGCAGCACATGGCTGCCGCGTTTCGCACCTTTGCGCGACTGGGCTGGGCGGACGGCGCATCCGGGCACATCAGCCTGCGCGACCCCGTAAACCCGGAGTGGTTCTGGATCAACCCGTACGCGAAGCACTTCTCCCTCATGAAGGCGAGCGACCTGGTCCTCGTCGACCACAACGGCAGGCCGGTGCTCCCGACACCGCACAAGGTCAATGCCGCGGGTTTCATTATCCACTCGTCCATCCACCGCGCGCGGCCTGACATTCATGCGGCGTGTCACATGCACTCGCCTGCTGGGAGGGCGTGGTCATCATTTGGGAAGGGAATAGAGATGCTAAACCAAGGTAAACAACCCTTCTTTCGGATCGTTGATAGGTATCTGTCGTCTAACCCTGTGGAATTTCCAGATTCTTGCATGTTTTACGACAATCTGGCCGTCTATGAGGGGTTTGGGGGCATCGTTCTTGCGGAGGAAGAAGGTCTTCGTCTTGCAGAGGCTCTCGGGGACAAATGCCTGAATCTCATTCTACAAAATCATGGGTAGTGTCATCCCCCTCCCCCTCCTTCAAGATTTGCATTCTTTATTGCACTTTGCTAAGCTATGTTCTTTTGCGAAGACTCCTCTCATGCGGCTCAACCGTCGATGAAGCTGCTGGTTATTTCATTGCCTTGGAACGTGCATGTGCTAATCAAATCTTGGTTGAATCGGCGGCTGCGAATGGCGTGCCTAAGAAACTTGTTGGAAAGGAGGAGTGCGAGTATACCTGCAATTGTACCTCTACCCCTGAATGTATGTATATGCAGTTCCAGCCTGAGTATGACTTGACGGTGGAACTATCCAGGGGAAAGGTGCTTGAATAACGTCTCAAAGAGACATCGTATTCACGCATCGATGGATCATTAGTACCAAGGTCCCTGTATCCCACTACGATCGTGATACAGAGATTCGATGACTGTGTACTCGTCGGATAGTACGCTAAATTCCACAGGGGTTATTCGCAATCTATAGAATCGTAGCATGTATAAACATTTGAACAATACGAGTACATGTATGTACCTGTACAGAGCATCCTTTTCGGAGGTAAGCTGGTTCCACGGGTGGTAGATGATGTTCCTGCTAAAGGCCTTTGCTTTGCGGGCAACATGATAGAGATCAGTGAGATGTTGGCTGGCGATTCCACGTAAGGCATGATCAGTCTAAGTGAGGACTTTGAAATCGCAACTTACCTGCCAGGACCGATCGGTGGAAACCACAGCAAGTAAGGCATAAGGGGACTCAGGAGGCCATATAAGTAGCCGTCTTCATGAAGGGGTCCAGCGAACAATACAGATTACATATCCCTCACTATTGGCACCCTCACTACATTGCCACTACTTATATCGTCCATACTGTCTTAGATGTTTTCTATTACAGTATTACTTTTCAAGCCTGGGTTTAGTATCCTGTTGTCGTTTTCGCCATGCATTGTCGTACCCGTATTCGTATTAGTAGTATTATGTAAGCAGTGGATTGGACTTTCCTATTCCTCCTCCAAATGAGTCCAACTTTACACATGTCCTGACGAACAATCCCATATGACGAGGGAAACACAGCGGCATGTCAACGGAACTGACGGCGACTAGCTCACTGCTGGGCTCGGCCGCCCTGTTTGACAATCCCGTCTTCGCTGGGGGTATCGGGCTGGGAGCCCTCGGTGCTGCGGTGGCTTTTGCGCGCAAGGGAGCCATCGCTGCGGTAGGAGCAGCTCGGCGACGGCTCCTGGTCAATGTAGAAATCAGCAAGCAGGACCCCGCGTACCCGTGGATCCTAGCATGGCTCTCGAAGCCTCGCAACACGCCGGGCTTCATCGCCTCGCGGCTCACGCGCATTCACGACATGTCTGTGACAACGACAACATCCGCGCGAGGACCCCCCGGATCGAGTGGACCGACCAACGCGAGCTTCTTCCTACAACCAGGCTACGGACGGCACATTGTCAAGCACGGCAGTGCATACATCGCAGTCAACAGAGAGAAACATAGCACAGCCAACATGAACACGGGCGAGCCGCACGAGATACTGCAGATGACGACGCTGTGGGCGCACCGCCATGTGTTTGAGGACGTGTTTGGCGAAGCGCACCGGCTGGCGGCACAGGCCAACGAGGGCAAGACAACGGTCTACTCGGCGCGCGGGCTGGAGTGGGGACAGCTGGGCGACCCGAGGACCAAGAGGCCGCTGGCGTCGGTCGTGCTCGACGAAGGCGTCAAGGAGAACATTGTCAGTGACGTCAAAGACTTCATGTCGCGACAGCAGTGGTACGTCGACCGTGGCATCCCTTACCGCCGTGGGTACCTGCTCTTCGGTCCTCCGGGGAGTGGCAAGAGCTCCTTCATCCAGGCTCTGGCTGGCGAGCTCGACTTCAGCGTTGCCATGATCAACCTGAGCGAAATGGGCATGACGGACGACAAGCTGGCCTACTTGCTCACCAAGCTGCCCAAGAGGAGCTTCCTGCTGCTCGAGGACGCCGACGCGGCCTTTGTCAACAGGAGGCAGAGAGAATCGGACGGCTATAACGGCGCTACCGTCACCTTTTCCGGCCTCCTTAATGCCTTGGATGGCGTCGCCGCCAGCGAAGAGCGCATCGCCTTCCTGACCACCAACCATATCGACCGCCTCGACCCGGCCCTCATCCGTCCCGGACGCGTCGACATGATGGCACGCATCGGCGAGGCCACGCGCTTCCAGGCCGGTCTCATGTGGGACCGCTTCTACGGCGACGTGGACAAGGATCACTCTGGCAGGGAGAGGTTTCTCACTCGTCTAACTGAGCTCGGCCTCTTTGGTGTCAGGGAGGACGGCAAGGCATCTAATCGCCACACGAGTACGGCTGCCATCCAGGGTCTGTTCCTCTTCAACAAGAATGACATGGAGGGGGCTATCGGCATGGCTGAAGGACTCATCCCGCGCAAATTCGAGCCTGAAGATGCGGGTTCCGAAGGGGCCATCAAGACACCAGCGTAATGGCCCTAAAGGCGCATATTTACATGTAGACATGTGTACTATGCTTGTACTATTATTCGTGTAGAATACAATATACCCCCTTTGAATATGGCATATAAATTGGAGGGGAAATGATTTGATCGATTATTCCGTGGCCAAGTGTGACTCATTGCGTGCAGAAGGGACAAGTTGCCTACTTGTCACGGTTCGGCCTCTCGACAAAATTGCGGGTGGCCTAGAAAGGAGGGGGGGGCAATTTCACATTGATGACTTGAGGCTGACATTTCACAAACCAGATACACAACCAACAGCACCTCTCAACTCCTCTCGACCAGAAATGAAAGAAAGGGAAATAGATGCCGCATTGTGACTGCGAGATTTTCAAAGGAATTCAGAGATGGAACACAAACAAACTACGCTAGACTCGTGGCTCACTAGGGGCCGACCGAAGCGACCAGAAGCTACGGCGACGACGACGTCCCGACGTGAAGCGCGAGAACCAGAGCCCCGCAATTCGCGCTTCCAAGCACCGCGAGACAACCCAGCACAGCGAGAAGAGCTCGCGCGCGTGGCCCATGAAACAAGGGAGGTGCTCCCGGGACTCCTAGCCCAGCTACCGGGTATACAAGCTAAGAGGGGTGAAGTTGTGCATCTACGGGGGCTGTCGAGCTTACGAATATCCGACTGTCCCAGAACCGGCGGGGCGTGTATCAAGATTGTCAACATGGATACGCTCGATGCAGCGATGCGGCTGAGGAGAGAGTTTCCTGGGCCCCGATCGCGTGTTGCGGTGCTTAACATGGCAAGCAACACTCACCCGGGCGGCGGATGGCGCACAGGTGCCATGGCACAGGAGGAGTCCATCTGCTACAGAAGCTCTCTGTACATGTCACTGCACCGGCGGCATTATCCCTGGAGCCAGCGCATGGGAATCTACACGGGGGACGTGGTGGTGATACGGTCCAGCATGAGATCGGGGCACAAACTGCTCGTGCCTGACTGTGCGGTCGACGACCTTCCCATTGTCAGCGTGCTGAGTATCGCGGCTCTGAGGTGCCCCGCGACGAGAAGCGTCACGCCCCCAGTATCGAAGATTGGCGACGACAGCTCTGCACAGCATCAGCAGAGGACGGTATATGCCAATTATAAGGATCGCGACCTGACAGTGGACAAGATGAGGCTGTGCTTGCGCATGGCAGCGTCGCACGGTCATACGCAGCTCGTTCTAGGGGCTCTAGGGTGCGGCGCATTCAGGAATCCGCCCCGCGAGATTGCCGAGTGTTGGCTAGAGGTCCTCACCGAGCTCGAGTTCCAGGGAGGATGGTGGGATCAAGTGTGGTTTGCCGTGTATGATGCTAAGAATGAGGGGAATTTTGAGCTGTTCGAAGAGGTCCTAGGCAATGTACAGGTGTAGGCCTCGGAGTTATCGAAATAGTATAATATGATTAGTATCAATCCATGGCTATTGTTACGGGCCGCACCGTGGCTTTGTTTCCCCAGAGTTGTGCATTGTCTATATGTGTCTCACTTGTTCTAGTATCAAGACATACAAGAGTCGATCCATTCGGATAGTTATGCTCAGCAGACTTCTATGATTCTTCCATGCCGCAAAAATGAAACATGACGCAATAAGAAGAAAAAGAGATGCAACCATTGAAATGAAGACGCACTAGATCCTGCGGAGCCTTGCCCCGCTCTGCTGCTGTCTTTGGAGCCCATCTCCACATTGAATCTCCATCTGCCCGCTGCTCATTCGATGGAAGCGAAGAAATACCGAACAAACCCTAGCAAAACGCCACTGATGTCGTGATCCGGCTTGTCGAATCCGGATATTATTATGGCAACATATTATGCCATTGAGAAGAGAAGAAAAAAATCAGATGTCTGCTGCCCATTGAAAGAGAAGAAGAAGAAGACAGTTGGCCCAGAGGCGAAAGAAAAAGAAGAATACTCAAGAAGAGGCAGAACAACCCTTTCGAATAGCGGCTAGTATTGTTATTGATCATTCATGCGCATCTCATATGTGTATGTATTGATTCAAGTATGATTCTGCTTTGTACCTACCAACTTTGCCTAGTAATATTTTCCCCTCCGAGAAAACGGCCAAGCTTGTCGACGGATACAAGGACCCCTGTCTAGGTTGAGAAAGAGTCACGATAACGTGATTGTCGGCAGCCAACAAGCTCTTAAGATATTCCTATCGATTAAGCCCGTCGATCTTTCCCTCTCTTCTTCTTCCTTCTTCCTCCTCCCCTCCATAACTCTCTCTCTCTCTCTCTCTCTCTCTTTCTCTCTCTCTCTTGCGACAACGGCCGAGGTTCTTCCTAATTCGCCTTCAGTTGAGCCCAGCGCAGCAAACCTCCACACACATTCGCTGCCCGGGCAATTGAGAGAGCTAGAGAGGTTGAGCAAAGAAACGCCGGAGGGGGGAAACAGCCCGGCGCCAAACAAAGAGGAGAAGAGAAGAAGGAGGAGGAGGAGGAGAAGAAGCAGAAACTATGGCTGGATTTGGAAAATTCGATGATTCTAATCGGGCACAATATCCCGACGACGGTCAGGCCGACTACTCATACGAAACGGCCAACTATGACAGCGGCAATCTCGAACAAGGTGGCGGCGATGGCCGTGGAAGCAGGAGCGCATCGCTTCATGATCCGGACTCGGGTGTCAAGAGAGGTCTCAAGAACCGCCACCTATCTATGATGGCCTTGGCCGGCATCATCGGTCCCGGTCTCCTTGTTGGTGCCGGAGGTGCGCTGCGAAATGGAGGGCCGGCCTCTCTTATTATCGGTTTTGGCGTGATTGGTGAGTTTTGGACAGGGTTAGGTGTATGTCCGTGTATGGATGTGTGTATTTGCATGCATGTATACATGGACGTATGGGTAATACATTATATATATATGCGCGCGTGTGTGTGTGAATGCATGGTGCATACCAAGATTGATGCTGACCATCTCAGGGATCATCGCCTTCAACATCATGCAGTCCCTAGGCGAAATCACGACCCTCTTCCCCGGTGGCGGCTCCTTCGTCTCCCTAGCCGAGCGCATGGTCGACCGATCGTTCTCCGTGGCTGTGGGTTGGAACTACTTCATCATCTGGGCCTTCGTCCTGGCCAACGAGTACAACATCGTGTGCAGCATCCTGACGTATTGGACGCCCGACGTACCGCTCTGGGGCTGGTTCCTGATCCTGTGGACCCTCTTCCTTGGCTTTCAGCTGCTGGGTATCAACGCCTTTGGCGAGGCTGAGTTCTGGCTCGCCCTGGTCAAGCTCCTCGGCCTGACCGCCTACTTCGTCTTCGCCATCATATACGCCGCCGGCGGGCTCATTGGTCAGAGCGAATCCGTGGGGTTCAGGTACTGGCGCGATCCGGGCGCCTTCAACGACGAGGGCTTCCGCGGCGTCGCCACCGTCTTCGTCTTCTGCTCCACCTTCTACGCCGGCGTCGAGTCCGTCGCCATCGCTGCCACCGAGACGCGTAACCCCGGTATCGCCGTGCCCCAGGCCATCCGCCAGGTCTTTTGGCGCATCATCTTCGTCTACATGGGCTCTGCCTTCTTCTTCGGCCTCACCTGCCCAGCCAACGCTGAAGGTCTCGCTGGCAGCGGTGCCAAGGCCCTGCAGAGCCCCATGACTATCGCCATTCGCACCGCCGGTTGGGAAGGAGGTTAGTAATAGTGACACGAGCCCCGCGCCGTGCAAGGCAGCATACGAAACTGCTCAACTCCAGGATATGTGTATACATGTAGATTGACCGTTCATACAGGCGTCCACCTCATCAATGCCTTCATCCTCGTCACCTGCGTCTCGGCCATCAATTCGTCCATCTACGTCGGCTCCCGCACCGTCCTGTACATGGCTCAGTCAGGCAAGGCCCCGCGCATCCTGGGCTGGGTCAACTCGCATGGCGTACCCGTGTGGGCCATCCTGTTGACCAACGCCGTCGGCTCCATCTCCATGATGAATGTGTCGACCGGCTCCGCCACCGCCTACAGCTACATTGTCAGCCTGTCGGGTGTGAGCACCTTCTTGGTCTGGGGGTCAATCAGCTTCATTCACATCCGCTTCCGTCGCGCCTGGTCCGTCCAGAACCGCGACGTCAACGACATGCCCTACCGCGGCCTGTTCTGGCCTTTCAACGCCTATTTTGGCCTCGTCGCCAACCTGTTCCTCGCCCTCGTTCAGGGCTGGACCACCCTCTCACCCTTCTCCGCGCCCGACTTTGTCGTCGCCTACATCCTGTTTCCCGTGTCTGGACTCATATATCTGGTCTGCAAGATTTACTGGAGGGGAAGTGACAAGATCAAGAGAGCACACGAGATAGACCTCGACAGCGGCAGGAGGGTTGATCTGGACCGCAAGGACGTGGGACCTACTACTGTGGGGGACACCAAGCCGGCTCTTACGGTTCTCAAGAAGGCCTGGGCCTGGCTCTGAGCTCCCCCGCATCCTTCTCGTTCAAAATAACGAAACATGAAGGCATATATACCCAGTCACTTTCCTGTTTTTAACTGCATGTAGCTTAAATGAATATGGAGGTGAAGTCAAAAGCTCCTAGGCCATGTATAATGCCGCTCTATTCTGCCATCTTGGAGCAGAATCCGAACCCGAATACGCTGTAACCCGCAGGAAGCAGGCCGTGAATTGTGTTGAGCTGTATGGCTGTAGGTTGTGAGCGTAGTTATATCCATATTCACAACGCAGCTCCTTCCTCAGCTTATGCTAAGAGAAACAGCAGTGAACACATTTCACTGAATGCCAATATTTGGCAACGCCGTGTTGCATGAGATGGACCCTTTGTGGCAAGATGGTAGACACCCCCTCCCCGGGGCACTGGGCGACCTTCTCGTCCTAGCGTCGTTGCACTTGGCTGGCCCATTGCCAAGTTTGGAGATACTCTGCCAAAAAGACGAATCACCTGCAAAATCGGACTCGACGGGGAGGAAATATTTCTGAACAGGAAGCACGGCCACCTCAATGCCGAAGAGATCTAGGGACCCCTCGACACCTGTATTCAGATCCGACGTCGTGTACGGCTGCCCCAACTCGAAATTGATAGAGAAAAAGAAGTTTGTCCAGCTTAGCTTGACACAGAGGGCTTTCGAGGACCATGTGCCGCGGATCGAAGACGACGCACTAGGTCATATCAAGTAATCTGGCGTGGGTGCGTCGGGTGGCATCTTCGACGTTTACGAGACACTTTCTGAGATCACAATAGTCACCGCTAGGCAGGCGCTCCGAAGTGAGGATGTTCGAGAGAAACTCAATCAGGAGTTTCCTTCGCTGTCCACAACCTCGACATGGGTTTCCAGCCAGTCAACTTCATACTGCCCTGAGCGCCTCTTCCGCGCAACCGCAAGAAATACTGGCACACACCAAGGTACGGTCCATTACATCAAGATCGAAACTCGAGACCAGAGGCGGCAAAATAAGCAGGAGGCTGGGTCCGACATAATGTAGAACCCAATGTCGTGTAAATATAAGGAATGGCGTCCCATCCCTGAAAAAAATATTGCCCACATGATGAGAACCCTTTTGATGGCCAGTTAGCACACGTCTTGTGGCCAGTTTGTGGGATCATCCTACATCTTGCTACCAGGCCCTACATCGCCGAGGAGTCGTACCACGAGTAGATGGTAGTGGCCGGAGAGGGGGGGGGCTCGTCTCTAGTATGCCAACCTAGACAAGATACTCTTATTACGCAAATTGATCAAGGAGGCTCCCCGCATACGCTCGTCCATAAGCTTAATCATGCGCACGGTAACATCCTATAATTTCCTAACATCATCTAGACTGCTAGGGTCAGCCATAGAGGTGAGAGTGATGATGATAGAAATTACAGCATCGGCAAGAAAAACATATTCGGAGGAACGCGAAGCCTCTATCTCCCGTCAGGGGCTGGGAGGCACAGGTGCATCGGAGAGATGGTTGCGTATCTCAACTTCGACATCATTGTCGCCACCATGCTCCACCACCATCACTTTCACACGATTGATGATAGTTGCACAGTGCCATCGACCGACTTCGCCTTTTTGTTTTCACGTCCTGTGCAGCCAGCCGTCGTGCGTTGGGGGCGTCGCGATGCAAAGGGGAGTGAAAAGTGGATGAGGATGTCATTGTGTGGTACCATGCTCCTTCTGCTACCAGTCCATCACTATCAAAGGAATAATATACAGTAGCCTTGGAAACATTCGAAAATATGATATAATAGAAACGAGTTATTGGAAATGACAGATTGAACCCTTGTCGAAACAAACAACAAAACAGAACAAAAGCGACTTGCGCCATGGATGCACTGGGTAGTACTTATAGAATTCGTAGAGTTCCGATGGAAGATCAATTGACCGGGCCCCGTCAGATAACTAAATGGTCACGGAGGGTCGCTTAAGGGTCGGTGCCGGTGCCCCGTAAGAACCCCCTGTGGGTCCCCTGGAAAGGTCGAAAGTCTCCACTGTAGCTGGCAAGAGCTGGCGGGATCGACGCTGGCGATTGCGCCAAAGTCAATGACCATCCATCCCTATGCGTCAAGTCTCCTCCTCTCCATTCCACCTTCAAGACAGCCCACACCACACGCCACACCCACACGCTCTCTCCAGCTCTCTTCTTTCTATACAGAGAGCTTCTTGGCTCTTACCTTGAACCTCGACGTTCTCACATCACCGACCGATTCGACGCGCGAATTTCTCTCTCCGTTTGAACCGACTAGACCGGATGCCACCGAGATAGATACCCCCATCATCAAATCACACCCCTCCCCACTCTTTGATCACGACCCCTCCCCCTTTGAAGGAACTCGTGACACCCGTGGACGCCTTTTTACGATCTCTCGAAGCTCTGCGCGACCCCATACCGTAATACTCCCCGCCCATATTCTCTCGGACTCGCTCGCCCGCCCCCGTGCTGACGAATGGTTCAACCAGGCCACCGAGCAAGTCGAATGAATGCAACCGCTAAACCCCTTCCTGGCCGCCTTCTTCAAGAGCTCGGTAGCCTCGCAGTGCACCCCGGTACACCACTATATCCTGCTCGTGCCACTGACAGATGTCCTCTTGACTTCGCGTGAGACGGAGACGGGCGCTCCCTCCAGCGAGGTCATTGCCTCGGAGGACTTCCTCGCCAGCCACGTCCTGCGCGTCCCGCCCCCGGGCTCTGGGCCCGGAGCCAAGGATGGCGTGCCCAACTTGCGCGAGGTGAGAGGCAAGGCAAAGCAGGTGTCGACTCTCAACGGGAGGAGCGTCGTCATCAAGGACTCTACCGTCTACAGTAACAAAGGTACGTCATCTGTAGCTATTATTGGCCTTCGAACCGTGCTAGGATCTGTCTGCTAACCACCTTCAACCCACCCATCTAGGCTTCAAAAGCCTGGCACAGGCACAGGTTCTGAGCGATAACACCTTCTACCCTGATGCTTTTGAAGCCCGACAATGGCTCATCTACTACATCTCGAAACCGTTGGTCGGCACCTGGGAGGAGGTCAGGCTCACGCCTGCCGTACTCATCCCCGGAGTGAGGAAGAGGAAGATGGTAGAGCAGCAGAGGGCGTCCAAGGCTGCAAGCGCATCCGACGCTGACCTGCCCAAGAAGAAGGACATCCAGAGCTTCCACGACCTGCTCAACAACTTCCCCATGATCGCTCGCCAGATGCACGCCGGCCTCGAGAGGCTCTTCCTTGAGTTCAACAATGTCTTCCAGAAGCCTTTGCCTCCTCCCCCGTCTGCTACCGAGATCCCCGACCCACTTCCTGACGGCCCCATAGCTTCCGCCATGAGGAGGGCCCGTTCGAGTAGCTTGTCCAGGTATGGGGAACAGGGTGTACAGCACCTGCCAGTAACTGACGACTTCTATGCCGAGGACGATGAGGATATCATGAGGGCGTCGTTGGAGTCCGCCGTCACCACAGCCATTGACATATTTCAAGGCGTAGACAGGCAGCAACTGTCTCTCCTAGGTGCGACAACTGACCTGACGGGGCCATTGGTGGAGAAGCTCATCGAGCGCTACGTCACAGAGAATGTCCATCGCCTCCTCTTCCCCCGGCTCAACGCCATGAAGCGTCCAGAGGACATTGACCTCGAGAAGAAGATACACCAGATGGAGTACATCGACATCTCACAGCTGGGCATCGCCATCGATGGCGGCCAAAAGGGAAAGCACGACCTCATCATTCAGATCGACCCCGCCATTGAAGAGTTCAGGAAGATTGCGACCGCACTGAGCCCTCAGGAAATGATGGATCTGTTGCTATCCACAATCAAGAGGGTATCCCACCTGACGGAGCCAGTTCTGGCGGGCGGCCCGGCCGAGCTTCACTCGGAAAAGACGATGATGACGGTGAATGCGGATACGCTCGTGTCTCTGCTGTTGTACGTTGTCATACGGTCCCAGGTGCGCCACCTGAATGCGAGACTCAGCTACATACGAAGTTTCATCTTCATCGACGACGTCGACTCGGGAGAGCTCGGGTACGCCTTGAGCACTTTCGAGGCGGTCCTAACCTACCTATCCATGGACTCGTCCGGGCTGAGGCGCGCGAGCAGGAGGAACAAGGCGTTGTGGAACTCTGCTAAGAAGGGCGACATGGAGACGTTACGCAGCATCCTTGAGCCTAGTTCGGCAGCCGACGGTGCCGGACAAGATTCGCCAGATTCGCCCAGGTCTAGGCGAAACTCGGCCACCTGGAGCGCTTCCAACGGGGAGGGTAAATCTAGGAGGTCTTCGTGGACGTTCACCCTTTCGGAGCGCTTCTCGCATGGCTCCGGTCTGAGCCACGTGTTTCCGTTCCAGTCGGATGGGTATCATGATGACAATGGGTCGACGGCGGCGCCCAAGAAGATCAAGCGGGTGGCCATGGATACGCGAAGCCTATCAAGCGGATCGGAAATATCATTCCAGTCGCACACGGCGAGTGTGGCCAGCATAGGTAGCGCCCAGGAGGGCGACATCTCGGCGGAGCGACTGTCGCAGACAAACAACGCGTTTGGCGAATCAGTGCCCATGATGGCGATCCAGAACAAGCAACCCGAGGTGCTACGGTACCTCCTGTCGCTCTCGGAGCACTACCCGCTACCGACGGTATTGGACGATATGAACAACGAGAACACGACGCTCCTGAGTGCGGCGGTGCAGCTGGGCCACGCGGAGCTGATTGACATTGTCTGGGGCTTTGTAACAACGAAGTCAAGCGATGCGGAGATTGTGGACTACGTGGCGCGCCAGGATATCTGGGGCCGCAGCATAGGTCACTACCTGTTCCACGCACCGTTTCTCATAGAACAGATCGGGCACATCATACCGTGGCGGCAGCGGGACAAGAACGGGCAGACGCCGCTGTTCGCCCTCTGCAGGTCGTATGACCACGGCAACTACCACGACATGGTTGAAGCCGCTCTCGAGGCGGCCAGGAGGGCGCAGCGCGACGGGGAGCCGCTGCACGTGGACGAGCATGTGGACAACAAATCCAACACGCTGCTACACATCATCAACGATGCGCAGCTGGCGCTCACCATTCTGCAGCGATGCGACGTGGACGTAAACGCGACCAACGAGAGGCGGTTCACGCCGCTGATGGTGGCGAGCAAGTACGGGCGATACGACATGGTTCGGGCGCTTTTTGCAGACCCCAGAGTAGACGTTGGAGCCAAGGAACTGCGAGGGCTCACAGCGGTGGAGCTGGCCAAGGACGACGAAGTCCGGAACCGCATAGACGACCTGGGACTGTTCAGCATGGTGCCCGGGCGTGACGGGCGGATAACGGGAGTAGTGCGGGCCTTCTTCGTCGAGGACGGCAGCGTGCGGCTTGTGCTCAAATCAGCGGCTCCCACGGACCGGGAGAGCTACACAGTGACGACGAGCCGGCGGTCGCTGACGGACTTTGAACAGCTGATGCAGCTGCTGGGCGAGGAGCACCCGGCGTCGTGGCTGCCGCCCATGTCGGACACGCGGTCACCCTTCCAGATCCCGTCAAAACCGTCGCGGGCGATCCTGCGCGACATCCAGGCCAAGACGGACTCGGCGCTGAAAGTGATGCTGGGCCACCCGACGTTTGCGACGCACGAGATGCTATGGGAGTTCTTCCTGGTCCCTGAACTGCAGCTGGACACGATGCGCGAACGTTCCAAGCTTAAGGCCGAGGCCAGGGTGGAGCGTGTCCGCGACGAGTACGAGCCCATCACCGAAGTGAGGGAGGTGGAGCAGTTTGTCAACCATGCTCGCGATATGGTCCGGAGCGTCAGTCACTCGACCAAGAGTGTTACAAGGCGAGCCAACAGCACTGGAGTGGCAGCAGCAGGTGAGAGTTATCTCTACTTGCCAAGCACGGGGCAGAAAGAAATGGGTACGGATATGGCTAACAAGATTGGAAACAGACATGTACGACTCGTCTGTCCTCTTACACCGAGCAGTAACGACATTACCGTTTCTTCCGAACCGATACGTTGACGCGTTCGAGACGTATGTGCGGGCATTGACACCTACGCAATCAAGCCCGGAGATGACGCTCCACACGTCGCTGCTGGGAGTGCAGTCCACGGTGCAGGGCCTGTTGTCGGCGCTTTCGCGGCCTCTGACGTTAGTGGGCCAGATCCAGTCAGCCAGGCGGGAAGCGGAGCGCAGCCAGAGTTCTACGTCACGGTCGTCACGGTGGCCTCTAGGCTTGCTAGACGACACGCGACAGCGGATGCAGGATGAGAAGGAGAAGCGGGCTCGACGGATCGGCGAAGAGGCCGGTTACTATGCCCGCGAGCTGCGGTACACGCAGCAGACGGTGGCCAGTGAGCTGGCGGGGTGGCAGGACATGCACGACCGGATGGGCAGACGTCTGATAGCCGATTACGCCCGAGGCATGCTGGTGCAGGAGCGCAACAAGCTAGACGGTATGATGAGGGCACTGCGGAAAGTGAGGGGCGTGGCGGAGGAAGGACGGCAGAGGCACTGGGGTCCTCTCCCCAGGTCCCCGCCGGGACTGAGGATGCAGGATAGGGAGATGGCGGAGGCGGGACAAGGGCCCGTGGATGAGGCCAGTGGTGGGGGGGAGCGTGTCTGATGGGTGAAAAGCACTAGCAGGGAGGGGAATGGGTGTTTGATCGCTATGGCGTAGATGATGATTTTTTGTCTCATCTATAATTGTTTTACCTCTTTTTATTCTCCTACTCTACTCTCTACATTCTTGTTCTTTTTTTCTATATCATGTTCCAGGACAAAACACTTGTCGAGGCCAGTTTTGTTGTTCTTTTACTTGCTGTTTTCTTCTCTCTCTCATATTCGTCAAGTATGATGTACAGTGGATACAAAGGTAACGGTGTTTCTATATTTTTCGTTTCTACTTGTACGTGACCCCGAAACAAGGGCGGAATGAAACGTTTTTCGGACAAGACCTACCCCAACCTTTCTTTTTCCCTTTCCAGGACGGTGTTACAGATCTTGAGGCTGTGCATGGAGCTAAGTGTACACGTAGGGTGGTGGTGTCGAAGATGTAATAGAGAGAGCCTGGATGCCAGTGAGTGACGATTCTGTGGCGGCCTCCAGCTAGTGAGACTTGGTTGACGGTGGAGTCGTGGGTTTCAGAGGCGGTCTCGCCGGTCGGTCTGGTTGGACGTGGACGTCATCCTGAGCAAGAGATCGAGGAGGACACTAATGAATGCAGAGATGGGAGAGAAGAGTCATACCATCTCTCTGTTTTCTCGCGCAAATGCAGATGCAGATGCAAGACGAGTGGATTTCCTTGACTCTTTTTTTCTGTCATGAACGTGCTTCTCGTGATGGCGCGCCATCATCAAGACACGCGAAAGACGCGATGGAAAAAAGAGAAGAACAAAGAGCGTGGACGTGGCGTGGCGCGAATTGGACCGTGGCAGTGGGGCTTCTGACCAATGGGGTGTAAGAGATGCTTGATCGCCCCCCCCCCCCCACCCCCCGTGTTGGATACGCGCCCGGAACTCGGGAGCGCGCCTTTCTGCGGGGCATTTCCTACTCCGCGTAGTACGGTAGAGCCTAGAGGGGATGACTTCCAGGCATTACGTGTAAGGGAGTACGGAGTACGGGTAGAGGGAGTGTTGGCTGGAATCTTAGAAAGTAATCTCCGCAGGCGCCCGGTGTCAGGAAGCGCCAGTATAGACGCCGCTGTACGACTCAAGTGCCGTTAGTAATAATACAGAGTACGTGCGGCAATGTCAAGTTTGTTCTACTGTTAGTCTAGTGGTCTAGTACCGACTGGAAAGCTAGACTGTGAGAGCTTCCAAAAATAGACGTGCAGATATTCTTGTCTTCTGTATTCTATACTGGTACTACTACTGCTGCTACTACTACTACCACTGCTGCTGCTGCTACTACTACTACTATTACTACTACTACTAGTGCATCATAGACATAGATCCAAGCAATCAAGAGAGTCGAAGAAAAATAAACAAGGACAAATGAAAACACGGAAAGAAGGGAAAGCGCGTTGCGTGTGCGCGTGCGTGTGCGTGTGTGTGTGGAAGGAGCGAGCAACGGGGAAAGAGCGAAAGATACACGACAGACGGGGGGGGGGCGTGGGGAAGGAGGGACTGACAGCGACAGGGAAGGAGCATACGTCTCAACTGCCGCCGACGACCACTCAAATTGGCCACGATGACGGGTTCCGAAATCTACACTGTGTCTCCTCTAAAATTCTACCAGCATCAACAGTATGTACAGTGTTAGTAATGCCATTAGTGCGGATGATCGTCAGTGGGACCCTTGGGACGCGGCTCGGGATTCTTCCCCCTCTTCCATTCTCAACGCGGACCTCACATGTACCTCTCTCCTCCTCCCCCAGCCCCAGCCAGCCCCTCTTATTGTCGAAAAGAGGCAATATCAGACCAGAGAGAGAGAGAGAAAGTCGCGTTTCAGAGTTTCTTTGGCGTCGTGTCACTCTCATCGGTTGTTCGTCCCCGGCCCCCCTGCTTTTCTTGTTCTTCTTCTTCCTCTTCAAAACACCCCTGTCGGGCCCTCTTTCTGCCTTTTTGCCTTTTTTTTTTCAACACGCACACACCCCTGCTCTTTTCTCCATCCCAGCTCGACCGACTTACACGCGCGCGCGACAAGAGAGCTACCAAACAGATACGAGTATTGCTCTCTGTACTATCAGTTTTGACTTGTTTGTACTACTTGCTTAGTACTACTGCTGCTAGTAATACTAGGCTATTATCGACTTTATACTGCTGCCGCTGCTGCTGCTGCAGAAGGAAGCCATGGCCATGAAAAAGAATAAGTCTGGCTGCTGCCCTCCTCCCCTCTTGGCCATCTGGATTCAGGCCGCATCATCTCCTTTCCAATCATTCCCTATTAATACCTCAAACCCCTTGTCGTTATCGACCCTGCTTGTTTCCATATATCTCTGCTTCTCTCTACTCTCGTCTTGCCTTGTTCTAGAACCTGGTCGTATAGTAGCTGTGCGGCCCTACCACTTCCTCTACTCTGCATCCTTCGAAGCCCCACGGCTCGACAATCCCATCGCCGCAGCTACTACGTCTGGAGCTGGTCTCTGGGCATCTTAATTCTCGTCTCCTTCTTCCTCTTTTGTTCTCTTCTCAACCGCGAAGAGAATCAGCAATGTCTTCGTATGTCAACCACCCGTCACTCCCGGATTTAACCCCTCTCATCTACCTACTCATAAACATGAGTCACTTTTGCTAACACTCACTCACCTCACAGTCTGGCAGGAGACATGCCCTCTTTTGAATTTACCGGCTGTGCCGCCTACTCGACTCCTTCGCCGCCGATGGACTTTTCCTTTGACACGTCGTCCTTCTTCGACTTCACTCTCCCTAACACTGCCAATGCAGACCTTGGTACTGTTGCCAACTCAAACTACAGCCAGTACATGACCCCTCGTCCAGCCACACACTCACATTCACACACTCGCTCGTCGTCTCGCGGGTCCACATACTCGGCCATTTCCACCGTCGAGTCTACCCCTGACTCTGCCTGCACCCGCCTCACTACGCCTCCCCGGGCCAGCCCCCCCATTCACCATCACGGTGCTCTCCTACTGCCCAAGATCCGTTCGCAGGACCAGGATATCAACGTACCCCCACCAGTGTCCTACCGTCGCCAGAAGCAGCAGCAGCAGCACCAGGCGCGGGTCGCTACCCAAAAGGTTCGCCGGGCTACCTCGGCTGCCGCCCGATCAAGCCATGTCCGCAGCTACACCAACCCAGAGACCCTGACCAACATGGCCTACGCTCACCTGGCCTTTTCTCCTACACCCACACCCCAGGACCACAATCGTCGTCAGCAGCAGCAGCAGCAGCAGCAACAACAGGCTGACAGCCTGTCCAACTCACTCCTCTGCTCCCCCGCCAGCTTCGCTCCCAATGCCGTCGCCACAACATCCTCGGTCAACAACGACGACGAAGCCAGCATCCACGGTCACATTCGCCGCAGCAACAGTGTCGATACCGCCGTCATTGACAAGTACGGCTACCCCACTTACCGTCAAATGCCACTTGTCCAGTCCGAGTTTTGCATGGCGCCAGCCTACCTGGCCCATCACAACCAAACTCCTTTTCAGCTGGGTGGCGGTGTCGACATGACCACAGCTAGCATGGCCACCACCGGAATCACCACAGCTAGTCTGACACCGGAGCCTGAGGCTATGCCGAGCACCACACTTGCTGCCTTCCTCACAAGCCCCAACCCCGCTGCCTCGCTCGTCCGCACCATTTCCTTCCCCCACCGTGACCCTACTATCAAGCACTTTTGGTGGGATGTGCGTAATGTGCGCTCATGGTCCAGCTTCAACGCCGCTGCCATCATGGCCCTCCCCGGTGCCTCGGACCTCCTCACCACGCCTGTCCCAGCCCCGGTCCTGGCCCAGCCGGCGATGCCTGCCCGCCACCCGGAGACTGAGGCTGCCCTGCACGCCATATACGCCTCATACTACCTGCCCAAACTCAACTCAGCCCTGGCCCTCACGTCTGGGCGACCCCTGCAGCTGTCTGCGCCCTCAGCCCACTCCAGAGGCCACCCGGGCGACCTCGTCTTCACGGCCAACCCGGCTGGCGAATCGTCGACGGCCTCGGCCATATTTGGCGGCAAGCCCACTGCTCGCGTTGTCGGCCTGGTCCGTACTTTTGACCGCTTCAACACGGGCATGCGTGCTGAGAGCAACATCAAGCGTGTCGAGTACCTGCGCGGCCTGGCCGCCCTGCACCACGCCATGCGCGAGCACGGCTGCCGCTACGGCTTCATCCTCACCGAGATTGAGCTGGTCCTTGTACGCAACGGCACCGAGGCCACGCCATTCTTCGGCGACTTGGAGATCACCTCTGTCCAGCTTGCTACTGCCTCGGAGGTCTCATATTCCGACGCCAACGACATGGACCCTGAAGGCCTGCCCCTGACGGCCTGCCTCGCCCTCTGGGGACTATGCCAGCTCGCCAATGCCTCCGGAGACCACCGACAGCACCAGCAGGCCCAGCCAGGCCACGCCCACTGGAGGTCCGAGATTGGCGCCCCCGCCGAGGGAACCAGACGCAAAGCTCATCCTAGGGACTCATGGATGCCCGCGCCACAGCTGGCCGAGAAGAGGGAGGCCAAGAGGAGTCGTGGGTGGGTGTTTCCCGAGGATGCCGTTGGTCGAAAGGAGCTGGGCAAGAGGGGTGTCCGCTACAATGGTGTCTGAGTATGGTTATCTTCATCGGTTATTTTCATCTTTTCCCTTGTTCTCTTTTTCTGATTTCCCTCTTTGCCAGCTGGTTCTGGATAGAGAGAGGGGGATGAAGGACGTAAAATGGGTGGCCAACATTCTTTTCTTTTTACCATAGAGCAGTGCTACATGATGATGACGATGAGAGCAGGGTAAGAATTATAATGAATATCGTGTTGATCAACATTGGCCAGGCGTCCTTGTGATTTCAAAGTCAGTGTTTCTTTTCTCCCACAAACAAACGACAAGAGTAGTAGAGTGACGCGAAATCCCCAGTCACCCACGTGCATAATCCATTGCGAACAAGGGCAAGAACAAAGTAAGATATTTGCCAATTGAAACAGTCAAGGCTGAGGCTAGGAAAAGAGGAGATGAGGGAAACGGAAAGAAAACAAAATATAGAGAGAAAGGAGGCGGCTCAATGTACCCCTGTGCCGGCAAAGGTAGGCCCAGGATCGGTCACGGTAGAATTGATGGGAGGGCCAAGGGGAGCTCTTGAGCTTGCCCTTGATCTTGGCTGAGATACTCGACATGGTCGGTATCTTTCTCAGCCGCCAGGTAGCTCTGACGGTCAGTCCGTCGCCAGATGTGCTGCCCCTCTCCTTCCTTATATTTCCTCTTGTCGATGTGGGGTGTCTTCGGCTCTTATGGACCAGGCTAGTGTCCCCGGGACCCTTGGAAGCCTCGTACTGAGCCTCCAACGCTTCGTATAGTGGATATGTGACCGGTGGCATGGGCGGCAAGGATTGGTAGAGCTTGCCGGGGTCTTCAGCGGCACCCGACGGAGCGGCTATCTTGATGACAGTCCACTGTGCCTCGATGACGTCGCGCATGATTTCCACGTCGTCTTGGTCGAGACGAGATACGAGCCTGCGTCCCGTTTCCCAAAGGCTGCCTTGATAGCCCCTGGCGTGCGAACTTTGGCAGGATCAAGTCGATTGCTTAAGAGAACAGGGCTCGCAACGATCCGACGAGGCTTCCGGCGGCGGTGCCCGAGTCCAAGTCGATGCGATGTTTGGCCGTCAGCGACTCGTCACCGGGAGACTCGTAATGTGCCTCGACGGCCTTGGAGATGGATTCGGGAGGCCAAGCTGCTGCCGTTCTAGACACACAATGATGTACCTTCGGTCGGGGTCTTCGCTGGTTACGGTCGACACAGAGCCTCGGGGCAGTTGGTGGCTGGTGTCGCCACAACGCCTAACCACCTCGGACAAGAATAGGCCTTGCCCAGAGCGCATGCAAAGACAGGTTCAGGATAAGCATATTCCAAGTGGCATCAGACGTGGCGAGCTCTCTGCTCTCGGGCGCGAAGAGGCATATCAGACGGCAGCGGAATTCCTCGATCATCACCAGGGCTGGCTATTAAAGGGCAGCACGGATAGAGTCGCGGTCTGTGCCGGTGTTGTTGACTGCGAACGGCCGAATATGGCAAATTGTCACACAAGGTCAGAGGTAAAAAGGCTGGTAGAAAAGTCCCTGGCCGAGGCCTAGAACCAGATGGTTAGCAGATGCTGGGAGCTGGGAAAACTGCACGTTGCAGTTGGGCTTGGGCATGTAGTAGCAGTACAATCTCCGAAACGGCTTGGATCGGCCTTTGGCGTGGCCTGAATGTTGGTCTGCAGTTCCTTCGTCTCTGACGTCCTCATAGATCCTTTGCCTGTCTGGATGAGCCGGGGTTCGTCATTTCGCTGGTCTCCTCAGATTCTGTCTGGTTCCCCAGGGTTCATTTCTGCAGCAAAACTGCGACTCGAATCGTCAGCAGAGAAACCGGCGCGGGGGTGATGATGGTGACAGCGACGATGACTTACAAATAGCCACAAGGCATTTGAGTTGTCGGAGGCATTCGGGGATGCTATGGCTAAAGTTGATGTCGAAAAAAAAGAACCTGAGTCTGTCGTCACCTGTCCGTCAGGATCGGCAACAAGGGAGGGAGGGAAGAAGGTCTCATCTCATCTTTCGTCTGACCTTTGGAGGGTTCTCACTTGGCGCCAGACTCGATGACGATAATCCGACTTCGAACCAAAGGCATGTTGCGTGCAAGAACTTGTACAAGTGAGGAAGGGGGGGGAGGTAGTCGGTGGCAAGAGCACCAGAGAGTCAAGCATACTCTTTTTAAGTTTGTTTGTCCAATGTACCAAAGGCTCCATATGGATCACTATCTACCTCCCTTTGCTGTCAAATCCATCTCATTCTCTTTTTTTTCTTCTTCTCACATATTTCCCTGCCGGGAGCCTCTTGCGGAGAGCTCTTCTCGCTTCGCTCGCTCTCGAGGCATGGGGAGCATTGTCTTTGCAAAAAGGGTCTTCACATTTCAGCCACGGCAATGGTACTTTTCTCCACTCTCCACATTGCAACCACATGAAAAAAAAGTAAATCTCACGTTGAAAATACACAATATTAACTCAAGACTCGTCTTGGACATTGTATTCAGTTTCTTTGACCAGGCCTGGGCCAGGTTGTCAGTTGATATCTATATAAAAAAAATCTTGAATGTGTTCCGAAAGTGAAGAACCCCCAATCCAAATAGAAATAGAAAGTAAAAACAATCCCCATTGATAAAAGAACTCCCTTGTCAGAAAAAAAACCAATTTTTTCTTGTTTTTTTAATAAAAAAATATTTTAATGTGAAGAGAAAGTATTCAAGAAAGAATGTATGTGTAAGAACAAAGTGTTGAAAAAAAATGTGCCGGATTAAGATATATAGGTATTTTTTGTGCAACTTCGTTTTTTTGTTTTCGTCCATCGTTAGGTTTGAAACTTTCCAAGGTTTCAAGAATCGTGAGAAAGGATAGAAGAAAAAAAGAAAAAACTCCTCGCTGTAAAAGACAAGGCTGAATGAATGGCATCGGCACCCCAAAGAGGTGGCCAGGACGGGTGTTGGTTAAGGTTGTTTTGTGCAGGAGAAGTAAAAATATGTGACGGAAGATGTGGTAAATATATGCAGTAGAAACCTGGAAAAGGCGACCTGGCACTGATCCAAGGTATGAAGAGGGTTTTGCTTTGTCTGTAGTGTTTGAGCAATGCCCCCAAACTTCATTTAGAAGTATCCCATCAACGGCATAGGACTTTGTTGAGGAAAGGCAGCCAGGTGAGGCTGACGCATGGGAACCTGCTGAACGTAGCGCATAAAGTCCATGAACGGCCACTTGGATTGACACGTCTGCTGCTGCTGCTGGGGTTGGGAGGCCGGAGGGCACTGCACCGGAACGGGCTGCTGCTGCACCAGATGCGACGCAGGGGCGGCGACAGGACCGGTGTACTGATGCTGCTGCTGCTGAGGAATAAACTCTTGACCGGGGAAGACAGCGTCCATGTGTATGGCGCTCTCGGCCTCGTACGTCGGGGGTATGTAGCTGAACGACGACGAGACATCGTGGTGGGCGACGGTGGCAAGGACGGCAGCGGCGTTCTGCTGGCGCTGGCGCTGGCGCTGCTGCTGCTGCTGCTGTTCCTGGATAAAGTCGTCGTCGATATCCGAGATGGTAGAACCACTCGAGGTGAGAGACTCATCATCCGAGTCGGACTCGGGAGAGAGGTAGTCATCGTCATCGATGATGGCAGACTCGGAGGCAGAAGAGGAAGAGGGGACAACGTATGGCGATTGGGAGAAGTGGTCGGGGGAGTCGGGGGGGGTGGGGAGGGAGGCCGGCACCATGGGGACGACAGCCTTGGGAGGGACGGTGAGGTTAGGGCAGGCCTTTATGAGATTCCTGAGCTCAGGGAGGGTGATGCGGTTCTCGGGGGATGAGTTAAAGATGCGGCCCAGTATGTGGTTCAGCTCATCCGTCACCGGGAGGATAGACTTGAGGAAGCCGGGGGCGCGGGCAAAGGCGCGGTAGGTCGAGTCCTGGAACGAAGCCTGCTTCCACGGATTGCGTCCACAGGTGAGGTTGACCAGAATGACTCCCAGGCTCCACACATCGTTTGGGGCACACATGTAAAAGGGCTTCCTGGCAGAAGCATCGAGGCACTCTGTGGTGAATCGTGTCAGCGAGATGATCTTCTTGTAGCACATACCAGACGTAGAAGTGAGTTGAGTATGGATGGGTGGGGAAGGGGAAGAGAGAAAAAACATACCGGGGCTCATGTAAAACGTAGAGCCGCATCCATAGTCCTCCGAACGGTCATCCGAAGTGGCCAGTCCAAAGTCGGCCAGCTTGACAGTCTCGCCATTGTCGGTTACGAGAATGTTCTCAGGCTTGAGGTCCCGGTGGTAGATTCCCAGCCTATGGCAGTGCTCGACAGCGTCGAGGATCTGGAGAAAGGCATCCCGGGCCAGGTCGTCGTTGCCGACGTAGTGACCGCGCTCGGTGATGTTGAGAAACAGGTCTCCCTCGGGGCAGAACTCCAGGACAACGTAGGTGCACTCGACGTCATCGACAATCTTGTACATGGAGACGACGTTGGGGTGGGCCGAGGCGAGGAAGTGCAGACGGATCTCACGTTGCTGGTACAGGACCTGTCGGCGCTCCAGCGGGGTTCCGTCGGCGTTGTACTTGCTCAGACACTTGACGGCATAGCGGATACCGGTGTTGACGTCGGTGGCCAGGTAGACGACTCCGTAGGCGCCGGTACCCAGGATGTCCGTAAGCTGGAGCTTTCCCTCCAGCAGGAGTCCTAACCTGTCCGCGGGAGCAGAGGGAACACAACGGGGCGTGGCGGGATTCACAAACTGCCTGGCGTGCTGCTGAGCGTACTGGTGGTTCTTGGCAGCGACGTGGCTGTCGTACGCCGGAGAGGCCGGCGGCGTAGGATAACCAACGAACTGGGGGCCATGGTGCTGCATGTTCCTTCTGTTAATACACCGAAGAGGAATCCTTTCCAAGGAAGTCCAGATGGGATATCAAGATGGGGAGAAAAGTGGGTCGGATTTCTTTTAATCCGGGTTCCGGGTTTCCACGGCAAGAGACCAAGACCATGGAGTAATAAGACAGAGGGAAAAAAGGAAAAGTCCTGGGGTAAAAAATCCAGACGGATGAAAAAACCGGGGAAAAAAAATGGAAAGGAGCAAAAAAACGGAGGGCCGCCCAAGGAGAAGGTAGGAAAGGAAATATCCAGGGTAGACGGAGATAGATTACAAGTCGTTTTTAAGTGGTGGTGACCGGAGAGTGGTGGAACGGAGAATCTATAAGTCCGGGCTGGTTGAGAAATCGTACAAAAGGATCCCTGACGTCCGAGTCAACGGGTCAAGGGAATTCCACGGCAAGGGAGAAGATGGAAAGAGAAGAAAATGATAGGAAAAAGAAGAAGAAGAAAAAACCGCGATGTTTTTTTCTTTCCTTTGGTTGTCGTTAAAAAGGTGGTTGTAGAGAGGGAGAGAGAGAGAGATAGGTGGTCGTGGAGGGGGGGGGGAGAATATAGCCCGGGGGGTAGAGCGGACAAGATTGTTTTAAGAGGTTGAAGGAGTGTCGCGAAAGGTGTTGTTGGTTTGGTACGTCGGAGAGAGTGTGTGGTACGTACGTCGCAGGCGCCAAACTGTAGGAAGTATTATTCTAAAATAATAATAATAATAAAAGGGAAAATAAACATAGAGGAAATGGCGGGCTATGAGGTATTGATAAACGGGGAGAGGGGCGATTGAGAGACAAAGGGTAAAAGATGGGCCACCGAAGAGATGAGGCGAGCCGGGGGTGTGTGTGTGTGTGGTGTGTGAGAATGGGATGTGTGAGTGGGTGGGGGTGGACGTGAATGTGGGTGGGGGGTGTGGATGGGTGGAGTACCCGAGTATGGGAGGTGCATGGGAAAGTTGCGCAGGAGGGAGAAGGAGAAGGAGAGAGAGAGAGAGACAGAGAGCGAGCGTTGTCCTCTCTGTACGAGTACGGGAAGGAAGAAAAAAAAGGGGTACAAAGCGACAACTCGTAAGAAGGAAGGAGCAAGTTACAGGTGGGGTAGGAGCACATTTCCTGTGCAAGAAAAGTGAAGATGTGCACAGTCGCATTCTCAGTTTCGCCTAGATCTCATGGAGAGTGAACGGCATTTTTCTCTTCTTTTCTTTTTTATTTTAATAGTTTCTATTCTATTATACAAGTAGTGCTGATACGAATTATGGAGTCATATGGTACAGAGTAATGCTAAGGCGGTAGAGGTACAGAGTAGTAACGCTCACATATACAATAAGTACCCTTGTCTATATTTCTCGTACCAATCAACAAGCGTCGAATATGTGCTCCACTCTCAGGAGGCGCAAGGGTGGTCGTAACGCACGGCGTAGGGGCCAAGGCATGGGAGGGGGCGGACAGCCGCAGCACACAATTGGCACACACCAAGACTCACACAGGTTGGTCGCGACTCCACTTTCCCTCCCCATTACAGTATCATCACACATTCTAGCTCTTGGGCCAATAAGACAATGACATAACGTTCCACACCACTTATCTTTTTTTTTTCCTCACTTGTGCTTGTGCAGTATGTGTGTGGGGTCTCCATTTTATTCTTTTGAATGCACGTCCTGTACTCGTACGCTGTAACAGAGTAATGATGCGGATGCTGTACATGTGCGCTACGAGTATGGCTTATTGTTTGCTGTTGCTGTTGCTGCTGTTATTATTGTTATTGCTACTGCTACTATTACTTACTACTACTGTTGCTGCTGCTGCTGCTGCTGCTGCTGCTGCTGCTACTGCTGTTAGCTGGATTACTGCTGCTGCTGTTGTGGCCCCGAGTCCCATTCGGCGCGCGTGCAGATGTGGACACATTTGCCAAGTGGTACTACGGAGCAATACTTGTACTCAGCATTAGTACTGAAAAAGCAACACCAGACACACACAGACGCGCACACACACTTTTGCCAATCTACTTTGACACGGACACTGGGCCATCCCCCCCCCCCAAGGTTCGACGGTCCCCGTGTGCACTTTGACCTATAAGATTAGTTGATTTAAGAGTGAGGCTTGTTATTAAAGTGGGTCGAGTTGGCCATCTCCGATCCCTGTTGTTTCTGTTGTGCGTTGTTGTTGTTGTTCTTTTTTTTCCAACAAAGGTTTCCCCATTCTCATACTGACGACTGAATATACGAGGACGGCAAGGATCCTCTTTTCGCCTTTTGAATAGTAGCATCTGACACAGCAAATGAAGCGTGAGCAGTTTGCTCTTCACTTGTGCCTTGTGATCACTTGACCTTTCCGAGACCCACCGCGATGGAAGAGAGAAAGTCTCTGGGGGGTCGCTGGCAGGGGTCTTTATTAGTTCTACCTGTGTGCAAGAGTACTGCTAGCAGTAACAGTAGTCGTACTCGCCACTATGACTATGACTCTACCATTATTGAAACACATGTATCCGTAGACTCATATGTGTGTTAGTTATTCACGACGTAATACTGTATTGAAGTTATTTTAATATCGGCCATTTGTACCGCTACCATCCATGTGGAGTCATCTGGAAGGCGCTCGCTCCATCTCGCACTCGCTCCTCCCTCTGGGGGGGGGGAGGGGGCTCAGCGCCTACTCGTAGTGGCGGGGTGGTAAACTGCTGATACCGAGATTCTTGGCTTGGCTTATTTGCGGCGATTGCCTCCTCTAATCTGGGCCCCGCGTTCACGGTCTGCTCGGGAACACTCTCCACCGCGAGTCCTTTTGATGCGAGTAGAGGGAGAAGGGAAAGGAAAGAGGGAGGCAAGGAAAGAAGGAAAGAGAGAGAGAAAGGAATCCACAGTGAGTCCCGCGTGGCATGCGATGCAGAGCCAAAAAAAAAAAAAAAAGAAAGAAAGAAAGAAAGAAGGAAAGAAAGAAAGACACGTAAACATTTTTATTTTCCCTATTTTTGGGGCCCAACCTAGGGGAGGCACCAAAGAGCGGGTATCTGCCAGTAGGAGACGGGATACCAGCCCAGATGGACGACGGCTCATACATGTACGCGCATGTGTGTGCGGAGGAGTAAGTACTACGAGTATTACTACGATAAATCTTGCATCTCGCTCCTCGTAACCTCGGAGGAGTCGTTACCGGTTGGTGCACCTATGCCTAGAATCCTAGAATACTGGTGATGGAAAGACCCAAGCCATGTCCTTCTCATCCCGGCCGGATATGTCGTACAAAGGGCCATATGATCTGTCTGCATATGGTTCATGTTGTTTCTTTTCCTTTCTCTTCTCTTCTCTTCTTTTTTCTTTTCTTTTTCTGTTCTTTTCTTTTTCTTCAGATATCCTCCTCTCCGTAGCAACTGTATGCGGAACACTTTTGATGAAAAAGGAATGTCGCCGCAGGCCAGTCCAGAGTCTCTCCGGCGGTTGCGTTGGTTCATTCCGTGACGGGCATAGTATATAATACATGTATGTGTATCGCATCTGGACTACATCTGTAAGAGACTACCGTATAAACAGTTTGGAGAAACTGACATGTTTCTATTCTAGACAACAATTCAATACCAGAATTACCTGTACTACTACCAGCAACCCTTGACAGCCTAATCAGTCGACAATGATCTGATCAACTGGTCGCCGTCAGCGGGTTTATCAGAGTCTCACCCCTGCATTTTGCCGCCCTGATCCTTGGTAAGCCGGGGTATTGTCACCGTCGCTGTCACTCGTGTACGAGTAGAGGCTGAGTCCGGAGTGCTGTTATTACTCGTACGGCCTACGAGTAATATTGGCAGGCATGACTACAAGTAATATGTACTGTACGTAACGTATACGTATAACAGACAAGCTCGTACCGTAGAGTCATACTTGTAATCTGTACACATCAATCCGTACACTGCCCAATATTGGTGTGCACAGAGAGAGTATCGAACCGGGAGTCCTGACAGTCGATGCGATGCATTCCACTCTACGGGTCAACTGACCAATCATCTGGTGAAGGGGAGATGATTTGTGCATTGTTGCAAAAACAGGGTCCCATGGGGCTGCACAGTTTTCCTTCTTCCTTCTTCTCGCCACTTTTACGTGCATGTGAATAGGTCAGGTACAGTCTAGGGACGTCCAGTCGACGATGGATCACGGTACAGGTCGTGGATGAACGAGGCTTTGCACGTACGAGTACAGGTTACAGCGTGTCGCGGTATATCTCTTACCGTACTCGGGATTTTTGCTAATATTACACAGGTACGGATATCCTCCCGTACGGTGATGGTAATGCTGCGGAGCCAATAATACTCCATACATCGTACTCGACGCTCATGCGGAGAGTGGTATAAGTAATCTGTAACCTACAGTACAGATGTCCAACATCACACATATACAGACTACACATCCGTGCTCCGTGACATGAGCCACCAGTGACCACTACCACGCAAAAGACATCATCCCTGGACCCTCCAAGCCACCGCCCAACACATTGCGACGTACTCTTTGTTATACGTTGGCTATTACGTATCGATTTGGGTACGTACGAGAAAGCCCTGCCGAGGCCACGAGTTGTGATGACTACATGTACGTCGCGTGCGGGCGCAAGGGTGTATTTGCAATGTGTTAGGTATGTACGAGGTATATCCTCCCCCCAATCCCGTCCGTCGCCACCAAAGCCCTGCCAGCCAGCCTGACCAACACCTTCCGTCGTATTGATCCTTTCCATGCATCCAAAGAACGGCCGGAAGTGCCAAAAAGCCAAAAAGAGAGGTGACCATGTTCAATGATGATTGAACGAGTGGAGTCTCTCTATACCTCTCCCTCTCCAATGAAAGCTGACAGGTAAGTATAACTCTGGCCGGGTGGTTCGGAAATTCCCCCCAAAGGTTTAGGACCGGTCGTTCTTTTGTCTCTGTGTCCTCTCTTTTTTTTGGATTATTATTATTATTTACTTTTTTTTTTTTTTTTTTACTTTTTTGCTCCAACTCCAGTCTCCATCTCATACG